CCCTGCCACTTGCCGCCTAGTCCTGCGCAATGACGTGGGCTCCCGACTTCCCGGTCTTGACTCGGTACCAAGCGCAAACACCCGTTGACCCTGGACTTTGTCGCGGACCCTGAAATTCCATCTTCTCGATTCCCCGTTGTCCGATCTCATGATTCCGTGATTCTCCCCTTTGCCGATACGTTTTAGCAACATTTTTAGCTCCAATCCAAAACAATCCACATTTCCTGCAGTACATGCTTTGACGATTCAAAGTGCTTCTAGAAGCACGACCTAAAACAGGCATACAGCGCCCACTACTGCTTCCTCTACGCGCTTAATATCTCTTACCTTACCTTACACCTTGCATACTGTCGCATTCAGTTTCCCGATCGCCTGCCCCTCGTCGTCATAGTGTCTTAAACCTCCATCTTGACGCAACCATGCGACGGACCGTTATCGCTGCGCGGTCCTCCGCAGGATCCTTGGCCCGCGCCGTCGTTTACCAACAGCACTTCCAGCCCCGGCGCATGTTTGCAACAAGCGGTTCCGGCACTGCTCCTCCCAGCAAGAGCGAACCTCCTACGACTCCGGTCGACCGATCCCAGGACCAGGCGCATCCCATCGGTGCCTACTACGAGGGCGTTCTCAATGGCAGCAAAAACTACCCAGACACCAAGCCCGAGCTGCCCCCGGTGACCTCCCAGAAATACCCGACCAAGCTTACGCCCGCCGAGCCGGAAGCTAAGCCGGAACCGGAGCCGACGAAGCCGAAGCAGGACGACAATGTGAGTTCCGCCCCTACGCCTACGCCCTCCGAGCAGCCTCCGAAGAAGGAGGGGGAGCAGCAGCAGCAGCCGCCCGTGAAGCAAGAGCAGAAGGAAGAGGAAAAGAAGCCCGCTTCTGCTACCACCACTTCTGCCACCCCGGCCGATGAACCCTCCCAACTGGAATCAGCCAAGAAGACGGATGAGAAAGGGGATGAGGCTATCATCGCAATCGCAATGCCCGCGACGTCGGCGCCGACACCGGTCCCGGCCAGGCGTGCGGCGGTTGTGCGCAAACCTCGAGAGCTGAAGACGAAGAAAAAGGACCCAAAGGAGGCAAAGGAACCCAAAGTGGTCAAGTCTGTGACTCCCACAATCTCAGATCCTGATCCTGACACTTCTTGACGAGAAACTATTCCTGATCGCCATGCTCGCATATATAAGACTACTGAACCGCTTCGTCATCCTTCTTCTTCTTCTTCATCCATGGCGCCACCCACCCACCTACCATTCCCTATAATTTCGTCACGCAATCATACTAACCATTAACTCTCTCTTCCCTTTCTAGACCCAGGGGACGTCCCCCCAAAAACCCCAAAATCCAACTCCAAGCAGCACCCCCAGCGGCAACCTTAGCGGCAGCGACGGCAGCGGCACAGTCCCAGCCTCTTCCTCTTCGCCCCCAATCAATGAAGAAGGCGAAGCCGGCGCCACAAAGATCATCTTTCTGCCAGCCTAGCCAGCGCGGCCCAACGAGCCGAGCGCCTGGCCTCGATCCGGTCGCAGTCCAAGCTCGTAGCGGGCGTGCTCGTGCCGCCACGGCCCGAAGAGCCCGACAACTGCTGCATGAGCGGATGCGTCAACTGCGTGTGGGACCTGTACCGGGACGAGATGGAGGCGTGGGCGACAGCGACGGCGGAGGCCGAGCAGCGGCTTGCTGCGCAGCAGGCTGGGCTGGGGGAGGAGGGCGCGGTGGCGGTTACGGGGGCGGTGGAGGCTGTGGGGAGCCAGCAGAGTTCTACTTCTAGTTCCACTTCTACTTCTACTTCTACTTCTCCTTCTACCTCTACCTCTAGCTCTACAGCTGCAGAGAGTGTCAAGGGGACGGAATTGGCGGGCACGGCACATTCGGTGGTCGATCAGAGGGGAGCGGTTAGTATGGATGATGATGGGGTGGAAGTTCTAGTAATTGGGACTTTGGAACGACGTCTTCTACTGCCCAGAGTTCTGCGACTGGCGCCGGTGCTTCTACTACGAAGACTTCGACTTCGACTTCGGACACGACTTGGAACGACGACCTGTACAAAAATGTGCCGGTTGGGATCCGCGAGTTCATGAAGCAGGAGAAGAGGCTAAAAGAGAAGCATGCGCGCGAGGGGACGGTTGGGTACACATAGTAGTAGTTGATTTCCGAATTGACGGTTTCAAAGCTCGGTTCCGGCCCCTCTTTTCTTCTCATACCTTTTTGCGTATTTGCTTGAGAAAGTACAATGTCTACATTGCAGTGACATGATGATGCGAGTCTTACGACTACTTTACAAGTTCATGATATCACTTTGCTCATCGAAGTGGTTGGTCTTGTTTTGTATAATTTTACTTGTTTTTTTGCGCGCGAAATGCGCTCTCAATGTATCTTTCCTTGCTTCATAACCAAGGAAGCAAGGCGGGCAGCGAAGTGGTTAGCAGGCGGCGCAAGCCACACTAGCTTTTGGCTCGACATGTAAGCCGTAACCCGGAGGTGACGAGATATCCAACCACCAGGTAAGGATATGGAAACGGTGCCCTACTGTGGCCAGACGAACCCTATGGCCCTTCGGTAGGGCCGGGAATCGTCCCTTAGGTCTGGAGTAAGGGGAGCTGGCTTGGAGTCGGGTAGACAATTGTCATACCGGCCAGCCAAGCCCCCCCACGTCGTTGTAACCGAATGGGTGTTATGTGTATAACGAACCTATCAGCCCCCATCCTCGCTGCCCTTCGCTGCGCTATACTCATCCGAGACGCCGTAATGATGACCATGAATAACCTTCCCTTTGTAAATCCCAACTCCATGCTCTTCCCCGTCTATATGCGCTGCTCTTTGGTCCTCGTGTTCGTCATCGGGGCGTGGTATGTATATGTGATTTTTCTTCTCCGGGTATCTCTTTTGTTTCTCGCTTCGTCTTCGTCTAGCCGGATGTCTAACCGTCTAGTTCTGGGCGGCAGCAGCCTTCTTGGCCTTGGCCTCAGCAGCGTTGCGGTCGTGCTCCTCAATGTTGCCAGCCTCCCAAGGGTAGCAGATCCACTCGTCACCGACGGTGAGAGCGGCGAAGTAGCGGCCCTGGGAGATGACGTCCTCGGGGAGAGTGCCCTTCTTGGGCTTGTCCTTGTTCTGTTGATCACAGACACGTTAGAAAAAAATGTAATGTGCGGGACTTTTGTGCATTTGCTAAAAAGCAGGCAACTTACGTGGAGGACGAAGATGGCGAACTGGGTCTCCTCGCCTTCGCCGAGGGCCTGACGGGCAGCCTCAACATCCTTCTGGAGCTCCTTGACGGCGTACTCGAGGGTGGTGCGGGTGTCATCAACCTCATCGACGATGAGGATGCGCTTGCCGACAAGGTTCTTCATGGAACCAAGGGCAGTAAGGTCGAGCCACTGGGTGCGGGTAACCTTGGTACCGGGCTCCTCAACGACATTGTCACCGAGAGACTCGTAGAGAGAGAGACCGATGGCCTGGATGGGGATGTTGGCAGAGCCGGGGCGCTTAAGGAAAGAGCGGATGATGCGGGCAGGAACGTAGCCACCACCGCCAATGGCGATCATGAGCTGGGGGTTGAAGGTTTCGAGGATCTTAGGAGCGATCTCCTGGCACATGTTGTGCACCTAATTCAGACAAGACATTGTTAGCGCCATTGTTGACCATTGTTGATTGTTGACATTCTGCCGAGGACATTGGGACAATGCCGCAGCGGGGGCACAGCGCCGGCGTGACAGATCTGAAGAGATCCGGGAACAGACTAACATCGTTGTAGGTAACGTAAAGCTTCTCGACCATTTTGGCGGTTGTTCTTGCGCTTATCGTTTCGCAAACGTAACTGGTATGAATGGGTGGCGGGGTTGTGGGACGAAGGAATCCTGATAAGGACGGTACGGATAAGCAAGTTGTACAAGAGAGTCTGGAAGTCGCGAGTTGACGGGAAAAAAGCAATTGATGCTGGGAAGGCAAAATTGCTCACGGAGACGACGGCTTTTAAAACACTACGGGATCAGGAAACGTACGTGAAGTAGGTTTGCGACAGGATACAGAACGAAAACCTTGAGAACAGGAGAGGTTTTAAAAAAAATATGCGACTTGTAGGCAAAAAAAGTTTCAGTCTTCAAGCCTGAACCCGAACCCTCCCCTGCCCTCCCACAGGGCACTCATTCACAGGGTCAAGACCCCACTGCTGCGCCCGCCGCGGAATCCCATTCATTGCCCATGCGGGCGGACCTGCAGGTGAGGCACTGATGCAGAAAAAACACGGGACGACTGAGAAAATTCGATTTCCTCCATTCAGCGCCAATTTTTTGACAACTTTTCCCCGCATCGCCAATCGCGCCTCTTTTGTCGCTTGCTAAAATTCTTGGCGATGAAGCTATTTCACTGAAAAAAGTTCGCTGGCTCCTAGGTAGCCGCGGCAGCTAAAACGAGCAACTGCATCACCAGAACGGTTTCAAAAACATCGCGAGGTCCACTGCGCTCGGTTGGCGAGGGGTCCTGCGTCTTGCGGTGCACAACGCGCCGCAGAAGGGCATTCTGGCATTCATTCTCCCTCGTTCCATTTGCACTGACATTGCCTGACTTGTGAAGGTGACGGAAGGGGTGGGTCAGCTTTGCCCGCACTTTTCGGACTGAAAGCGGAACCCGCCGATATCCACTCGCCGTCTTGGCACTCCGGCCATCCTGTCTCGGCTTCGGTCTCCTCGGTGTCGGGAGAAAGGTTGCCGACGCTGTTATATGGAGAGAACACACAAACAGTCTGTTTAAAACGGATTGCTCAGGTTGAGACTCGTTTGACCTTCTCCGCTTCTGGTTCTGTCTGTCTATGTTCCCTCAAAGAATCGAGGCGACGCCAAAGAACTGCAACGCCGAGGATCTTGTATGCCTGTCACATGAGAAGAGCTGCTCCGGTCGACCAGGGTGGTTGTTTACATCGAAAAGGGGTGCTCCACCAAGGTGTCTTTCAGACTATCCAAAACTTGTGTTAGGCCGCTCAAACCGCTTGGTCTCTATAGAGGCGGGAGAGGGCAAGAAATCATGCACTTTACCAAAGGAGGCTTCATAGGTAGCTTGCTTAGAGAACGACAAATGGGCGGCTTGTAACAAGGTAAGCAGTCATTTCCCAATATGAGTATCGATGAGTGGTATTCCATCTCTTTGTCCTTCGGTATGTCGTTAAAAGACAGCATTGTTGTTGTTGCTGCTTGGAGGAAAGGCCACATAAGTTTAAGTTATTGGACAATTGGCAACTTATGGACCGGTAGCTCAGAGGTAGAGCGTTCGGCTGCAGTCCGAACGGTCACGCGTTCAATTCGCGTTCGGTCCTCAACAACATCTTTTTGGGGTCTTTGCTCCTTTGACTTTTTGAACTCCTTGGTCACGATGCTGCGCTTATTTTGACTCATGGAATCCGAATTTCTAACAAACAGGACAGGTAGCTCAGGGGTAGAGCGTTCGGCTGCAGTCCGAACGGTCACGCGTTCAAATCGCGTTCGGTCCTCAACTTCTCCTTTTTGCTCGTCTTAGCAGCTTTTTTGCTAGTCACAATCTTTGACATCTTGCTATTTCTTTTGGCACCTTTTTGCAAATCATTTCCCACAATGCCCTTCTAATCTTCTCCAAGGTCGACTAATATCCGATCTCCTTTGAATATCCATGTTTTTGCAAGACATTGTTCTTCAGTCCTCATCAACTTTCATCTTCCAGTAATTACCAACCTATTGCTAGTCAACTCGTCCCCAACGCCGGAGAGCCCGCTCTTGAAGTCATGACATGGAAAAGGTTGATGGTGGTTTCCGTTGAAAAGCTCAGGCCATCCTGGGGAAGCATGTTCAAAAGTCTTGGCAATTCTTAAGACGATCAAACAGGTGGCTCGTGTGTCTTGAAGTGACATGACCGAATATTGACATTACGGATTGGCGAACCAAACAAAAACATACAACTCACCCAACAAACGAGTGTTCATCAAATCCCAACTCCACACGCGATCCAACGCGCCCACGAGCTCGAAACTATTCAGAACTATGGCGCGACCCTGAATTACCATTCTACAAGACGACAACGTGTGATGGAGGACCCAGCGCCCAAGCGGCGCAGAACATCACCGCGTAGCTCGGTGCCAGTTCCATCCGATGAACCTTCCCAAGCTCCCCCAACACAGCAACCGAACCAGACCACCCCAGAGGACACACCTGCCCCAGACTCCTCTAAAGTTACTTCCGCAAAGCGTCCATCCTATGCATCCCCGACAAGAGCAAGCCTTCAAAGGCACAATCCGGAAGTACTACAACGACGAGAGAGCATAAGTCTAGCTCTCAGATCCCAACCCGAGTCGCGCGACGACAATCCACTCCGATCTCCCGCCCGACGACTTGGAATCGTCCGAAGTCTAGAAAGACCGAACCCGCGCCCTCTTCCGCCACCCGCTCCCGAAGATGAGGAGGTAATCCTGAACCCTTTCCGCGGTCGAGGGCTGAAGCGATCACCCGTCCCCGGGGTTCTGCCCAAAGTAATCGTTCCCGAACCCGACCTTCCGCCGACACCAGAACATCCTGATCCAGTTGTCAGCACCCCGCCTTCCGGTATACACAATACCCCGTCTAAGAGACCGAAGCGCAGCAAAGCACTGGCCGAGACACTTAGGAGCTCCTCGCCTACTAAGCGTGCGCCCGTTGTCATGTCGGCCAAGGCAGCGCAACTTGTTCCAGGAAAGCCTTCCAAAGAATCGGCGCTGATCCCAACAACCGAGCTTCCTTCTGATACTCAAGAGCCGACAACGGCCGAGTTACGCGGCCTACAACCACCGGATCCGGATGCAGACAAGAAGCGGTTGCGCGACTCTCTTCTCGCCGAGATCGCTGAGTTGGAGCGCGACCTAGCCGTCGCAACCAGGGAAAACGAGCGCCTCCGACAAGCACACATATCCAAACAGAAACCATCAGCACCAACGAACGCAATCGAAATCCTCGACCTCCTCCGCCGACGAGTCCTACTGCCCAAGGAACAAAAAGACCCCGACCCGTCCGCCGCAGCAACATCATGGCTCTCCTCTGCTCTCCACCCCATCGCCTTCCTCCCCTTCAGCAAATTTCCCTCGACAGGTGACGATCTCCCCTCACTATTTACCACTACAGCCGACGACGAGAAAGCCTCGGAGAAACCGCCAATATCCCACCACCCTTTGCCAATGACAGCCGACGAAGCGCTCCCTTACCTCCAAGTCTTCACGCCATTGACTTTCACCTCGGCCATCTTCCCGCTTCCCCCGTCTTCCTCGGAATCGGAGTCGGAACCATCACCCAACAAGGAAGAGCCACTACTCCAAAGACACCACATAATAGCCACCACGCCCTCCAAATCCTTCACCGCCCGCCTCGAGCTCACCACCAACACCAACACCTACGCCATCACCAACCTCTCCGTGCCATTAATCCATCCGCCAACCGCAGCCGCCGAACTCGCCCCCCTGATTGAACGCATCGTTAAACAACCGAAAGAAAAAGAAGAAACGAGTTCAGCACTGCACAACAACGTCAGCGTGCTCTGCTGGGCAATGGGCGAGTGGGTGCGTGTAGCCAAGGAACGAGCTCGAACTTGGTGCATTTTGGAAAAGGAACTCTGTGGAGAAGAGAAGGAAGCAACGGTGAGAAATATGGTGGTGGGGTGGAGGGAGAGAAGCAAGATTCGACAGAAGAAGAGGAGGATGGGGACAAAGAGGAAAAAGGTACCGCTTCGTCGAGATGGTGATGATGAGGATGGACAAGATAAGGAGGACGAGGACGACGAGGACCACGAGGAAGAGGAGTATGAAGAACAAGATGGCAAGAAAGCACCAGAAGCGGAACTGGTGCCGTACATGACCAGGACGAGTGTGGATTATGATATACCATTGCTACTAGGTCCGGGACCGAATGGTGACGACAGTGGGGATCAAAAGTCTTCGCTGAGGGTGCAGTGGAAGATTGAATTCGACTGGACAGGCGAGGCGAGGAGCGATATCAGGGTTTTTGTGGCGGTGCCGGGGAAGTGTGAGTATATCTTATGCTTTTTTGCTTTTTGCTTTCCTTTCCCCTAACCCCCTCCCCCGCACCATGAGATAAATTGAGTTGCTGACCAGATTTATACTAATAATAGGGCATAAATACGACGAGCGCGAACAACTAGCCAAGATCCCAGCACTATTCGACGAGCTCATCCATGGCGGCGAAGAGCCGTTGAATGCTGTCAGGACTGTTGCGGCTTTGTTGGCTGGTGAGCCACAACAGCCGCAGAGATGATGTGATGTGGATGGTATGGATGATATGATACCCAATGTATGAAGGGCGTTGGTTGAGGGCTTGTTTTGAGTAGGTACATGTTTGTATAAACCTGCGATACTTAACATAAAGGGGTGTGGACAGAGCATGGTAACACGGTATTGATAGTTGGGATTTGCATATTCAGACTGCCCGGGAGCATTAAGTGGTATTGATGGTCGAAGCATGCTACTCAGGAAAGGAAAGGAAGCTGAAAGCGCCTTATCATGGCTTGTGAGGCGTGTTGTGTTAGGGACACGGAGCATGCCTGATATTCATACATATCATATCACGACCTCTCTCTTCAAGCGCCCATGACGTACGTGCTCAAGAAGGGCTTAAGTTGAACATCACTTATACAACACAACCATTTCTACCACACACGCCGATGCCCCACAACTGCTTCAATCTCATTACTATATCTTGTTTTCATACTGTTGCCGACACTACCTCATCCATCCACACGCATGGCCCCGTAACATTCCCACCACGGCCGTTCCCGTCATTACACTTCTTTTAAGCCTCTTTTTTCTTCTTCATATTTTCCATGCCCTGGCTGCTTGCTTGCTGCCACAAGGCTCCCACAAGGCTCCCTTCCATCCATCGGTTGGACAACGATCGCAGTCGCAGCTTAATCAACACTAACGCCCTTGGCCCGCAAGTCCGCCTGCGCAAGCTTAATCTCTTCCATCAGCTCCTTGTACGCCTCGGGCGTGTCGTGGAAGGTGAGCATGCCCCAGCCGAGGCGGAAGAGGACCCAGGCGCCGAAGGAGACGAGGGCCCAGAAGGGGAGCTGTTTTGTTTTTCGTTGCAGTCAGCATTTACCGTACGAAGGAAGTAGCTTGCTTGCTTGCTTGGGGTCGGATTGGGTCGGGTAAAGTGTAAGGCGTAAGAAAGACGGAGGAAGACATACCACAGGCACAATTGCCGTCTGGATAAGAGCCGGGAGGGGAATCAATTCGAGGTAAAGGGAGAGGTAGAGCTGTTAGTTATCAAGAAAGAAATGGTTAGCGATTTGTGCAGTGAATTGGTTGATTGATTGGTTGGTTCGACATTTTAAGACGGGATGTAGGCGACGGCGTGGTAGACGGCATGGTAGACGGCAAAGTAGACGATGAGAGGATAGTGGGAGGAGGCGCAAGGCAAAAACAAAAGCAGAGCGCAGAGGTAGAGCGATCGATACAAGGCCACGCTTGGAACAACACGAGACCAGGTTGTCGCTGCTGCTACTACTCCTAAAACTGCTGTCGTGTGCCGGGCCGGGGAACTGCCATTGCTTCCATTTCTTCCATTGTATCATCGCCGTAGCTGTCGCCGTAGCTGTCGCCATTGTCGTCCATCGCTATCCTCGTCGTCGTCATGGTCGTCGCCGCCATCGTTGTCGTCATTGTCGGCCGGGACAGATAGTTCGAAGATAACGTACCGAGCTCACAAGGAGTGCAATAGAAATAGTCTGCTGGGCGCGGGTCATTGTGTCTGTATCGTGTTTGTTTGTTTCGTCCGTCTGTATTCGGTTTCTGTGGCTCTTGGTCTGGCTCTGTCGTATGTGTGTCTGGATAGGTGTTCGGTTGCGTTCGCTGGAGATGAGACCGTGAGGTTACCGATCGACTGTTGGAATTGGGAAAAGGAGAGTCTAGACCAGAAATCAGATTTGGTAAGCTTGTTGATTCTCAGTTCGGCCCGGACTCGGTATCTGTCGCTTCGGTATCGTGGGATATGGGTTTGCACATACAGTTGTCGCGGTTGGTGATGCGAGTTCGAAAGTCGCGATGACGGAGACGAGGAATGAATGGAAACGAGCGATGGTGGATGGGTGGATGGGGGACACTTTGTGATTGCAGTGGGAGCTCGAGCCTGGTGGTGCAATGATGCGCGCTGGTGGATGGTGCGGTTGGCGCTGGGCGCGTTGATTGAACCCCCTGTTCTTGTGTCGCTGGAAGCGTGGCCCTTTCAGAGGGAAGGATGTGGGTGGGTTCTGGGTTAGGGTTGTACGTGTCCCCATATTTACCCCTGAATCGTCTTGGATATGAACGCGGATGATGGACTCGAGGACCTGAAGGACACTCACGCCTCAGAGACACAAACGAATAAAGCATACGAAACACTTTGGTTTAAGAAAACAAGCGAGCGATTGGAATTAACAATAGTCATTACAACAAATGGTAAACTATGTACACGCCTCATCAGGCTACCCATTATCCGTCATCCTCCCATAAATAACATTAAGTAATCTTTAACATATGGTATATGTATATGTACAACCAAAGTGTAAGAGGAATAACACAACCATATTCCAATAATAATGGAATCTTTTCCTTTCGTTCCAATCCCGTTTATACCATTATCGTATAGTATCATGTGTTACTTCCGACCCTCAAGTGCCTTCAAGTATGCAATGCACTGTTTCCTATCAACCCACCACTCAGTCCAAATCCGAATCCTCATCATCACCACCCTCCTTCCCCTTCCATGCCGCCTTCTCCGCAACGGGTACTCTTCCCCTCAACCACCTCAGCGTCGCCTCCGTCCCACGCTCCAACACGCTCCATCTGGGCACACGGAACCTGTTGCCACTAACATCCAGCCTCTCCAACCCACCGCTTCCGCCCAGCAGTCCAATACGAGGGTTCAGATGTGCGATATCATTATTGGCCGCGTCCACTACATGCATACCCCTGATTGACTCAGGATCCAGCTCGGAGAGGTGGTTGTTGGAGATGGTAAGGACGGTGAGGTTCGGAAACGCGTCGCGGAGAGCGGTGCCAGCGGGCAGAGCGGAAATGCGGTTGAAGCTGACGTCGAGCTTTTGCAAGTTCGGGGCACGTAGGCGAGCAAGTAAGGGCTCCAGGCTAGTAATGTGGTTGTGGTTGAGGTTGAGTTCCTTAAGGGCGGGGAGTTCGAGCTGGTCATCGCCGCTGGACCCTCCGACGTACTTCTCGGCTACGAGCTCGTTGTGTGACAAGTTCAAAGCAGTCAGAGTTGCGGCGAAGCAAGAGAGCGACTCGGGGGGAACGCGGTGAATAGGGTTGTGGTGGAGCTGAATTTCGAAGACTTTGTGTTCGGCAGCGACCTTTGAGGAAATGGCAGGGTGGAGCGAAGAGGATTGTGTGCCAGAACGGTCAAGGACCCCGCCGGACTTAACGGCCCAGATCTCCTCCGTAAGCGTTTGGGAACGGGAGTGGGCGGGAGAGGCCCGGGCGGAAGTTGGAGGTGTCGCAAACTGATCCATATCAGACCGGCTGTCGTCGATATCGTCACTCTCAGCAGTAAGCTGGTCGTGTTCAGATACATTATTCGTAACGGTAGTCTCTTCTTGATCTGAGGCAATGATTTCAACCGGGGGTTCGTTGGTGTTGGGCAAGGCCTCGGTGGCTGCCTTGGAAAGATCCTTAAGGTCAGGACCTTTCAAGCCGGCATCGCTGGGGCTGACCACCTCGACCTCTGGTACAGAGCTGACAACATCCACCTCGGGTACGGAAATGTCCTCAGGTGGTTCGAGTCGAAGAGCCAGAATACCTTTCATCTCATCCGTGCTAATCGTGCTAAACTTCTTCTCTCGGAGAGGGTTCCCGCTCAGTCGCAGCATCGTCAAGTTCTCCATCCGGCCCACCTCATTAGGGATGATGCGGATGTCGTTACTCGAGAAATCAACGGACTTCAAATGCTGTAGTTGAGTGAAACCTTCCGGAATGGCGTTGATGTTGTTCTCATCGGCCGCAATCGTATGCAGCTTGGCCCAGCTTCTGATGTCAGGCAGATCCTGTAGGCGGTTCATGGAGAGGCAAATCTGAAGAAGAGCAGGCATAGTGACAGTCTTGGCTGGGGAGCAAAGGTGGATGAGCTGGTTCGACGAGACGTCCAATGTCTGTAGAAACGGTAGAGAATCGACCGAACTATCAATCAATGTACCGCTGATCTGGTTCTTGCGCGCGTTGATCTCGGTCAACGGCATCTTCGCCAAGGTAACAAAGGGCAAGGACTCGAAGGCATTTTCGCTAACATTCAAAACGCGAAGACGAGTGAGGTTGCTGAAGTTGGAAGGAAGCGAAGAGAGGTTGTTACCGTGCAGGTCCAAGATTTCAAGATTCTCCAAGTTCGCAAAGCAAGGATCGAGTTCACCATAGAGGAGGTTACCGCCGAGCTTCAGATCTCTGAGAGAGGTGATTTGCGACACCACCTCCAAGCAACTGTTGGCCAGCCTGTTTGAGGACTAATGGGCGGTTAGCAATTAGTCAACACAGTAGGGTAGTCCATGCACGTACCAGATTCAGAGAGGTCAACAGACGAAGTTGCCTCAGACCCATTGGAAGAGTCACCAAGATGTTTCCGTGCAAGTCCAAAGTCTCGAGTCCTGCAAAGATGTTGCCCTCGCTGTCCTCATCGTCCACCATCTCCTGCGGATCAACATCGGGGAAGATCGTATCGGTAATCATCTCAAGCTCGTTGTCTGCAGCCACGAATCTTGTCAAGTCAACACACTCGGCCCAAGCCCCTCCAGTGGCGCCAATAGCCTCAAGATTATACATCTTCAGAACCTCGACCGGAATCTCTTTGAGGCCCATTGCAGCAATGTTAAGGCGGCCGCTAGTTCTAGCAGTAGCAAAACGTGCCTGTAGAACCTTGGCCTGTGACTGGTCATCCCTGTGCTGGTTGAAAGGATCATTATGCGAAGCAAAGCCCAAATCATCACCAAAAGAGCCAAAGCCGGATGTCTTCTTCCCGAGGGCAGGAGCAGACTCGGATATCGGCTGTACTGCAGCTTTCTTGGCCGCAGCCTTCGCCTTTGCGATCTGCTCACGCAACGTGGATGAGGCCTTCCTGTAAGCTTGCGCTGGGGATGTCTCGGTCGTATCGGCAGACGTTGCTGTACTTCCAGACGATGCCGATACACTACCTTCAACAGATGTCCCAGCTGACCTTTGCGACGCCATTGATGCCTTCCTGGTTGCTGCTCCCTGGGTTCCCTTGTCCAAATTAGACACAGATGGCTTCTTCGAAAGACCGTAGACAGATGTTCGCTTGACAAGGGCGCGCGGTGCTGCGGTTTTCGGCTTCTCAGGGCTCGGGGTCTTGGGGCTGTAATTATCGGTAACAGGGGACGGTAAATCCCCGTAAAGAGACATTCGAGACGTCCGTGGGACGGATTTCTTTGCCGCTGGTGCGTTGAACGATTGGACGCTCTGTCGTGGCCTCAAAGAACCGTATGTTCCGTGGAAGCTGGAGCCATCATCATCGTTATCCAGCCTCGAGCCAGGCCTGCTCCCGTGGTTTGACGAAGCACCGAGAGACTCGTGAGATTGAGAAAGCCTACTTGTTGGTCTGGACGAAGTTCTTCCCTTAGGTATTCCATCGCTATAGAAAGAGGCAGCCGATTTTCCCCTCACCGATGGCGAAGAGGGCAACTGAGACAGGGTCTCGATCGTTCTCTCTATTAACGTCGAGTTCGGCCTGACTGCAGAAGTTGGGCTGTCATCAGAGGCTATCGACTCTGTATTGTGTAACGCATGGCTGCTCGTGGAGGCCGAGAAAGACTGATAGGAGGACTGCCGCTTGGGTGCAAGTGTTCGTGGTGTCTGGCTTGTCCTAGAAGCGGCAATGGAAGATCCCACAACGGAGGTCCTCGACGAGGATGGGGAGATGTAGGTGCTGTGTCGAGATGCTGTTCTGTGGGTACTGGCAGATACTTGGGACTGTCCCTGGCGTGAGGCAGCGCGGGCACAGTTGGCATGAGGAGACGAAACGACCCTTGGAGGTGCAATCAACATGGACTGGGGCCTTCTAGACGTCGTGGTAGAGGCCAATTGGTCGCGGGAAGTGGTTGATCGAAGTCTCGGGCTCTGCAAAGACGATCCCGTATGACCCGAGTCGGTAGGCAAGGATTCCCGGGATGGGGATGTTCGGAGCGAGGTCGATCGCGGGACGGGTAGCCTGGATGGGCCAGGAACTGGAAGCCTTGACGGCCGAGGAAGACCACTAGGTCTGGGCTGGGAGCCGGAGACTTGCGAGTTGTTATCCATGTTGACGAAATATCGCTGGCCGAAGTTGATGGTGTGTAAGTTTTCGAAGGACGGGAGTGGACGAGCAAACAGCTATCCTGTCTTAAGTATGATATCCTGGCGCATCAAGGATTGGTCGAATATGAATCGAGGCAAGGTCGTGCTTGTCAACGGGAAAGGTTCCTGGCGTTTGGACGGTGCGGATTCATGCAGTCGCAACCTGAATCGGCATGCAAGGGCAGATGCAAGATGTTGTGCAGATGGTGGAGAGCTTCGAAGTCGGTCGGGAGTGTCCAATGGAAGCGCTGTCAAGCAAAAATTAAGGTAGGTAGCAATAATTTGAGGTCAGTCGTAAATCGAAAATAGCAAAGTAAACAAAAGTTGGTAAATGGCAGTGTCGACGCCTAGATCTCAGTGAGTAAAGGAGGAAGGAGAAGGTCGAGTCTGGAGAAAGAATAGGAGATTGGGATGGGGATAGAGGAGATGGTGCTAGGGCTGGGACTGGAGGACTCGATATCGGGAATCGGTTGACGCCTTCCTCTTCCCTTCTCCCCTTCTTTTTCCTGCCCCGTGAAATGAGGTGACGAACCACACGACCGAAGCAATAAAGTTGAAGAAGCCAAATGCTTGTCAAAGACATGGAAATGGATAGGAAAGTGGACCAAACGGGAAATGACCTCAGACCGGGGCTCCGGCCGGCATCATGGCCATGGCTGGAGGTGGTGGCCAGAGAGGTTCACAGGTTGTGCGCTCCAATGACGTTCCACGGATCGGCTTCTTCAGGGGAACCTGCCACTACACTAAATTGACAGCAGCCTCCAGGCGCCAACCGGCACTTGCCCACCTTTTGTTCTAGCGCGATCCGCCCCTGCGGTTGCCGATTTCATTTCACGAACAAGGGTCAGTCGGTGTCCAGGCTCCCCTTCCGACTTTCTCTCAATATTTGGCGCTATTCCCATATCGCTCTCAGGGGTATTGTTCGCTCATCCGGGCATTTTTCTTCTGGAAACAACACGATTGTCACCTGGAAGCATGCGGATGTGCTCAACAATAATGAGCTCAGCTGAACATACGGCGCCGTTGTGGCTTCGGATCCGACTCACCTCCACATTTCTAAGGTTGAATTGTCGAGGGTCAACATTGGGATGGTCCTAAACCTCAAGGACCATGTTGAGTAATCCTGCCCTGACACACAACTAGGTGATGGCCAGAAAGCAAGAAACTCATCGGGCACATAGTTGACAAACTTCACAGCTGCCGTAGGAAGGGATAAGGCAGCTGGTGACGGAAACAAGCCAAAGAGGATAGTGACGAAACAACAGAGATATGAAGTCGTGTAAAATCCCTCGTATTTCTCGTCAATAGATCGCTTTCCGAGGCATCAGGTCATTGTTGGAAGACTCGATCTCTGGAGCATGCGGGTGTTCTGTTGTTCGCTGAAGGAGACTTGCTTGTTGTAAAGGTAAGGGTAACGTTGCCGGCCGGCAAAGAAGCGCACGAACCATCCCGGTATGATTACCCCACCCTCTAGTGGGGTCTGGACTGAGTGACATGGACAGGGGTTTGGCTGCAACGGCAGGAGCTCCATCAGCCTCAAGAACACTCCACAGTCAACAACGACGTTCTGTTAAACATCAACACCACTCATGCCACTGACTTCAATTGTTGGCTGCAATTGGAATGCCCTGTGATCACTTCTTTCGACGAACTATCTTTCCTCCATTCTTCTCGGAAGATGGATTTGTGCCAACATTTGACCGTTACTTTGGCTACGATGCTCGAATCTGGATTACGCGGTGTTCTGAACACCACGACATTTCCGAGTTATCAACCGAAGAGAGACCATGCAAAATATCGGTTTTCTCTTCACGAAGCCTGAAGAATATGGTGAGCTAGAGGGCAAATCCCTGGCATTGGAGCTTTTCAAGTAAGGCACTCTTGGACGTTGCGCTCAGTGTCAAGCGATCCTTTGTCGACCGGCTCAACCGTGATTGTCCTTCTCGAGGATGGTGCAAAAGCAAACAAGATCGAGCAATAGGTACGGCCCAACGGTCCATGAAATCCCGGAAACTCAGCTCACCCGCTGTGGAATGTCAAGTCTCCGGAGCCCGATGTCTGGGGGATCTCCCGCGGGCCCAGCTTGCTTCTTCCGCTACCTGTCTGTCTATGGCGATGCTTTTACTAACGGCTTCCCGCGATCGCGTGTTCTCACCAATCCTGTAATAAACTTGCATTTTTGTTACACGAGGTTGATGTGGGTTGTGAAACGGCGCCAAGTGCAGCAGTCACGGTGTAAATGTTTTGGCGATGGTTTATTTGGCGATTGTGGCCCACCCGGATATCAAACCGCCGCTTCTGACCGGCTTTTCCACCGGACCGTTGAGGCTTTGAGCCGCGGAGTGACGAGCACGAGGAAAACCTGGGCGTCGTCCGAAGCTTTCCCCATGGGCACAACCTTCACGGGCATCAAGTGAAGGGTAGTTCTGGGGCTGCCAGGTTAACCCCCTTGCTTTTTCTTCCCGACCTTCTGCCCTCGAACTCAATTCTCTTCTCGACTTCGATCGTCGCGGCTCCCGAATTATTCTCCAGCTTTTACACCATTTGCTTCAATTTGCTTTACTTGCGCAGTTGATGTATTGCCCGTATCCGGATGCAGCTCGAAAACCCACGATGACGCCCTTTACGCCGCGCGCCAAAGCGGCGCAACCCTCATCGATGGACGAGGTGGAATTGGTCGACGTCCCCTTTGAAGAGCGTCCCCCCCAAGACAAAACTACCCGCAACGCCAATCGCATGAGCGTTATCTCACAGGCTTCCACAACTTTGGTCAGCTGGGTACCCCGCGTCAACTTTTGGGTGGCTCTTATCTGCGTTACGGTTGCGGCTTTCTTGATGATTCTGGATACTTCGATTCTCTCTACAGCCGTAAGTCACTCTGCGCTTCCTACAAAGACTCCAATCGCTGACGCTGCCACAGATTCCGACCCATTTTCACGCCGAATTCCACAACATCAACGATATCGCTTGGTACGCCACTGCCTTTCAGCTCGCCAACGCCTGCGTCTTGCCCTTGACAAGCAAGATCTACACCCGCTTCAGCACCAAATGGACCTTCAACTTCTTCCTGCTCATCTTCATGGTCGGATCCTACATCTGCAGGGTGGCCAATACCTCGGGTATGCTCATCGCAGGCCGCGCTGTTATGGGCCTTGGAGCGGGTGGCATCTGGAATGGCGGTCTCACGATTATCACCGCTATCACCACCCCTAAGCGCCGTGCGTCCGTCATTGGCTGCGTTATCGCCTTTGCTCAGATGGGTGTTGGAGCCGGTCCGCTCTTTGGAGGACTGCTGACACAACACACCAAGGATGGCTGGCGCGCTTGCTTCAAAATCAACCTCGAAGTCGGAATGGTTTTGTTCTTCCCCGTCATGTTCATGCAGGTTCCGGAGCAGATCGAGAAGCCTCATCCCTGGAAGGTTATCCGGAGGCTGCACCGCGAATTTGACCTCCTCGGCTTTGCACTTCTGGCTCCCGCCGTCTTCCTGTTCGTCTGGGTTCTCACAACTGCTCAGCTCAGCGGCCCCTTCTCCTGGAGTAGCGGCGCAATTCTCGGCTCGCTTTCCGGCTCTACTCTGCTCTTCGGCGTTTGGGGATATTGGAACTACAGGAAAGGCGACAACGCTCTGCTGCCAGTCAGCACCATGACCAAGAAAGTCGTTTGGGCCAGCGCCTTGACGCAGTGGTTCATCATGACAACGGTGTACTGCGTGTCTTTCTTTCTTCCCATCTTCTTTCAGTCGATTCAAGGAAAGACGCCCACTACCAGCGGTCTGGATTTGTTACCTGGCTTTGGTGCTCAGCTTTTCTTTGGCATCGCGGGAGGTTTCCTGGGTAAGTCGGCCTCCTTCGCACCTTTGCACCCACAACGCTAACAAGTCCCCTCTTTTCTAGTCGAAAAAACCGGTTACATCATTCCCTACGCCGTCATCGCTGGCGTACTCTGCTCTGTCAGCTGCGGCCTCATGTCCACGATCAAGAGCGGCACCCACTTCGGCATCATCACAGTTTACCAACTTATCAACGGCGCCGGCCGCGGATTTGGCACACAGATGCCCACCATCGCCGTCCAAACAGCCAACATGCACCCGATCGACACCACCATTGCCATCACCCTGCTCATGTTCACCCAAATGCTCGGTACCGCCCTTGTCCTTGCCTTCGCCAACAACATCTTCGCGCACTCCATCTCCATGGCCCTAGAGCACATCATGTCCCGCGAGGAAGTCGAGGTGCTAATCAGGAACGGCACCATCGGCCTGAGTTCCAAGCCGGAGGATCGCGAAAACTTGGAGAAGATGGGAGATTTGTTGAAATACGTCATGCGCGCCTACCTCGAAGGCGTCCACAACGTGTTCTACCTGGCGGCCGGGTTTGGCGTGCTCGCGGTGGTGAGCGCCTTCTTCCTGGGCTGGAAGGATATCAGGAGGACGACCGTGAAGAAGAACTGGTTTGGCATGTCGTCGGACAAGGAGGCGAATAAACTTCGTAAGAGTACGCCTGGCACGCCTTGTACACCTGCGAAGGGGCCGAATACCAGTTTCAACGACAATTTCAACAACGATAATGACACTCCCCTTGGCAACAACACCAGCCCGATGCTCAGTCCTCCTCCTACCAGCGCGGCTACCAAGGCCGAGCGGAGGGTGAGCCGGATGAGTCGGTTGAGTGACGCGGCTGACTTTGCTAAGTTCAATGTCAGTCCGGCTCTCAGTCCTCTTGCCACCGGGACCACCAAGTCGGAGCGCAGGTTGAGTCGGATGAGTGCTACGGCTGGGCTGGCTTAGACGGCGGGCATTCGGTGTTGGTCGGGGCGGTTTCAGCGTTTTCGGTTAGGGGTGCCAGTGGTACATACATGTAGAAAGGCCACAAGAACAGGTGTGAGTCTTGTGCTGGTAGGCATTCCTGCATGCAGCATTGACAGAGCAGAGGGAGAAGGTGTTTGGAGTTCAAAACTTTCATATTTTACCGGCATTGATAGAGGACACGATACCCATGGGTTGCGGATATTTGGCTTCTACACACACATAGCTTGCACATCATGATGTGTGTGTTTTATCATTTCGCAGCAGACATCGGGACGTTGGCAGGTTGATAAACACTTCCTTCGAGAGATCGCGTACCATTGAGTCCATAGCGAGTATTTGCGATGACGCTATGTAGCAAGCCAATAGCATATGTAATTAAATCTTTCTGTAAAACTGATGGTCGTTTCGAATTTGTGACACCAAAGGGCATCAGACAATAGAAGTCAAAAAGTACAGATACCAACCGAATGGACGTCGATGTGTGGATTATAGAATGATGTGGCTGGCTTCTATAGCCGGAGGGAGCGAGAGCACCAAACAGTTGGCGATAATAAGAAGAGAGAATGTCAAGCGGCAATATGTCATGTCACACTTGTATTCGCGATCCTCCAACGGTAACTTCGCCAAAATGATATTTACAATACGAGCGACATCACAAAGGCACGATACGTGCTCCTTTGAATCACGATAGCAGCAGCGACGGAAAGTGTGACGATCATGAGTGTACAAGACATCCAAGCAAATCAACGTTTGAACAAAAGACAGGAACGACAGAAGATCCCATGCAGACAATCAATCCAAGCGAGCAAGTTTTCTTCCCAATGTCCCAACCCTTGAGCTGGGAGACAAAGTGAAAACAAAAAAATTGGTAGCGTCTCTTTGAGTAGCGTGTCATCCTTAGTGCAGGGGCCATGCTAATCTTCTCTGTATCGTTTCAAATTGACCAAATTGCCCCGAAGGGCGAAGAAAAAAAGGAGGAAAGAAAAGGCTAAGAAGAGCGATGGGTTTGGGGTCTTCTTATACCCTTGGGAGAAGGGGGTGTGGTTGGTCTGTGCACGAGTGCAAATCTGGGTGGGACTGGTTGGGTTGGGTGGAGCCCCACCTGAATAGGTGGCAGGTGATGGGCAGGTGTGCACCTGCCACAGCTATTGGTGAATGATGTGGCGCATTACAGCAGACGGCAGCAGAGGCAGGCAGAGCAGGCACAAGCCACTTGCTGGGAAGTTGATGACGGCTTGAGCCCCAGCCGCTTCCCGTCGCCGCGCCCGCAAGTTGCAACGTCGTCGAGTCTCCCGTCTCTCACGCATGGCATTGTTGCGCGGAACCAGCAACGATTACAACGACGGACAGCTTCCGTCCGATATATCGAGTTTGCCGTCTCCAAGGCTCCGATCCATCAATCCCCCGACCGACCGGCCTGCGCGCACTCACCGAGATCGAGTCGCTGCGATTAAGCTGTTCCAACCGAAGGGAACACTTCGATATTCCAAGTCGACCAAACCCATAAATCGAAACCACCAAATGCGCCGATAACGCTTCGTGATCCTCATTGCCGTTTCGAACCTATCGATATCTACATAATCATAATCAATCAACAATGGCGCGAATACACATTCTCACTATCCTGCTTCTCTCCCTCCTCTCTCTCGTCAGCGCTTGTACGTTACTTCCATTCCTTCCCTTTCCATTTTCTTCCCCATTCTCTTCCATCTTCCCATCTCCCCAACCTGAACCTAAATACTAACACTCATCCTCACCACAGCCGCCCCAACCTTCTGCAAATGCACCTGCTTCTCCAACAGCACCATAATCCGTCTCGGCCCACAACCCGACGACCCAGCTTCTGGTCCCAATAACCCGGCCAACCCATCACCACCATCCAAACCCACCGCGACCGCCACTGCCACAGCATCTCCCAATAACCAAGTCCGCTCTCCGAATCCGAACCATCCACAAACATCCCAGCTTCTCCTCCATCCCGTCGGCTCCAAACGCGCAGCTTCGAGTTCTTGCACCCAATGCAACCGCGCCTTTTGCCTGCAGTACAACCTGCCCATCTGCAAGGACGCCGAAGAAAAGGATGTGACGACGACGTGTTTCCAGCGAGATAGCAGGAAGGACAAGGTCATTGTTTGGGGTTTCATTTTGGGCACGGCGGGGTTGTTGGGATGGGCGGGCCTACGAAAAGTTTTGGAGAGGGGAGGGCAGATTGGTGGGTTTGGAGTAGGGGGAGGTGGTGGTGATTGGGGGAGGGCTGGGTTTATGGGTGGTGTTGGGGGAAGTAGTACGGTGGGTGGTGGGAGTGCTGGTGTGGGGAGTGGTGGTATCATGGGAGGAGGACTGTTTAGGAGGGTTTTTGCTGGGGGAGTTTGGTCAGGTCAAGGGGGTGGAAGAGGGGCGGGACAAGGGGCGTATAGTCCACTTGGAGGAGAAGGACGGTGACTTTGATGAAAGTTTAAGTTTGGACAAATGAAGGAATGTTACGACTGTTTACGTACGGGTTGTTCTCGGCATTATGGGTTATGGCTTGCTTGGGGCTTTGACATGTGATCGAACGTGCGTGCGTGTGGGTTGATTCATGAGGTGCACACGCTTTACAGCATTACGAATGGCTTGCCAATGTCATCCGACGAGGAAGTATGGGAGTGACTGTGACTCGGCCCAATCCAGGAAACAGAACCAAAACTGCCATCTTGGAAGGCCAAGATGATATATCGAGAGCAGAAGTCCACAGACGACCAACTGGGTGGACCGGTTGATAGACACGCAATACCGCTCTCGTCTCACTTGATTCAGTTTCAGTCAACTAGGCCCAGTACAGCACTGGGAATGTCTGACCTAGCAAGGCCTTCGACAGGCTTTGGCTGAGTTGATGCGGGTCGCAGGGTGTCTTGGGAACGATCCAGTACCAGGATTGGCTTGGTTCAAACCAGATTCTGTGAGTGGAAGCGGTGTGTTGAGTGATGGTGAAGCACCCTCATAGTTCGTCAGACAACTTGTCTAAAGCCGGTTCAGGTGTGCTATTGGGGTCATGCCTCTTCCTGCAGCCAGGCTGGAAGGAAGGATTCAGTTGGACTGGAATGTTATCTCTCAGAACAAAAAGCTCTGAGAAATAAAAAACGTGGCCCCGCCCCAGGCTCTATGTCCCCAAAGGACTAAGATAAGAAGATGCTGTGGAAGTTGGAACTTGGAAGAGGAACAGAGGGTCATCCGAGATTACTACGTAACTCATTCTAGTCAGCTGCAGACGGAGTTTAGAGGGCCTATATATACATCCAGCTTATTTACGTACCTAGTAAGATGTTACTTTGCGGTGCCTTGAGTCTTCTTTCAGGGTAAGTAGCTTAGTTAGGAGCCAGCGGTACGATTCCAGTAGTGAGAGGAGGAGTCAGACCTACCCAACTAGGTTCATGTCGGGTCATGCCTGAGTGGATGGGAGACCCATCCCTCAAGTCAACTTTGAAATTGATCATCCATCTGCATGTCTTCACTTCGCGTTTCAAACTTGAGTTTCCATTAACCTACACCTACCTGCCCTGTCTTGTTCTCCAAGCTTACCTCTACCTAGCAAATAGCTTACAAAGCAGTTGGCTTTGCTTCGGTACATGTATGCATGTCTTGCACAGACCTCAAGACCTTTCAGTGTAGTTGGGATGATGATGTATGGTAGTTGTGTTGGAGGCACGTGCACGGGTGCCATTCACGCACACCACGCCACGCACGGCCTCTCTTCCTGGCATTTTAGCCCTCCAGACCTCTCCACAGATTCTTTCTCCTTCTAGCAACAAAAATACAACCATCAACTGCTTCAGTTTCGTTGCCTTGTGCGTCGCACAAGTTGCAACGTCTACCGGATACCTACATTGGAGTTTCTAGCAAGCGGAAAGTCTGACACTGCAGTGTAGAGGTAGGCTGTGACTCCTTGTAGGAAGACTAGAGGATATACTGATAAGCGTAACTTGGTAATTAAAGCCCTCTTGGGATAAAAAAACGCACTGTTTGTTGTCACAGAGCCTCAAAATGGCACATTCATAAAGTCAACAAAGTTGGATTCACTCCAGTGTCATCACTGCCCGTGGTGTTGGACGAAGACAAAATCAAAGTCCACAAGAAAAAGAAGAGTCTTGTTCCATTATATGAACCATCTATCTAGATGCCCATAGAAGTTCAGAAGAAGAGTCTTGTTCCCATCACCTAGACTGTCTATCGAGATGACCATGAAAGTTTAGAAGAAGAGAAAGAGTCTTGCTCCTGTTATCTGACCGTCCATCTACTGTAGATGCCTATAGAGGTTCAGAGAAATGGGTATAAGTGTATATGCTTCACCGAACATCTGAGTAGGTGATTATGCAACAATCACTGCTCGCAACTAACTCCATAACCGTGCCTGTTTTTGGTTTCCCTTCATATATGAAACTGCAAAGCAAGAACTTTTGTTGACCGTTTTCCTTTTGAATACCCTCTTAAAACTTAAAAGTCTCCGCACAGAGATGAGAAGCTTGTGAATGTCTTGAGGGCTGTCCGCACTGATGGGAGAAGCTGCTGAGTGCCTTCAGGACCGCTCGCATTGATGAGAGAAGCTGCTGAGTGCCTTCAGATCTGCTCGCACGGATGGGGAAAATCCTCAATATCATCAATGTGCATCACGTGTGGCCTGAACACCACAAATTCCTCGTACAGCTCTCCATGCTTAGCCGGCTTTCTCACCCTACCAGTCCCACCACTCTGCTCAGAGGAAATCTTCTAGTCCTCTTCGAGAGGGTTAGGCTTAGGGGTGGCAACACCGCTCGCGAGGCCACCATTGACCTCGCGACGCTCACGGACGGCCTCGGCGAGCTCCTCGAGGGTAGACACGGTGGAGTCCCAGTCGATGCATGCATCAGTGATGGAGACGCCCTTCTTGAGGGCAGAGGGACCCTCAGCGGGAACCTTTTGGTTTCCCTCATTGATGTTTGATTCAATCATAACACCAATGATAGCCTTCTCGCCTTCGCGGATCTGGTCAGCGACGACCTTGGCGACCTTCGGCTGGTTACGGTGGTCCTTGTTGGAGTTGCCTATCGTAAGTTTCGTCAGTCACTGTTCGAACTTGAAAGTGTCAAGCATTGTAGACTTACCATGAGAGCAATCAACCATGATAGCGAGCTTCTGGCCCTTCTTGACGAGAGTCTCCTTAGCGTCCTGGATGTTCTCCTTGTCGTAGTTAGGGCCCTTAGTGCCACCGCGGAGAATAACGAAACCGTGCTCGTTGCCCTTGGTACGTGTGATAGCAGCCAGACCCTGCTTAGTCACGCCCATGAAATGGTGCTTAGCGGCAGCGGCGCCAATAGCGTCGATCGCAACGCCGAGGTTACCGTCGGTACCGTTCTTGAATCCGACAGGGAAGGACAAACCGGAGGCAAGCTCGCGGTGGAGCTGGCTTTCGGTAGTACGGGCACCGATGGCACCGACAGAGATGAAGTCCGCAAGGAACTGAGGGGAGATAGTATCGAGCATTTCGGAGGCGATAGGCATGCCGGCCGAAGTCAAGTCGCAGAAGAGTTGACGCGAGATCCGAAGGCCCTTGTTAATCTTGAAAGAGCTATCGATATCAGGATCGTTGATAAGACCCTTCCAGCCGACGGTGGTGCGGGGCTTCTCGAGGTAAGCTCTCATCACGACCACGAGGTCGTCTTTAAGCTTCTCAGAAAGAGCCTTGAGTCTGCTGCAGTACTCAAGAGCGGTGGCGGGGTCGTGAAGTGAGCAAGGACCAACGACGACAAGAAGGCGGTCGTCCTTGCCCATGATTACGTTCACAGCCTCCTTGCGGCCCTTGACGACGGTCTCAAGAGCGGCATCTGTGATGGGGATCTCGGAGATCAGAAGAGCAGGAGGAATGAGGGGATCCTGTCCCTCAACTGGAAAGAGAGAACACTGTTAGTCACGGTACGCTGAAAACATAGCAAGTGATGAATTTTTGATTCGTGCCCGCGGCCAACTCCCACTGTCGCTTGGAACGGTTGACTCGGATATGAGAATGGACAGACAGCCACAGCTATTGTCGATGGCATCACGTCCAGCAGGGCTGGTGATATGCTAGGTACTGAATCCACAGGGATTGTTTGAGAGATGGAAAGCTTACCTCTGGTGTCATCAGCCCGAAGGGGCACCATATCGGATCCGACCATGGTTTCTGTCAGGGTGAGAGCTGGTGGGTATGAGAAATATAGTCGTGGGGGTAAAGCAGGAGAGAGCGAGAGAGTTGAAGTTGTCAGGAAGAAGTTGATGTTGAGTTCAAGAATGACTCCAGTCGAGGAAGGTGATTTGAGTTTTGCTTGACAGGTCGAGAGGAAAGAAACTCGGCAGAGGAAGGAGCTTGAGGTCCAGGTATGGGCGAAATAAAGGCAGGCAGGACCCTGTTGGCAGACGCGTGATTGGATAAGGTGATTGGGCCTGAGGAGGCGACAAGGAAGGTCCAGGTGGAATAGGGTGGAAGGGGGGTCAATAACAAAGAAATTCTGCAGCCACCGAAGCCAAGCTGAGCAGATGGAAGACACAACGGGAACGAGGTAGCGTAACTCCTTGAAGTGTTTGCGGATGAGGCCAGGCCTGAGCTAATTCACTTGACAGTCTATAGACTCTGGGATGGAAGGAACGAGGACAGAAAACAACGCTTTCGTCCAGCTACTTATAAGATGAGATTTTATTGCCAAACAAGCCCACGTCTCCAAGTATCCTTCGTAGTGACTCACAAAACCACGAGGGACCAAGCACCCAGGGGACCCTCTCGTCCAAATTGCAAATCGAACAAGGTGAGGGCAACGAACGGAGACGGGATGTGGACAGCGGGAAGCAAGCGGGCAGGCAAGCACACATTGAAAGTCCGGGGTGTGTCTTTCCGTAAACTTTTGAGAAGATCTGTGCGGGGCAGGGACACCTGCCCGTGGACACTGACACACACAGCAGTCAGCGGGTACGAAAATTCGGGTGAAGAGTGGAATTTTGGAAAATGCCGCCTGCCATTGATTTTCATGTTTTGGAAGCAGCGCCCCGTCTCGAGTACAGCCAGCTCACGGATGGATTCGATCGACAAACATCTTTCATGTTCACAGTTCTCCAACAAACGTGTGGATGGCGCTGAAACTACAGGCTAGCAGGTGGTGCTGCGTGCTGTTGGCAGGGTGCTGTAGTAATTCGGGGTTCTTCATTCGTCTCGGACGCTTGGCCTCAACCACGACTCGGCTGCCCCATCCGCTTCCGTCTGCTAGTGTCCGATAAGCGGACCAATGGACCAGGGCTCCTGGGAAGCTGTTGATTCTTTCCAGGGTTCGACGCCGCTTCGATGCAACGTGAACCACTGCGTCTCGACACGCCAGTGAGGACATCACGTCACGGCCCGCAGCAGCAACTCCCGTGGCCGTGGGTTGACGGACGCCGGTATCCTCGGTCATTTTGATGTTTGATTTATTCACGCACGTATTCGACGCTTGGCCGCTTGAGAGAGTATGCCTAGACGTATTTGAGGCTGGCCTTTTGGTGGTTTGGGGAGGCACTGGAAGCTCAGGCCACCTGCAGCCTCTCCCTTTGGATCGTTCCATCTTTGATTTCCTCCTCGTCTGTACATTTTTTTCTGTTCGTTGGATGGCACCTTTGACGGCTTTGAATTTAGAGGCAAGCAATCGATCTCGACGTCGTTCCAGTCTCCTTCTTCAACATGTATAAGTTTACGGGTAACACTCGACACTTTCTCTCCTTGGACCGTTTGACACAGTTTCAATTTTTGATCCTGTCAGTCCTCTAGTCGAGTTGGTCCCATCGGAACAGTCCTCGACTCGCTCCGCAACTTCGTCTCTTCAAGTCTCCTCACCAGGTCCAAGACCTCGCCATACACAGTATAGTCGTTTACCATTTCATCCCATCTGTGCAACCTACGGCACTAGGATACAAAAATCAATATCAACATTGTCCTCAAACCTCAAGAGTGGATTCTACCCGTTGACACCTTCTTCGAGGAGTGACGTGTTGGGATGGATCCTGCCCGGGGGCCTATGAATCGGCGGACTCCGAAAGCCGGAGCGGCTACCGAGGATGCCCAAGCAGCACCGGAGCTTTACCCTTTTTTTGGCCATCAAGGTACAACACTTACATGCCTCGCGTGGATGGTAGAGGTGTCTGATTCTGACTTTGTTCTGCAACGGCAATTGGGGAACACTTTCTTGGTATAAACTCTTATGAAACTCTATCGACGACAATTTGTCACAGAGTTAAACAGCGTTTGTGTCCTGACCAGGCACTATGGCTTTAGTATTGTTGAAGCCAAGAGAAGCTGGAAACTTTGAAAGGGGACAAACCACCTGTACAGTTAAGCAGATCTTGAAGAGAAGGGCAGGTCGTCCGATGGCACGAGTTCGGTTGACTAATGAGAACTTGTTTATAGCCCGGTTGCCTTATAAGGCTGAGAACCTAGCCTGGCTTGATGGTCGTGTCGACCAGAGGGGCGTTGGAACGAAGCTTGAAGTGCTGTGGTGAGCTCGTTGTTCCTGACCTTGGTAGAGGTAAAAGGTACCTTTGGAATCTCACCAGACTCACATGTCTATAACTCTCTGAGTTGAGTAAATCCAACAAGAAAGGTCTCGCTTTCAGATAACTACCTCTATGAGCATGCCATAGCCATAAGACAGTTGGAGGCCAAATCGTAGCTCGAGACCAGGAACCCGGTTTCCGAAGGGCGTTGACTGTCGTTGATCTCCAAGATACCGCAAGGAAAAATTATTGGCTAGTACGGTAGGACTAAACCTTTCTGGTACTGTGGTAGGATGGAAGTGTCAGACAGTAAGAGCTCTGAAGTCATAGCAAGTTTACCTTGTATTGTGGCCTTGGAATTTTCGATAGAGGCCACAGCATCATGGTTCCACGCTCGAGATGTCCTCGGTCTGGAGCCGGTGGCCAGGGTCGATGAAACAGCCAATGAAATCGAGATTGAAAAGTTTGGACATTGACTTGCAGGTCTGTAGTGTACCGTCCGATTTTCTGAATCAATCCTGAAACGGAAGATCCATTCGCCATGTGACTCGAAGTGCTTGGTGGCAAGGGCTGAAGGTCTTCAGGTCGTTGCCCTGTTGCTTGCTTTGTGTCGAAATCCCAGCAGCTTGGAGCTGGTCCACACCCTTTCGCAACGACAAAGACGGGAACGAACGTGAAGACTTGGAGGGTCCATATGCTGAGCTGAGCTGAGCTGAAGTACAAGGTCTGCACGGCGCACGGGGTGGTCTTGTCCCTACTTGTACCTATCAGCAAAGGCGAGGGGTGAAGGGGCCTTCCCCACACTGATCGCAGCAAGAGCCGCTAGAAACTTTTCAGCATGGCGGCGGGCACGTTCACATGTCCCAGGTAAACAAGCTCCTCAACACCCAAACCATTGAATTGTCATCTCACCACGGTCAGTCACAGTTAAGAGGTCGAGTATCGTGTTCCTTTATGATACCTTAATTCCAATGGAAAGTTGACAAGTCTGTGATTATCTCAGCTTCTGTGCCTCGCACACAATTCCTGTCCTTCCCTCGCTCCAAGTCCAAAACAAATGTTCTTAAACATCCTTGCAGCGACTGACGTAGATGCCTGCCCGCGAACACTTCCACTTGCAGTCTCTTCCACACCACTGCGGTGATTTATCGCGTGAACTACCCATGAGATCCTGGTGATGGAAAGGCTTAAAATAATATTGGTTGTTGTCGGGACTATATTTTTTTTCCCAAACCTTGCAGACTCTGACCCCCTTTTCCACTCGCAGCTTGTTCATCAAGCTGTTGCTACAAGTACAGGGCGCCTACTTGAAGGTTTTATTTACTCCCCCACCCTAAAACACGGCAAATGCTATTATTCAATCTCAGCAATAACCTTCTTGGTGCTTCTGAAACGGCAAGTTCCGTGTATCAGCGGTTACCTCTTGCCGCTTTTCCAATATCTTCACGATAACTGCAACAAGAACTGGAAGCAGCGAAAGGTGTCGAGCACGGCATCCAGGCCAGACCAAGACCGGACTAAAAGATCCTAGACAGGGTTGTCTCCGCACGGGAAGGAGCCGAGAACTCAAGAGCGGTTTGGACAAGTGAGGGACGGTCGAACGGTGACAACAACCCCAGGCGCACTCACTCGGCTGCACCCCAGTTTGGACCTGAACAATTCAGCCCCCCCCTTCACCTCCGCTGTCGCTGCCACAACGCCCTTTCCATTGGTCTCCCTTCGAGAAGGCGGTCTCCTATTCACCATTCAAGCGGCCTTCTGCCTATCAAGTTGAACGGTCAAAAAAGGCAAGCAAGGAGTGCTGATCCGGGCGATTCCAGGCATCTTTCTCTTCCAGTTGCCAGTCCAGTCGGTTCAAAGTTGTGGTCGTCGTAAGACGTGCCGATACCGAACGTGACATCCATCTCGGCATTACAAAGACTGATAACACCACCACCACGACCACTACCAACACAACACACACTCAGCGCTCAGCATTCTTTCAGTCTCACTCAGCTACCGGGCCACCCGTTTCTTCTCTCCCACAAACATCGACCGCTCCATCAGGTTGTTGCACTTATAATAAGAAGAGGCTTGCGCTTTTCCAACCAACGCTTCCTTGCCTCTACTTGTTCCTACACCGTAACAGCTCGATTGATTTCCCTTGCGGACTGCCAATCTCGGGTATCGCCTACGCACAGCTTCGTGTTGCGCATACGCAGGTCGGACAACATGATGGCTCCTCATGCACGGGCCGCAGGTCCCCGTAAGAGATCGCGGGAGGATGATTATGCCGATGCCTCAATGGGAGGGGTATCAGGCTTTTCTGAGCATCGGAGTGTAAGTCTAAGCCGTCTTTCGCGTCTGTCAAGGGTCATCTCACCCGACGTCTTGCTCCTACTATATATTGCCCCGCCCTTCCTCGCACGACTTCTGCTGTCAACATTCCCCCATCCGAGACCGTCCTGTCATCTGCCTTTGATGGGATGCTAACACCCGCTCCAGAAACGCCAGCAAATCTTGCCTGTTCGCACATCTCCCAACGCCAAGAGATGGCTTCATACACCGAGTGCCTTTCCGCAAGAGACCCCGCAGCCCGTCGTCTCGGGCTATGAGTACTATGGGGTGCCGGAACCATCAAATCATAATGAGCACCAGGTCACGGAGCAGCACGTATGGGCCGCCGAGCCTGAGCTCCCGTCCAACTATAGCCCGGAAAGCATGGACATGGAGATGATGGACTGCGAACCGGAGCCAAGGCATCAAAGCCAGCAGCATAATCATCAGCAGCAGTACCTCCAACCGGGCCAATTTCAACCAGACCACCTGGCGCCCGAACCGACCATCAGCAGCCGCATTCCGACACCGCTCCATTGCAGCTTCGCCGAGCAAGTCCGGGGCAAGCACTGGGGTGGAGCGGCGGGCAACATCAGCATGGATCACAGAGGATCATATGGGGTACCTCCTCCTACACAGCAGCACCACGAGCCGGCCGTCTCACTCTTAGGCCACGAGAGCGTCCCTCGCTCGCTCGACGGCGCCGCTGCCACTGCACAGGTAATGGAGGACTGGAGTATGGTCCAGAACCGTCGGCTTCCCTCGCCCATCAGCGAGGTAGGAGGAGATATGGAAGACAATGGCATGGGAGAAAGCCCGCGGATGATTCTCGGGTCATACCACCCTGGCCATCAGCATCACCATGACCATGATCACCACGGCCACCACCTTCAGCAACATGACCACCCCCTTCCGCGTCAACGCCTCAGCAGCCTCGACCAACTAACCCACAGCCACCCTCTTCTCTCCGCCATGCCACTACGCAACTCCTCCCTGAACAGCCAAATGGGACCTCGTGAGCCGACGCCCATTCCCCAAGGAGAAGGAGAATATCAAAACCACCATGGTCATAGTCATAGCCATGGCAGCATGGATGGCATGGACATGGGCTCTCCCCAGACATCGCCAAAAACCCTGTCCCCACCCAACAAAAGGGGACATCAACGCTCCAAACACACGGTCAGCTCGTGGACCATGGGAGCCAACCAAGCCGGAATGAAGAGGTCGTTTAGCATAGGGTATCGGGATGACTGCGAGAAGTGCCGGATGAAGGTTCCCGGTCATTTTAACCATATTATCGTGTCGTAGAGCGATGGTGGGAGGCGGTTGATTAGCTGACCTTTTTGCTCTTTTCTTTTGCTTTTGTGGGCGAGGAGGTTCGTGGGAGTTTGGGGCAAAGTACCTACCTCTTGGCTAGTTCCTGACGACTGGACGTGGGAGAGAATCGAACGGGCTGGAGAAACAGGCGTCCAGACATCCAGGGGCTCTCGGGAATCGAGGATTCAGTTCGTCTGGTCCATGTCTACTACGACCAAATCAGTGCCTCGATGGTCCAGCCTCAGGGTGGGCTGAGTCGAAAGCACTATGGTATGGCATCAGGTTTTTTTGCCCTTTTTTATCGTGGGGTAACTCCTGAGGACGTGGGAAACGAAAGAAAGGGGAGCACTGGTCGGGGACATGGCCTTCAACGGCTTTCTGGGAAATTGAAAGCTCAAGATTCTGGTCTCCTTTGGTTTGATATGGTTTACCAGACTCAGATCAGTACGGTCAAATCACACACTGAGCAGAGATCAAACCACTTTGACATTTCTCCTTACACCAGAGGGCACTTTCCATTTAGCCCGCAGGAGATTGGAGGGCACATAACAGCGTTGGTTGAAAAAGAAAACCAAACACTAGCCTCATATTTCTTTTGCTTTCCCGCCAGTATATCAGGATTTTGGTCCGCTTTCACCGGTCCTTTCTTTTTTTTTCTTTTTTGTCCTTCTGGAGTTTAGGGCCTTTTAGGAAAGACAGGAAGGAGTCACATTGACATTTACAACATCACACGGTCGTTTACTATATACCAAAGTTGACTCCCAGACTGGGGAGGAAACACAGCGCATGGAAAGGGAGAGAGGACTGGAACATGGGATGGTCGTTAATATCAGCCTGACTTGGTTTCAAGTTCAAATCATGGTGATCAGGTCACTTCTCAGTCTCTCAAGTCTCAACTCTAATAGCTCAAGTAGATGCACCGATGCATCACGCAGATAACAATAATTGGCGAATAAAATAATAATTGACAGACTTCGTCGTTAAATACCTCTATCCTGATTGACAACCGACGTCAAACTGCAAAGATCTCATCCGTAGCTGTGATGTCTGCTCTGTTCTAAATATGATAACAATGTGTGACCGTGGATGAGATGTACTAGGTCCCGGTCACCAAGTCCAGCTCTTTCACAAAGTCAAACCTGCCAGGTCGGCCTCATCTCCAGGGTAGGTATACAAGACATCCAAATACACTGAACACTTCTACTACTATGTTGTATCTTTATATACGTAAATCCATCTCCTCTGCGCCGATTTATGCAATGACTGACTCCTTTCTACACTATGGTACATTGGGGTAGGGGCTCTTTTGTCGAACATGTATCCTAGCCCGCTCGTTTCCTCTTATCTTGCATCCTCAACACTTCTTTGTCGTGTTGTTGAAACCGTAATTTTGCCGTACGCACATCCATCCCTTCATGCCGCATGGTACAGGTCTCGCCACGCGTTATCGTTGCGGTCTTCCAGCATCCAAGGTCTAAAGAAGGCTGCTTGGTGATTCCGTTCGCCCACCCCACCCGCCCAACATTTGTTTAAACAACCCTCATCAAATGCTTAGTTCCAGTGATGATGATATCAAATGCCCAGCAATGCCGATCATTGCCAGGCCACATACGGCCAAGCTGCCCGTAGGATAAGTTTTGAGGAGATGCCCATCATAAGCAAATCGAGGTGATGCCCCTACTCCATCATCCCCTCACGGTCATTTTGAGAGACCGCTTCATCTTGGTTCGTCTACCCCGGAGTATCACCCTTCATCTCGTTCTCCATCCGCTTCAACCCACTCACTTCTGCTCAGGCAAGCCCACCTTGTCAAGGGGGCCACCCTTCCTCTGGTTTTCCTTCTCCTTCTCGAACGCCTCTAGCGCCTTCTCCTTGATGACGCTCGTCTCCTGCTTCACAGCACCGACCAACGTGGGGGCCTGTCCCGCACCCGCGGCAACATCCTCCTTCTTCAGCGAGCCGGTAAGCCACCCCCAAAGTCCCGACTTCTCTGTGGCAGCTGCAGGTTGCTCCTCGGTCGTCTCCTTCGGTGTTGTCGCCGCCGCCGAGGGCCAAGTCGCGGCCTCTGATACGCTCGTTGTCGTCTGCTGCTGCTCTGTCGTCTCGTTCGCGATGGGAGTCGGGGCGCCAATGACGCTGGGGAACTTGGAGAAGATCGGAGGCTTCGACGGCCGGCCTCGCGCTCCTAGCTCCGAGGTACTCCTCCACCAGCGCGGTCTGCTCCTCGGTCGCCTTGCCGGTGATGTAGGCCAGGCGGGCGGCCTCGAGCGAGTCGGCCTCCATCTTCTTCTGCGCCTCGATGAACTCGGCCTTGCGCTTCTTGTTGTACATGATCATGTCGGCAGCGGTGTAGGCGGTTACCAGGCCGGCCATCACTATGACGTATGTTAGTTCTTGGGTCTTGGATTTAGGAGGCCAGGAACCAGGTACTGAGTCTCGGAAACTGGTGGGAGACGCAAGAGGAAGCGTAGGAGCTAGACTGAACTAACCTGTGAAACCAATCAATCCCAAGACGGTGACCTTGTGCGCAGAGTCAAAGAAGCGTCTGCTGCCGTTGATGATCCGGTCCATCCTCGAAACCTGCGCCTGCTTCGCCTTCAAGTGCGCAGCTCTTAACCGCGCAACCCTTTGCTCTGGTGTCTCGACGAATCTGGGAGTGCCCTTGGGCTCCTTTGGCGAGCTCTTGGAGGCGTTGAGCCGGGGATCCGCGGACTTAGAGCTGGCATGGGGAGTCGTCGGGGTGAAGCGTGTCGCGTCCGAGACGCTGCGGGGGTTCGATGGGGGCGCCATTGGATCGGAGTTTGAAGCAGTATTTATATGATGTCCGGTTTCGGGAAGTAGGTAATCGGCGTCGAGGTCGAGTAAGTGTAGTCGGGTCTGGACGGGACTGAAGGACAGAATGGGGCTCTCGGGGGTGAGCTCTGACACTTTTTTACGTAGGCGAGGTAGGGAGGTATGGAGCTTGGAGATGTTGCCGGGAGCCCATCAGATCATCCAATTCAAGAGATTTTTTGGCCGAAAGCTTGCGAACCGCTACGAGCTACCCGGCCGCTAGCTTCCCACTCCAGCCACTAGCAGATGTGGCTGACACTCCAAACGCGGGGTCGAAGCTTGGACCGTCAACAGCTGGAGGGGAGCACTCTGCGAGCAATTGGAAGACTGTTCAGTGGCTGCCACATTGCCAAGCACCCGCCCCGGCTGCCCGACCGGGGTCTGTGTCTGGGCCGGCAACTGGACCGATGGAGGACGGGCAGAACGGGGCTCGATTTTTTTGACCGGCAAGACTCCATCGCGCGCCTCGAGTCGCCCGCTCGTTGCCCGATTATTGTCGCCCCGTCCGCACCCGCGAACGCAACCGCCAACCCGGTCACTACCCCCGCCGGACAACCCATACACCCCCCAATTGCACCTTGCCGTCGTCGCAGGTTGCACCATCAACACACCAACCATGCGCCGCATTCCGAGGATATCGTCCACGGCCTCTGCCCTGTGCAGCTCTCCGTCGCCTGTCGCTTCCACATCGGCCGCTCCCCTCCGCACCCTGAGGGCCCAAGCTGCCGACTCCTCCTCCACCTGCCAGTCATGCAACTTCTCGACACAGATCTCCGCCACCCGTAACCGCGTCTGGCAAAACACGCTCCAGACACAACGCCGATGCGCCTCTACTGTTTCCGAGACCACTCCCGAAGCCCCGGTAGCCGACGCCGCCGCCGAAGTTGCGACCGAACCCACCTTGACCCTTGAACAACAGAGGAAGAGGAGAGGAGTAGCAGGATTCGTCGAAACCCACAGGACCATCAACCTTGTCCTTCCAGGGGACCGCAAGAGGGCCCCCTTCCCAGAGGAGATCACAGACCCCAACTATGAGCCTGCCGCGTCTGGCGCGGGGTTGCAAGAGATTGGCGGTATGTCCGACTGGTGGAACAAGCCGGAGCATTTCAGGGATGGCGGGAAGCAGTTTGAATACCAGGGCTTTGCCGCGCAAGAGAAGATCACAGACCCCAGGCTGTTGAAGGTCATTCTGAGGAGGGCGCTCGTCGAGGGTCTGGCTCTGAAGAAGTTCGGCGCCAACCCCAAGAACCCTGCGGATATCGCGGCGATTATCGGCAATGGCGATCACTGGGAGAGGACTGTCTCCGTGGAGATGTGCCGCGGGGAGAATGGTGAGCTGGCGCTCAAGAACGACAGCGACTTGCAGAAGGTCTGGATTCTCATGCGCAACGCGGCGGAAAAGGCCTACTACACACGCGAGTGGACGGAGGAGGTGGGCAGGCTACGTAAGGTCGGCGAGCACGAGCAGGCCAACCAGCTGCTCCAGGAGGGCAAGAAGCTCGGCTATCATTTTGGAAGCGAGGAGGGTTCCCGGGTCCAACTGAACGCCGAAAAGGCCATTGAGCTCCGCAAGTCCTGGAACAACGACTGGAAGGAGGCTACCATCCGGGACCCCGTCGTCAAGTTCTATGTACGTCCAGTTCCGCATCACATTGTCAATGACAAAATAGCTAACAATACTTTCCAATTCAACAGGCCGCCAAGCGCATCCAGAAAATGACCGGCCACCTCCTCTCCGACGGCAAGCTCACCAGCATCCAGACTGTCGCCAACTTTATGGATGCCCTCGTCACGCCTCCCAAGCCCAAGAAGCTTGCCGACCAGATTGAGCAGAGCAGCATCTTGCCCGAGCTTCCCAACGTCAAGGTTTACCCCAGGAGAATCACACCTGTGGACAAGGAGAAGATGGTTGGTCGCTGGAAGGTCATCGAGAAGGAGCTCCAGAAGCGTGAGATCCCTGTTCTCGGTACGGGTAACATCGGCAAGTACGTCGAGCTCAAGTGGCTTGGTAGCAAGCAGTAAGGAGTGGTGGCCGTCTGTGGTTGGTTGTAAAACGAGCGCAGCAGCAGCAGATGTGTATGGTTTGGACGTAGGACCACTTTTTATGGCGAATGGTTTACAGATGATCCTGGCCGGGATCAATATGGCGCCGGCCATGTGTATACTATCTATGCGCCCAAAAGATGGGCGCGTAGCCGTCTCCCTACTCGGTCGCAGTGGCTACTGCTGTGTACCGGTAAAGTGTATAATGTGGCATGTAGCATATACGGGTGTCTTTTTTGTTGTATACTCTCTTTGTTGTTTGTTCTTGCGCTGTTGTGATGATTACCCCTGAGTATGGGAGGGCGCACGAGCCATCTGTTCTCTGTGATGTTTTAGGCTATCTCATGGTTCAAGCTGACAAATGCGTCAAACTTGCTGTGCTGTTTCATTGTAGGTAGTTGACATACTCAGACCTGTGTTCACGGCCTTGTGAAATGAATACTTCAACCATATGCTCAGTCCTACGGAGGTGACAACGGGAGCTATCAACTTGTCCCGGTGTTAGCGCGAGACTTGAAAGCTGTGTTACTGCCCAATATCATAACAAAACCTGAAGCTGCAGCCAATCCTCTTCATCGCTTGTCAAGCAAATAACCGAGAAGAGACAACACGGGAGCTACTCCAAGAAAAGAATAAAGCTACGATACCGGTCAGAGAACGTCATTTGTAAAGCACGGCAACCCTCGAGGCCATCAGTTTGATACCTCTACCCCAGATAACAGCTGCAGGTACCTTGTTGACCTCCCCACTTTTGGAGGCCCCACTCACCTCATTGTTTGGAGCTCTCCTCAACGTCCACTCCTTTCTCTCACAAAACATCACCGCCTGTTTACCAACACTTCTCTATCATCGGTAAATATCCAAAGGAAGTAGATAAAAGAATGGCTTTCACACTCGACGAAAATTTGTTGAGCCAGCTCGAAGCTGCTTGGAATGGCGGAGATAAACCGCTCGACGCACTCGCCAATATTCTCGAAAGAATCGGTGATGGCGTCAGAGATCGTAAGTTCCTCCTTTAGTTCAGTGAACATATCAGGTTCCAAAAAATTCAGACAACAAATTCACTTATTCGATGTGTACAGAGCCAACTAGCTAACTCATAATACAGCCAGCTTAAGAGATCCTCTTAGAGAATCCGGCATTCTAGACTTCATCTTGAAAGTCTTACCAACAGAAGAGTTGGATCTGAGCTTGAAGCGTCAATGTCTGCGTGTGCTTGGTAATGGATGTGCCGACTGCGGTAAGAACTGTGTATGTCACCCCATATAAACTGAGCTGAAGCTAAACATCCTACAGATGTGAACAGAGCCAAGCTGGTTGAGTCTGGTGCTCTTCGTACCGTCATCCGTTTTCTGAACGACAGGCCCCTTCTTCCCCTGCTGTTGCCTGTGTTATACAACGTCATTGTTGATTATGGTATGACGCCCGTGAACTTTGGGATATGGATATGTGACTGACACTATTTTAGAGCCGGCACAACTTCAGGTCTGTGAAGCAGGGCTAAGCAAAGCCCTCGTAGCTCTCTTGCAAGAAGGTTCCCTTCAACCAGGTGGAGATAATGACCAAGCTCTCAACCTCATTAACAACATTTTCGAGTTACTCGTTAGCCAAAGTATGCACACCCATAACCCATTCAGTTTCATATCTTCCTTTGTACCTAGCTAACAAACACCCCCTACATAGAACCCGAACCCGAACTCGCCAACCCCTCCACCCCAGCCGTCTTCCTCACCCTCGCCGGCGGTTCTTCATCTGGCCTCCCCTCCCTCGAGCTCTTCAACGGCTTCTGCACCGTCGCCCTCGCCTACCTAACCTACGAATCCCTGCAACCAGCCTTCCTCTCCTCGGCCTCCAACATCCAGCACCTCCAACAAGCCTTCTACAACGCCTGCTTCTCGTACGAGAACCTGCCTGACGCAGACCTCGATGACCTCGACCAGCTCAAAACCGTCTGCACGACCTTCGTCACTTTACTCGCCGACCTCTCCGCCCATCCTTCCTTCTCGGAACTCTACCCCCTATCATCAGGCCCCAACGCCAGCCCCGTATCCAAGAAATTCCTCCTCTGGCTATCCTCCGAAAAATTCGCCAACCAGCACCTCCGCACCGCCGCCTGCCTGTGTCTCGGCAACTTATCCCGCTCCGACAAAGCCAGCACTTCCCTCGTCGCGGACCCTTCCGTCCACGTGCACACGCACCTGGCTTCGCTCCTGGCGCAAGCGCTCGACCCTGACCAGAAATCCGTGCCTGCCACCCCGCAGCTCTTGCACGCTCTCTTGTCGTTCGCGAAGAACCTGGCCATCCCGCAACCCAACAAGACGCCGCTAGGCGAAGCGTTCCTGCCGGATCTGCTGGCGGGTGCGTGGGTAAAGACGGGCGTGCAGCCGCAGGTGCAGTTCGCTGCTGTTTCGCTTGCGAGGCTACTTCTCGTAAACTCGCCAGGCAATGTGGCTAAGCTGTGTAAGCCGCTGGCGGAGGGGTTTAAGCACACGGAGAAGGAGGGAGAGGTGAAGAGTTATTTTCACTTATTGATGACGCTTGGGGCACGGTCGGATCTGGAGCCGACCAAGATTGAGACGGCTAGAGGGGCAATGAGTGTTGTTAGGGCTTTGCAGGCTGTTCCTCAGGAGGGAGAGGACAAGGTTGAGGTTGTGGATGAGAAGGATTGGACTCGGGAAGCATTCTATGAGGTGCATGGCTCGTTGATCGCGAAGCACTTGACGCATTTGCTTGCGCAGGGGAAGTATCCGGCTTTGAGGTCAGAGGTTCTTTTCGTGCTGGCGTTGCTTGCGCGGTCGACGGATGGAGGGGCGAGTGTGGTGATGAGGGTGTTGAATGAGGGGACGGAGACGGTCAAGAAGTTGGCGGTTGCGATTACGGGGAGCGAGGATGTTGCTGCTGGGTTGGAGGGCGAGTGTGGTGATAGTGGGAGGATCGAGGAGGTTAAGGATGAGAAGGAGGAGGAGGAGGATAAGCCGGCTGAAGTGACGTCGATCATGGAAGGGCTGAACCTCAACCCTCAACAGGCGGAGACTAAGCCATCGGCTGCTGCTGCGGCGAAGGATCGGGAGAACGGGCTGGTGTTGGTTGCGGAGATTCTGAGGGCTCACTCGAGCGAGCTGAAGGGGCCGAGAAAAGAGGTGTTTGAGGAGATCCTGAAGAAAGGAACGGAGTTGTTGCAGAATGATAGGAAGGGAAACTAGATTGAGCGGATGCCAGTCAAACGAACATTAGCAAAGAGTAATTGGCCTGCATCTTCACATCAGGGAGTCAACGGTTCAGCAGAGGGACAAGTAAAACAAGACGTGATCAAAAAACTAAACAAGAACTCAGGCATTTTGTTGCAATCCATATGAACTCCCCGATTGGTATCACCCAGAAAGAAGGACCTTTTGAAGTTGGTCAAGAATCATGCTTTTTCCGTTGTCCATTCATTGTGCGCTGCTCTAGCAAATCCCTATGATGCGTGTAGTAATTGAACCGTGTCCCGCTTTAAAAAGTGACGTGAAATCCCCCGGAACTACACGGCCCATGGTCGAGGATGTCCAACATGGTGGTCCTCGCCCAGGTGACAAGGAAAAGCATAACCGAGACCAGACCAGCCAAACACCGCCACAGAGATGCCGCTTCAACCACCCCGTCCAAGAGGAGCAATTTACTTGCTCTTCTCGGCCTCGGCAGCAGCCTTGTCCTTGGCGCGCTTCTCGCGGACACCAACGAGCTTGGCGTCGGAGCGAGCCTTGCGGAGGGCGCGGAAAGCACCACCCTCGACGTTGGAGGGGAGCTCGGACTTGTTGATCTCCTTGAAGCCGGAGACGATGGGGGACTCGACGCCGAAAGCAGCGGCGACGCTCTTGATGGTCTCGCCGGCCTGCTGGTCCTTGGGGGTATCGGCCTTCTTGGGCTTGTTGGACTTGCGGGGGAAGACGACGAGGCGGGCCTTGTAGGCCTTCAGGCGCTCGACATTGGCGGCAAGGGACTCCTCGGAGAGGTTGGCGCGGCGGGGGTCAACCGAGATACCGATGGTGGGAGCAAGGAGCTTGGGGATACCAGCAGCCTATAGTTTTGTATCTGTGTCAGAACCAAATGCGTTCTCGGTGATCGCAAATCTGCATGCGTCGTTGCGGTCCCATCTCTCAGGGTTCTCGGATGTTTCGTACCTTGAGCTCAGCGAGGGAGAAACCACGGCCGAGGCGGGTGCGGCGGTTATACTTGACAGTGCTGCACACAAAATCCTGTCAGATCTCCACGTTCTCTTCGAATGTTGTCGGAATGCAAAGGTTGTACTAACGGGCACCGGACAATGGGGCGGAGCTTGTCAACCGGGCGAGGGGCAAGAGCAGCAGCCTTGGCCTGGCGAGCGACACGGCGGGAAGCCTTCTTGCCAGCCTATTGTTTTCCCATCCGTCAGAATCATAGTTCCCAGCTTGCAGTATCCTCCTCCTGGTTCTGCGTGTGTGGTTTTAACGAACCTGGTCGAAGTGGCACCTGACGCGCCTCTGCCAATCCTTGCGGAAATCTGAAAATTCGTCAGTCCATGTCGTCGTTTTTTTTGCGATTGAAAGTCGTCGTCGTGGTTGTCGTCGGGCTGTCGCTCGGGATGGGGATATGCTCACGGTTGTTGGGAATCTGCTGGTTGTGCTTGATCGCCTATTACACCCAAAAAGTCGCGGTCAGTCAAATTGGACTTTCATCGTCAAAATAACATGGACGTCTGCTGTCGCAATCGTCCAGCAGCAATTCGGTACTCACCATTGTGACGGTTGTGGATCAAGCGCTCTTGATTGTCGAAGAGGTGCCGCCGGTCAGTAAAGGCAGATGCAATTTCGAGGTCAACACGGCACGGAGGAGTCGCTGGCCAAATTTTTGGCAGGGCTTGAAAACCCTATGGAGGGCGGTGGGGATTGGTGATTCGACCGGCCTGCCGGTGGGGCAGACTCGCCCTCGCCTGGGCAGAATTCAGTTCTTGGCAGCTGACCGACGGCTGCCAACTGGCTCGCACATAACCAAATTCTCCACTTTTCAATTGGCATTGACGGCTTGTCGAACTGCTCTTCACTTGCACAACGTCTTTGAAAGCCATGAAGGTGCCGCGGCAGTGGAAGTGCCAACATTCGCGACGGTCATCATGGTCAACATTCTGCACCAAGAAAACTCAAAGTCGGTCAACTGCTTCTTGACGACGTTCTACTTCTGAAGAGCCTGGGACATTTTCACTGCATCTGGAGCGTAGGAGTTTGCATCTACTGCATATCACCTTCCAGTGCACAATTGTGCGACGTCATTGCATACAAAGACGTCCAAGTCACCAAGGTTCTCAAAAGGGTTCAACACGACGCAGCTTTCATATCTGGCGAGGCACTCAAACAAGCTGTTGAATATTCCGACCTTTCCATATGTTTTCTTTTATTCATCGTCTTCTATAGCTGTTTTATCATGCTTCCATTTTGCCATTTTCCCAAACTCCAGTTTTCAACCCATGAATTCTTCCCATTGAGCAATGCTAACAAACCATCACCACTGCTTCAACGAGCAATTCTACTCTTTTCGAAGCCACGGTGCCACCTTGCACATGCTCTGATCTCCTCTTAAACCCATTGACGAGACCAGTTTGCCCGTCTCTCTTCACGCCTCCTCCCATCACCAACCCATCTTGGTTGCACTGCAACTTCGCCAGACTCTGAACCACAAGGTCATAGTCACCAAAGAAGCGATGCGTCCTCACATCTTCCGCGCCTGTCACTTCACCCTCTCCCGTTCCCGTCAACCCATGACCTAGCGTGACTCCCCACACGTCCTCAACCATGATGGCGTGGGCGTCCACATCTGGATCATTCTTTAGCAGGACCGAGTGCATATCCCCAGTGTAGCTGACAGTATCGCCATGCGCAACATCCATCGGGAACACCCAGCCCTTCCCATCATCAAGCGAGATAGGATGCCACGGCGTAACCAGCAGCGATCCTACTCCTCCTACTCCTGCCCTTCCTTCAGCCTCGGCCACCCTAACCAAACACATTCTCTCGTTCTCAACAGGCGTCTTCAGAACGGCTCTTACCTTCCTAAACCCCTTTGGCGTCTGTACCATCATTCCCTTTCGCAGCTCACTGATGGCAATCTCCCTTGACACCACCGCCTGATCACTATCCTCCTCTTGCTCTTCAGAAACAGCGATCTTAACCCTCGACTCCCCAGCAAAGCAAGGATTTCCGCTCCTGTTATACGCCCGCATGCTAATCTCGCCCGTGAACCCCGTGGTCCGACTCGGCTTCGGCGCCGGCAGCGAATCAAACGCCGCATCTAACCGGTCCCGACACTTGATGAACAGCGGGCTGTCGGTGCCATACATTAGTGGGCCAGGGTCCTTGAAGCTGTTGCACACCTGCCGGGCGTGCGCACCCGCTAGAGAGGGCAGGTAGTGGATACCCCAGCGGTTGTAAAAGTCCATGTTGGTCAGAGCCAGGGCGACTTGGCCGTCTTGGTTGTGGGCGGGGTCGTTGATGAAGGACGTGCTGCTGCCGGTGAGGTCTTGGACGAGCGAGCGGCAGTGAGGGTCAGAGGCGAAGGCGGGTTGGGCGGCGGGCAGAGTGGAGAGGAAAGATTGCAGCGAGGTGGCGAGGCTGCGAGCGAAGAAGCGTGGTTGGTGCTCGCCGTCACGGCGGAGGGGGTAGAGGGAGGAGAGGAAGGAGATGAGGGTGGAGCGGGAGATGTGGTAGGCGATTTGAGCGGGGGTCAGCTGCTTGACGAGGGGGTTGGGTCGGAAGATGTCTTCACACTTGGAGATGATGGTGTTGGTGATGTTGGTGAAGTGTTGGTAGTCGAGCGTGGCGAGCACCGAGGGAGGGGATTCGAAGTCGAAACCGTCGTCGATGGCTTCCTGGGCTTTCCTGTCGTAACTGAGGAATATGTCGCGGGACTGGCCGTATTGAAGGGTGCTGAGATTGAGAGTAAGTTGCATCAAGGAGTCTGGGTCATCGACCTCCTTTTCGGGCTGGGCAGGCTCTGCTTTCTCAACCGCCTGCTCTGTTATCTCATCCTCTTTTCCAAGCCCGACGGGCTCTACCTTGTCCACCGACTGTCCCGTTGTCTCCTTGAGACCCAAGTACTTGGGGTAAGTAAGGCGTAAGACGACATTGTTTGCGAACGTCGATAGGAGGTTCGCAACCGAATGAACGAACACAGTTCCCTATTATTCTCTTCGTCAGCACTCACTCTACTTTCTCTCATCATCAACCAATCCCCAAAACCACGCGCGAAGTACTACTCACAATCATCCCCGCATCCGGAATAAAACGAATAACCCCCGCCTCCAATCTCCGCCACGCTCTTCAACAACCCACTCCTCAGCGAGTATCCAAATCCAAACGTATGAATACTTGCCGGCAACCTCTCCATTCCTTTCAGCTTTGCCACATACCCTTGCGCCGGACACATGTGATTCGGCATACCATCCGTCAGGACCATGAGCGCCGGCACCCTTCCACTCCCGCCATTATCCTTCCCGAATAACTTGAGTCCCTCGACAATGCCTCCCCACAAATTCGTCGCGCTAGTGGGTTGCATCCCGCCCAGGTTCCTCTCCGTTTTCTTCTTGTTGAGTGCCGTCATGGGCATCAACGGTTGCAGGACTTTGGCTTCGGTAGAAAAAGTAACGATGCCCAGACGGTCGGATTCATTAAGCGTAGAGGCAATGGTGCGGGCGGCGTGCTTGACTAGGTCTAAGACTGAGAGGCCGTTGTGCTCCGGGTGTTGCTGGTCTGGGTCGTCGTCGGAAGTGGTAGTTGGCACTGGAGCGTCGGCAGACATGCTGCCTGAGACGTCGATGGCGAGGACGATGTCGCAGGGAACATGGTGGAAGTCATGATCTCCGCTTTGGAAGTTGGGAGGAGAAGAAGGGGGGATGACGCGGAGGAGAATGCCGCCATTATGGGAGGGGAGGGTGTGGATTTCGAGGTTGGGGGCCGCGGGTTGGTTTTCTGAATCTGCGCTGGGGCTTGCCGCGGTTGCGGAAGAGGGCGAGGTGGAGGATAATATAGGGATGGTAAAGGGGGTCTTCATGTTGAATGGATTGATTGGGTTAGGTTTGTCCGGGAGAATTGTAGTGTATAGGTGACAAGGTGTTTCGGAAAATATCCGAAGGGGTGCGTGCGGGTCGTTTGGGGGCCGGGTTGACGGGAGAAGGCCGATGTGACTGGCCCGCGAAGGTATCTGTGTGTAGTGTAACTGATAAGAACCGAACTGCCGGTATCGAAGAACGAGGTATATGTAGGTACCTCGAGGTAATCGTGACGGTGTTGTCTTTGCAGTTATCTCCGGGTTAGAAGCTCCTAAACGATAAATGATGTGTGCTGCGAGCGAAAAGATATAAGATTGGGCTGCTGCTGCCGTTTCTTTGACGGCTAACGGAAGGTATGTGTCGGCTCTGCGGTCAATGCATCACCTGTGGGCAGATGTAATCAGATGCGGCTCAAACCAACAAAACATGTGACGCTTTATTTGATAAAGATGTCGCTTATAAGTCAGAGACGTGACCTCGTCAAAGATCAAAGAGGCATCCAACTTAACCCAGGAATTTGTCCATCCCTTCATACTGTACGATTTGCCTTCCTCAGGCAACAACAATGGATCGAACTACTGTAGATGGTATGGAGGAAGGATACGGTTCTTGGTCCGTATACTCGCCCGGATTGAAGGCCGAGACTGACCCATGAGCCGGTATGAGAGGCGGCCTTGACATCCGCCCAGCGCTTGGCAGCTCAGCGATGTTCAAATTAAAGCGGGCTTATGGAGAATTGATGAACAAACATTGTGGAGAGGGAGGACATTGACCAATGACCAGAATACCTAGTGGCAGAGGAAATACCGACGGTATGTATCTGGTATATCGCCACGAGTTATCGCGCAACGACACAGCCAGTCGGCTTTCTTTGTTGCGAGATGTCAGAGCTGCTGAGCCACCCGGCCGAGTCCAGCGCCGATGACCGGGACCACCTTGGCGCCGACAATCCCCAAAGACAAACCGCTGTGAGAGTTCGAAGGGATAGGCGCAAACATCGGTCCTTCTTCCACGTTGTTGGCATGCAGCAGGAGGCTGAGTTGTTTCACCTTAGAAGATGTTGAGCTTTGAAGTAATCCACAGCGGAGAAACCATCTTGAAATCGGAGCTGTGCAAATGCAAATTGAACAGCGCTGAAAAAGACAAAAAGGGTCTGTGTTAAGGAATATGGGATGGAGAGAAGGGTCGTGCACCATGTGGGGCAACTGCAGATATCCTCCACTTTTGATGTTCCCCGCCAACCAAGCATGTGGTAGGAGGGCCCCATCTTCTCCACGCTCTGTGCGTTTTGAACGACGGGGCATTTCCATTTCTCCATCATGAACTTTGTGCTGAATCCGATTTCAACATTTCACTTTCTTTGTTTCCTCGTTCACCAACCAGACGAAGAATGTGCCGTGACTCCTTACAAAACTGGCCTCCAAAGCACAACCCCTTTGATTCTGTCTAGACTTCATATGACCATCCGTCCCTCTTCATTCGCCCTTCAGGACATATGTTTTTTGCCTTTGGCGTCTAAGCCTCAAAGTCAGGGTTGGCTTGGCCGAGGTCATTGGCGCTTTGACGAAGTCGGCCAAAAACGATGACATCTTGGCAATCCATCACTGCCCTGATTCAGTGGATTCTTCAACCCCTCGGGCGCCGACGACTTCCGTTCACTGGCAACTGAACCAAACACAACACGCACGAACAGTCGCGCGACAGTTCACAGGACTTATAGCGTACAGCATCGGTATCACTCGGGATGATCCTGATCGTCATAGATGTCCATTCAACGTAAGGACACCACGTAGGGGTTGTACACCTGGGCACACCGCGGATCTGTCCGGTAGTTGGGCACGTGCTACGTTTCGCTCCAAGAAATCATACGCAAACGCCGATTGTTGACTCTCCGAAACGTCTCCATCCTCGGAGTCGTGGCCCCGTCTTAGCCTCTTCCGTTCCCGTGGAATCCACTTTATGTAATGCGCGATGACGACGGCGCCATCTTCTTTTTTTGTTGCGCATGTCTGTCGTAGGCCATCATTACCACCAACGAGCACCACGTAACCGCCATCAGCCTATGTCAAAAAAACACGGATGGGATGGTGGGTTGATATAGCGGATGGGTGGGCAGTTGAGGACCAAGAAACGGCCGTGAATCGACTGATGGGCAACCCCGGTTCCACACGCTCTTTGAGACGTTGTCGTCTGCAAACACCCGTCCTACCGTCGTTCAGCCACCGGCGCCTCGCGATGAATACCCTGAATCTGGCACTGCAATGTCAGAAGGCCACCATTGGTGATGCCGACTGGGCAGAGAACCACGGAGGATGCCGGACATCTGTGCCCTTCCTGGCCTCCTTCACACCCTCACACCCTTTCCCCCCACGCCTCTTTTCTGAAATAAGCGTTTACCAAATCCCCATAGCTCACCTCATGCTCTCATTGGATGCCATTGGACATGTCCTCCATCTCTTTTCATCTTTCCAGTCTTCCCCAGCCGTCCCGAGCGTCGAGACATCCCCGTCCGGCTTTAAGAACTGCGGGGAAGGCTCCGATCACCCCAAACACTAACGCAACAAGGGCAGCGATGCAGCGCACTTGTGGCCCACTTGCATACGAGGCATCGTCGAACACCACACATCACTGGCTGGCTTTGTCACTTTTGGCTTTTGCTTGGCTTCTCGACATGTCCCCCCAAAGTGTCGCAGTTGTCTCAAATATGGGGGGATTTCCCCGGTTTCGCATCACATCCCACCATCTGCTCACACATCTGCCCAGCTCGCTGCGGCGAGCCGTGTCCACACCAGCGGCAGTGTAAGTCCAATCTGCGGCCAAGCATGCAGACGTGTTTCCTATTTCTCCCGTAGTCAAGGCTCTTTTTCCCGAATCAGGCTTCAAAATGATGGGCGGCGGGGAAGATGATGGGGGGACATGAGACTGGGGGATCACCGCCAACAAGCTTTGTGCGGGTTGAGGTACCAAGTTACCGTGGCTACGTAAGGGTGTGAAGCTCCGAGATGCGGCGTGCCGAGAAACTGATAGGGAATCCTATCCTTTCTTTGATTCGTCATTCTCTTTTTTGTTACAGTTTACTTTCAGTCAACGTTTGCCACTGATATCGGACAAAAGCTCAGCCTTCCACGTCTATATATCCCGTCTCCCACCACCTCCATTGTGTCTTGAACTTGAAGTCTTTGTTCTCAAGCCCTCCCTGCCCTCTCTCACAAACCAAAAAGTCAAATCTCCAATCTAGCTGCCTGGTACTACCACACGCAACAAAACAAATACATACACTACAACACATATCTACACCTTCACACTCACTCAGTAAGTTGAACCAAATCAAGTACACTACTCAGTAACGAACAACCACTCACACCTCATGTGTTCAACAGAAATGGAAGTCAAGACCCCCGTCGTCCTCGCTCCCTCCATGGCTCCCCGCTGCTGCCAATGCAAGACCATGCTTGTCATCAGCAACTCCTGCTGCCACTGCGCCCACCACCAGTGCTCCTCCTGCGTCTAGATTCGCACACCACTCCCTTCGAGCACACCGGGCCGATACAACCTAGCGATGGTTATTTCCCACGCTAGTAGTCAAACCCGTCTTCAACCGGCCATCATGGCCTAACGACATCCATTTCGTCCCCTTCTTATAACGGGGATTGTACGACTATTTTTATGACACACAACTTGATTTTGATACCCGGCGGAAACTTCAATTCAACCAATTTCGGAGGGTTTTGCGATTGTTTTTGGATTCGATTCGATTCTTTGGCTGCGCTTTTTTCACACACACTTGCATTGGATTGGATTGGATTGGATTGGATTGGATTTGGGGGATACCAGGCCATGGTCGGAGGTGTTATCTTCGCCAGCATGTCAGTTGTGACAACATTTGGATGGGAGTTTTTGGGCAGCGCTGCGATGCGATGATGCGTTGGTGGAACATTGTGTATTTTGTCCAGTACGTAATGATATTGGAATTTATCATAACAATCTGATGCCTACCTTGACGTGAGATTTTGTTAGTGTTCATATGTTGTTCATAAGATGAAGGAAAGTGTTGGGAAGGTGCGATGGATGGATAGCTTGGAGGGGCACGGAGAATACGTATTTGGAGACGGCCACGGCACCCTGTCGAAATTTAATTTCCCAGTTCACTGATCATCACTTTTCCATCAAGAAACGCCATCAAGCAGTCCTCTCCCAAAAGATTTGAGGTTGTCGGCAACCTATCAACGACATGTCGCCGTGGAGTCTACGTCGATCAAGCCATGCCGAACGGCTCTGTACACAGTAGTAAGGCGATTGTTCATCTGAACATGACACCGTAATTGTCGCTGACAATATCATAGGTTCGAACGTAGCAAGATGGAGGTGCCCGACCTTTCATCCGGTTTTCCTTCCTGCGAATCCAACCCTGCACTCCACATCGCCCCCAAACGGCTCCCCCACGAGGCTTCCTCACGACGTCCACGACTGGATGATCTATACGGCAGGGATTCAACCCACCATCAGCATGGCGGATGACACTAGCGGGTTGTGGATGCTCTCTGGGGACTTGAGAATAAAATCATGGAGCCGAGCCTACAAGGACTCCGAGTTACCACGAGGATATCTGGTTCCGAAGGCTACCAGGACATGAAGCACGCAGTGACTTCAACACCGTCACTTCGCTTCTGTTTGCTAAGATGTCAACCGCGGAGACATTATTCATGGGGTATCCACATGCCACATCAGACGGCATCAAACATTACATGTCGTCGGTTCATCCGTCGTCTCAACTTCTTCGGCCTGAGTTTGATGCCGAACTTTGGCACCCTGGTCGGTCATACCGACCGCCAACATGTACCGACCGAGCGCCGACTCGATCCTCCCGCGGTGTATATCTGGAACTCTCCTCTTCCCACTTCTCCCCTCTCTTTCTTTCCCCTCCATCCTCACCTGCACCCCTCATCTGCCGAAGATACCTTATTCTCCTTCCACCTCCCGCGGGCTATATATATCTCTATTTCCACTCCTCATCCTTCCCTTCCACATCCTCTTCCACCTACTCGTCGACATCTACTTTCACTTGAGCAAATTTCCTCACTGATCCCGTACCCAGCCGACCAGCTACTGCTGGATTGTGGGTCAGGGAGCTGAACGCCTTTTCTGCTCCGCCGTCTTCTGAATAGTATTCAGTTGTCCCTCATTCTTCAACCAGCACCGAGCGTTGAACGCCGGCAATCCAGCCAAAATGCGACCATGGGATACAACGGATCCAAACGGCAAGATCGACGCACTGGATGTCCTCCCGCCACAAGTCCGCCTGCCGATGCTCGAGGATTGCCTTGATGCCGGTCTCAAATATTCTTCCGAGCTTGCTGCACTTATTGAGCTCTCAGTTCAAGAGAATATTGATGACGTGGACGATGATGCGGAGGCGGACGCATTCGGGAAAAAGAACCTTGATCAGTGGATCAAAGAAGCAAGTGAGTACAACGACCCAAATATAGCTGAACTACACGGGCATGGCTGACCAGATGAAGATGAAATCAACGAGGAACACAAGTATTTAGAGATCCTTGTCGGCATACAGGGAAAGACCGGAGCGGGGAAGACGTCTTTACTCAATGCCCTTCTCGGATACAAGGACATGCTGCCCTCCAACGACGCACTTGTTGCCACCGCTGCGATCTGCCAGGTTGCTTATAACTATTGCGATGATTCTAAAAAGGCGTTTCGTGCAGAAGTCACGTTCCGGAAACACATGGAGGTTAAACATGAGCTAAACAGGTTTTTCGAAGACATCAAGCTGCGGAACCAACTGTTGAACGGAAGAGGCAAGTTTGAAGACGATGACGACGATAAGGAAGGTCTTAACAGCAGTGACCTCGGTGAGGTCATCGAAAGAATCAATGCAACTGCCGAGAAAATTGGTCCTGTCTGGGGATACAACTTGACTGAGTTAGAGGGCATGTCGACGCAGGATCTGCTGACAAAAGATGATCCGGCAGTGAAGCTCCTGAGTACAACGAAAAAGATCCACTCATCCGACCTTGCAACTTTTGCGCCAGCGATCAAGCCATACTTGGACGCCACTACCACCAACATATCAGGAAGAGCTAGCAGGGAGACGAGGGATATGGCCGTCTGGCCGCTGATTGATCACGTCAAAGTTTACGTCAAATCGGACATTCTTCGGGGCGGAATTGTACTTGTTGACCTGCCGGGTCTCGGAGAAATTGTCGAGAGTCGAGCGGCCGTGGCAAAGAATTTCTACAACAAGCTTACTGTGACCATCGTTGTCACACCCTCCGTCCGAGCGGCCGGCGAGAAAACAGCTGTCAATCTAATGACGGAAAACCAGGAGATAACCATGCGGATGAGTGGCAAGCTTGATGATTGCGGGTATTGCATCGTGTTGTCCAAAGCCGATGATGGCATTGATTGGGAGACGACAGCACGAAACCAGGGCAGGCAGGATGACATCAAAATAATGGGCGACTTGTTCAGGAAAATCGCGGATGAAACTGCCGCCGTGAGGAAACTAAAGCCGGAGTTGCGGAGACTGGTAGGCTCCTTGAGCAAGAACAACAAAATCAGCAAAGAGAAGAAGAGAATCTTAGTCGCTGAGTTGAGGGACAAGAGGGAGAAGAAGCGAAAGCATCTAAAGGCCCTGAATGACTTTCAATGGCAAAAGAAAGAGTCTCATTGGGGAAAGATCTTCACGGCAGTCCAATTTGCAGCTCCATTCTAGAACGGGATATTAACCGCCACCTAAGGGGAAAGCATGCAGTCTTCATGAAGAATTGTCCTGGCGCAGACGCTCCTTATTGTCCGCCCAAGATTTTCCCCATCAGCGTCAGAGCATATTGGCCGCTTCGCAAAAGAATCGAGGATGACCCTGATGCGCCACAAGAAGAGCCGATGGAGGGATTTCCAGATGAGGCCTACACAGGCATTCCAGCTCTTAAGAGCTGGTTGTACGAGGCCACGATCCCACCGAGGGAGCGCCATATGAAGGCGCTCCTCCACAGACTCGTTGGCTTGTATAATAACCTGCAGACATGGTCCGACCAAGAGTGCGAGAAGATCAAGCTGGAGATGACGCCGGAGGAACTGCAGGAGAAATATCTCAACACGGAGTACAAGATTCTGGAAAAGGTGAGTTACTTACATCTACTGGGAATTGAGCCACCGTGTGTTACATAACCGGACTAACCTTTTACCCCGTCTTTCACACGTACAGAAACTCAGAACATTTGGAGCCGATTTTTCCAAGGATGTTGCAGATTGCAACCCTCTTAAGAACACAAATAAGGCTCTGGCCACCTGCGTCGAGGAATGTGTCGACCAGGTCAACAATTGGATCTACAAAGATTCCCAACGCGCCAATCCTCACGCCAAACTTGCCTACGCCACCTTCCTCGCTATCATCAAATCCGGCGGCGGTTGCTTCCTTAGCCGGGCCAAGGGTCAACGTATCATCTACGACTGGATGGACGGTCTTGCCAACACCTTCAGGAACCAAGTCGTATCGCAGTGGGTTACCTCTCTGCACAAACAACTACCCGGTCTTGAGGCTCCTGCTGGCGCCGCGATCGATGCACGGTGGGATCATTGTGTCGATACGATCATTGGAATCCTCAAGAAAAGCTTCCCGCGCCAGAGACAGTATCTTATTACCAAAATTTCCCCTCTCAAATCTATCAAGGAAGAAATCAAAGACGCTATCGGGAAAGTCCTCGATGATGTGGCTGTGAACTCGGACGGTCTGCATAAGGAGCTAGCGGCGGATATGAAGGACAGGTGGAAAACAACGTTCAAAAGGGCGGCAGGAGCAAAGCTGAAGGGGAAGGGCAGCATGAAGAATCGACACCAGGTCCTGATTAAGTTTGCAAAAACCAAGGCAGCCAAAACGTATAAGGATGCGGTAGCGAAAATGAAGAAGGAAGTTACGGATGAGATCAACAAAGTCCCCAAGCAACTGGAACTGATTTTCATGAGAGGCGTGGAAAAGTTGAGGCAGCAGGTCAAGCTTATCATGGACAACATTGTCGAATATGAGAAGAAGCAAGGTGATGGTGGCAGCGTGGAAGGCTTGAAGGAGGAGGAAAGTGAAATCGGCGGCTCCGAGGACTTGAGGAGGCAGAAGATTGAGCTACAGGAAAGTATCAAAGCCATGCTCTACAAGTGGTTCTCTTCGTGGGATGGATGTACGGATGACATTCCCATGACCGACGCCGAAGATCATGAGCAGGGGACGAGGGCAAGTTGGTTGAAGCAGAGCCAGATTCTGACAAGTTTTAGCTTGGGAGCTCTGGGTGAAGTCAGAGACGAACTGGAGGAGGATTGCGAGGACCAGATGATCGATATGATTCTGGAGAATCACGCAGAGGAGGATAAGATAAAGGTCGAGGAGGAAGATGAGGATTCCGATTGAGAACGGGATCCCAGCAGACGAAAAGGAGGGTGATGACTTTATGGACGTACTGGGATGGGAGACTCCATTCGGTTCCGGGGTTGAGTTGGGATCTGGTTGATTTGGGCGCATTTGTTCCATCCCTTTTTTTGCGGTTGAAATCCAGCTTCAATGCTCGCAACTTGGAAGGGGAGAGCGAGGAGAGTCGAAGTTCGAATCTCCCAATGGTCATATTGGGGTCTGCCATGGAAATCAACTGGGGGTTTGATATGGGAGTTAGACGGATGGGAACGAAGCATATGATACCCGGCGCATGGTGTTGACTGGCTTCGACTTTTCAGCCTTGATGAGGATGAGACCAGATCCAAGTGGTACCGCGGAAGAAGCGATTCACAATTTTCAGGGGCCTGTTTCGTATGAAATTTACGTAGAGCCATAGGAGATATCGACCATAAAATACACTTTAGAGACTTACACGTTAATTGATAATTGATGCCGACATGAGGAACTCGATGGTTGAAGTCAGTCTCCCTCAACACGAACCAACCATCTTGAGTCTTGGCGGGAGTTTGAAGTTCCCCGCACCCGTGTCGAGCTTCGATGGCTTGGCATCCAAAACGGCCAGGCGGTAGGAATTGGCGAGAAAGGCTCAGCGTGGCTTCTAGGCGCATTTTGGGCAAAGCGTGAAACGGGCCACATGGGCTGCCCGCGGACTTGTGCTCCTGGGCAACCAGCTGCTGGAGCACAGCAACAGCCTGCCATTCTGTGCCGCCGACTCTGGGCTGCCCGCTGTTCTCACAAAACAACAACGGTCAGTCAACGGCCACTGGACAGCAATCTCCCGCTTCCCCACTCGCATCACTGCACATCCAATTCATCCTCCAAGTTCCAATCCACTTCCCACACATCATCACGCATTTGCCGCAATCGACACAAAGGCGCCCTCGATACGCGTAGCTGCTTTTTAGACGCCCAGTTCCGAATTGATGAAAGCTACATCTTTGCTCGAATCCTGGCTCTCCACTCCCCGTGTTTCCTCCTTCTCCTCTCTCATCACCCAAGGTGCTATCGTGTCGGCCACGCCTTTGAGAGCTTGCTGCCTACGAGTCCCACGACCCAAGTCTACCTTCTAGCGAGTGACGCCAAAGTCTCTGCTAGGCCGGCGCGTATTTCAGACATAGCAAGCCATCCACCACCGCGGGCAATTACGTCGAGTCACCCGACACGGTTCCAAACCACAGCGCGACCAGTCCCGACGATCCCAATTCGAGGATAACCGATATCCATACCGTTACGTACCCAAGCAGACGTTAGACAGCCGACCGACACAATGTCAACCACCGACACAGAGGAATCCCAAATACAGCCAGCACAGCTGCTGGTAGACCTCATCCAGGATCCTTCGCTCGTATCAGAGGACGACGAGATGCGTGACCCGTCATCGCCCGAAACGATACCCTCCACCCAGGCCGTCAACACGCCAGATGAAGTCGACAACGGTGCTTCGTCGTTCAGGTTGGAAGTTAGCGAACAGGGCCCTGTCGATACCATCATTCCCTCGTCTGTGACTCCGCCGCCCTCATCACAGATGCCGAACGCCGCGGCCACGGGGGCGCCCACCTCTTTAGCATTTGCAAACTCACAGCGGTCTGGGTACTTCTCCCCTCCCGCGACGACTGGCATTTTTGGAAACAAAAGGGATGTCGGAAATACTGCTCTGGAGTTCAACCCACCCGCGTCGCAAGAGATTGCCGACGCGTCTAATGACAAACTTCGCAGCATGTTGCAGGCATGCCTTGCGGAGAATGCCAAGCTGAAGATGGAAACCGCCCACCACAAGCTGCAGTACAACTTGCTTAGCCTCCAGGCCGACGAAGATATGAAGCGAGCGGCGGTCGAATACGAGATGACCCGCAGGGAGGTTGAGGCGCTTAGAGTGGCCGAACACACACGACAGGTACGACGCGACCTCAACGCCGCTTCGGAAACCCAGCAGGCAAAATTGATGCAACTGAAGGCCTTGTACGATCAAAAGCTGGAAGAGGTGGATTTCCTAAACCGAAAACTAAAGGCTGCCAGGAAGATTATACAGCAGAAGGAGGACGAGAACATCAGTCTCTGCGACGAGCGGGAACTGCTCCTCAACAGAATCCGTGAGAACCGCGAACACTTCCAGATTCTATGCAGCCCCGGCGGCATGTTCTATAATGCGACAATAGGAAGGCAGACGGTTGCGGTTCCGGCGCCTTCCCAACCGCAACCCCGGACTGTCTATCGCGCTGATAAGGACCACAGTAAAGGGAACTTTACCATGCTTCTTCAAGCTATCGACCAGGAAAACACCAGTGCCCCGTCCACTCCTCGGGGAATATCTCACAACGCTGCCAGGCATACACGAAACGTTCAGTCCATGTCGTCGCTTCCCACCACCCCTACACAGACTGGCGGGCTTCTCCCATCTGTCGATCTAGTGCCACAAACTGAGCCCCCGTACCGTCATAACCGGTATATGCCCGAGACGCCTGTCCGATCCGCGACCAGGCACAGAAGCCGGGAAAGCACGATTTCCGCCGAGGACAACGAAGAGCTCGCTCGCCAGGCTCTCCAGTCGGTAGCAGCCGCTTCCTTTGCCTCCCGCAGCTCACAGCATCAACGGGGCCCTACGCAGCGAAACCCAGCCAACGCCAACGAGGAGGAAGAGGAAGCCTTTGAGAGCCAGGCCAGCCAAGCCGCGACGCAGATGCCTCGTCGAGACCCCCCAGAGAGTTTTGAGGTAGCTGGCTCGGTTGAGCACTCGCGAAACGGCACGCCAGCACCAGCGGATAAGACTGCGAAGCTGCAGGCGAAGCTTTTCGGCGGACTCAATAAGAGCGGGGTGTCGAGCGGCGAGAAGCGCAAGTTTGCCGGACACGGTGATCCGATAGAAGAGTTCTCACTGCGGGATAGGCTGAGCCCGACGAAGAAGCTGAGGACTGTTGGGGGGCTGCGCGATCCTAGCAAAGTTGGACTTGGGATTCAGTACAGCCAAGACGCATAGGTGTGAGGTTTTGGGCTTGCTTTGGATTTGAAGCCCAATGCCGATGTGTGAGGCTTCGTTTTCTTTTTCCCCTTTACAATGTTTGGTGACAGGGAGAATACTGGCTCCTGTTGGACCCATGGCTTTGCATTATGACGGATATTGGATGACTTGGAGCATTGTTGACGGGCATCTTTGCAAAGGAATTATGCATTTGCTTGCTAGGTCGAAAGAGAAGGGAGAAAATGCCGGCCATGTTGCTCACCTTGCTATGGCATCAACAACAAGCTGGTAGACGCAGCGAATGAGAGAGCGTATGCTTCTGTACAATCAGTCATTGCTGAATGACGGTGTATTGACCTTTGAGTCCTCCCCTATGGGCTCGCAAATGGTTGCTATTTATTTGCTCGGTGTTGTTCCACCCCCTGGTCCTCTGTTGACATCACTGTATCTTGGCTTTTACCCATTTTCTGTTCACCCTTCCAAGGCTGATGCGCAACCCATGTTTTCCTGCTCCCCAGAACTCCGATCTATTTGGTATTGTTTTGTCGTAATGTTTGATATGGTATGGTCGATATGGCTATGGGAGCTTAGAAGAGGCGAAAAGTGGGACTATCGATCTTCCCGCCGGGCTCACTGCTGCCGAGTTACATTGCCGCCGCTTAACCCCGTGCCCCCCAAGGTCCCCTTGACCCCACTGCCGGGCGTGTCTTCTCCACTGAACTTCCCCATTTTCCCCATGATTTCTCCATTCCCGACCTTGGAACCCGGCGATGTAAGAGGGCCACGAGGATGAGAGTGACAACCTCTCCCACCGTGCTCCGGTATTGATTGTCCAACGCAACGGGCGGGCAACGGCTCGCTGTCCGATCTCGTTCTTGTCTTGTCAGTCCGGCGGTGTTCGGGTGCTCGGTTCTTCCTTTTCCTTTTATCCTAACGAATGTTCCCGTCTTTCTTCTACTGTTACTAATCTTCTTGGTCTCTCTTCTACTTTGTGCTTTGCCTTCCAGTATAGTTTCGTGATACCCTCAGTTTCCCTTTCCATCTGTCAGCGGTGGCGAACATTTCATACACGATATAGTTGGTCGTTTTTATCAAGGGGCAGCCATAGCACCGAAACGAATCCACCTTCCTAAAAGAAACAACAACAACAGTTAACCCAGATCATCAAATCACAAAAATGGGCGTCCTACCAAAAGGCCTCTCCTCCGTCCTGGCCAAAGCGCCCACCGACGTCGTCATCCTCTCCTCCCTCCGCACCCCCATCACCCGCTCCTACAAGGGCCACCTAAAGGATGCCTACCCGGAAGAGCTCCTCTCCGTCGTCCTGCGCGCCACCCTCGACAAGACCCCCGAGCTCGACCCGTCCAAGATCGACGACGTCGCCGTCGGCGTCGTCCTCTCCGAGCTCGGCGGCTCCAAGGCCGCCCGCATGGCCATGAACCACGTCGGCTTTCCCAGCACCACATCTCTCTACACCGTCAACCGCGCCTGCTCCTCCTCTCTCCAAGCCATCTCCTCCATCGCGGCCTCCATCCGCACCGAGGCCATCGACGTCGGCATCGGCGCCGGCATGGAGAGCATGACGCGCAACTACGGCTCGCGCGCCATCCCGACCTCGTACTGGCCCGCGCTTAAGGAATCCCCCGTCAAGGACGCGCGCGACTGCGTCATGCCCATGGGCCTGACCTCTGAAAACGTCACCTCGCGGTACGGCGTCTCGCGCGAAGACCAGGATGCTTTCGCCGTCAAGTCGCACCAGCTCGCCGCTGCGGCGCGCGCCAAGGGAAACTTCAAGGAGGAGATCGTCCCCGTCACGACGCAATTCCAGGAGATGGACAAGGCGGGCAACAAGGTGGGCGAGGCGCAGACCGTCACGGTGACGGAAGACGACGGTATCCGCCCCACGGCGTCGCTGGAGGGCATGGCCAAGCTCAAGCCGGCGTTTAAGCCGGATGGCGCCAGCACGGCGGGCAACTCGAGCCAGGTCAGCGACGGCGCGGCGGCGACGTTGTTGATGAGGCGCAGCACGGCGACGGCGCTGGGCTTGGGCGATAGGATCATCGGCAAGTTCGTGGCTGCTAATACCGTGGGTTGCAAGCCGGATGAGATGGGCATCGGCCCTGCGGTGGCGATCCCCAAGCTTCTAGGCCAGTTGGGATTGCAGAATAAGGATGTCGACAGGTGGGAGATCAACGAGGCGTTTGCCAGTCAGGCGATTTACTGCTTGAGGGAGCTGGGACTGGAGGAGGCGTGGAAGGATGGCAAGGTTAACCCGGATGGCGGCGCCATTGCTTTGGGTCATCCCTTGGGTGCTACCGGTGCGAGAATGGTGAGCACGCTGTTGCATGGTCTTGGCAGGACGGGTGGTGAGGTTGGTGTGGTCAGCATGTGCGTTGGTACGGGCATGGGCATGGCTGGTGTTTTTGTTAGGGAGTAAAAAGAGTAGAAGGAGTAAAATAGAGCTTGGACTTGGACTTGGATTTTGTAGAAGCTTTTTGTACATACATACATATATTGGTTGGTTTGGGACGTGATATAACGAAGTATTCATAATGATGAAACTATGAATGAATTGAAAGGCAAACAAACTCGGAGGGAGGCTGGACTTTCGGTAAATGAACACTACACTGAGCTATGGTTAGCATGAACATGGAAGATCCAAGTGACTTTTATTTCAACGCCATCAAACTACCTAACGTTCTACCACTTTACTGTAAAACATGTTTTACGCCGACCGTCGGGTGTTATGTACTTTGACAATGACCGGACCAACCCCTCTTACCATAAGTGATAACTCTTTTTCAGACACGAACTTTTCAGTCTTGTTTTGGTCCTGTTTCCGAAAAGCTACTTATTCATCATATGACCGATAATTCTAGGCACATAACATGCGATCGAGTAGTGCTTTCCAGACTCCCAAGGTCTCTTAAGCTGCTCGCGCAACCCTCCTCCGGCCCCCCGGTGCTCATGTTCACCGACCGTTTCATCCCCATAACTTGGGGCGCCATTAGAAATGAAGTCATCCCTACTGACCGGGCGATCTTGATGAACCGGGTGGCCTCCATCAAAAGGACCGCCTTTGGAGCCTGGGTGGCCTTGGTAGCCTGAGTGATCTTCGTGGCCTGCATGCTCTTTGTTGGGCGGCCGGCCTGGGTAGACCGGCTCCGGACTGACACTAGCCGCTGGGGCAGAGTCAGTTTCCGGGTAGTCATCGACCGAAGAATTGTAACCGGTGGTTTCAACGGCCGACTCATTATCAGCATCCTCTTAGTCGGAGGCTGTTTCTGGAGCGGCACTGGGGGTCTCTCGCATGCCCATCGAGCGTAGGGCTACTGTCGGCCGTTGGGTCATGTTCAGCGGTTGAAGAAGAATCATTATCATCTTCAACCTCCAAATCGTGGTCCGGCTCCGAGGTCACGGGAGACTCAGGGCTGCTTTAATGCATTGAAGGGACAGAGTCGTCGGTCTCCGGTTCATCTTCGGTCGTTGAGTCGTTGTCCGATGTTGAGTTGGAGTACTCAGACGTCGAGTTGTAGCCTGATGTGGAGTTGTAATCGGATGGCTCGTGATCATCCTCCTCGCTCTGTGCATAGACGCCGCACTTATCCGTCACGTCTGAAAAGTACTCGTTCGGGCTGGGTGCAAATGTCGAGTTTCCGTACACGCTACCACCATAGTCAAGGTATCCGGCGACGTCGTTCGGAGCAATCTCCTTGATGTCCCACTCATTACCCACGACAAAAACGGCTTGCATGCCTAAAGATGTTGTTAGCGGGCATTGACACATCGCGAAGCACTGGAGTACAGTGAACTTACCCATCACCATATGTGCCAGGATATGGCAGTGGACCATCCAAACCCCCGGGGCTGTAGCCTTCAGTCTCCAAGCTCTCCAGCCAGCAGCTTGTCCGGGATCGACTGTGTCTTGGTAACGATAGAGCATAGTCGTGTCTCTCAAGGTAGGTTTGTATCCAAGCCTTTCGATCTTCGCGTTGTTGGCCTCGGCGTCGTATACGCCCGGTCCACTACCAATGTCGAAGACATGCTGGCTATGAACATGGAACGGGTGGGCTTCTACGAACCCAATGTCACTTGACATAGTACCGGTGTTCTGTATGACAAGCTCCACGACCTCACCCAGTTTGATAGGAAAGGACCCGGTCTTTGTGTCCCACCCCTTGTTGCCCTTTGCCACGGTGTAGTTGGGCATTGCGTTTCTGCCTCTTTGGTAAATGTCGACCAGAAGAGGAACCTTGTTGCTTTCTTCGGTCCATGAGATACCCGAAAGCTGCCAAATTTGACGTCCCGTATCACTGTCTTTGAGTTGGACGACTTCAAGGGTAATACGGCGAGTGACCTCTTCTGCAGCGGGTGCTACAACACCGGTAAGAGGCTCAAAAGTATACTCCAGCCAGCCGTTGGGATTGGCGGGAAGGTCGACTGGTGGTATGGCTGGTTCTTCTGGAACTGCGACGTTGTCATCGTAGCGAATCACGGCATATCCACGTAACTGTTCCGGCCGACTGCGAGTTTCAAACTGCAGGTAATATGTCGTCTTGTTTCCGTCTGCCGCAAGTTCTTCGATCGTTTTTGCCTTGAAGAGAACATCGAAACGCTGGCCAGGCCCAAGTTGCAAATCACGAGTGTCAACAGGTCGGAGGTACTGCATGCCGTCAGCTTGGATAACCCTAAATTCGGCGTGGTCCTCAATAGCCATCGTCAGCAAGGAAAGACCCGTGGCGCCAGCGATGCGAAACCGGTAGGTCTTGCCAGGCTCAACGTCAATAACGGGGAGCGTGCAGCCCTCCTCGTTTGCGATCTGCTTCACCCCAGGACTGGGATGTCCTTCAGGATTGCTGGCATGTCCTCCGCCAAAAACTCCGTTCTGGCCACTGGGGCCGGGAGTGACTTTGCTGTCAATAGGAATAGAACGGCCGTTTAGGACAATCCCATTTGTCCCGCCGGGCCATCTGTATGGAACGCCTTGGACATCTTGCGCCATTTTTTGATCGCTCTCACGGAGATAGTCTTGGAAGTATAAGATACGTTCATCATCGTAATCGAAGGGACAGGAGCTGCAGTCGTCCACAACCAGAGGTCCAGAGCAGGTGGTGGCTTGCATCGCTACATGTGAGTGGTAGAAGTAGGTGCCGGCATCGCCAGTTTCGGTCGCAACCTCGTAGTCGAAAAAGTGTCCCGGAGGAATCGGCCACTGCGAGGCTTGGGGAGTTCCGTCTGCGAACGGTGCCATCCGCTGTGTCAAGCCATGCCAGTGCTGTCAAAGGTCAGAATTGGTCCATGCTTGACAGGTTACCAGTTGGGGGTAGTTACCATGGTCAGATTCAGATCTGACATGTCATTGTATACCCGGATCCAGGCTCTTGCGCCTGGGAGCAAGCGTATTACCGGACCGGGGGATGTGCCGTTGACAACAACACTTGGGCGACTTTCGCATCCGAAATTGACCTCGGTGATAGTCACTCGGAGGTTGTGGTCTGGAATAAAACTGTTACCATGTACTGCTGTGAGAGCAGCGGACGAGCCGAAGAGGTAGGGTGCAAGGAAAATGGAAGATAAAGTTCTTCGTGGCCACATGGTAAGGAAGAAAAAGGGACAGACAGTAGACTGTCTTCGTTGCGAATATCAGCTTGTCTGGGTATACCTATAGGATGGCTTGCCCGCCACCACTTGGTCACCGGGGTTGAAGAGACTCGGCCACTGCAAGACGGCGAGGACGGAAGAAGGCAATACATGGAAGGTGGGCTTTTCAGGTCGTCCGCCGAGGGAAGGTCCGCCCCATCCCCGCGCTGTAGGCCATGTCCAATCCAGAACCGAAGGAGCACAAGTTCCTTTTGACGCACTTCAGATGGATCTTGACGCCGAAGAAAGAAGACACAAGAGGCAGTGCAGGCATGAGTATGCATCGATCGCACATTGCACCAGGGTTCTGACCATCATTCCCTCCGTACTAGGATAGGGGACATTCCTATGAAGCTCGGGAATTTCCGATCTCCTCTCGAGATGGACACCATTGTTATTAAAGGCATGTCATTCCCACGACCTTGGGAAATCACCCGGGTGCTGAACTGTGAATCCATCTTGTCTGAACTTTGGACAAGGCCGACATTCAGCAGCCTCGGATGGGAGGATTGCAGGCCGACAACATGCAGTGTGCACGTGTCCGGGCGCTTTTCTGGTGCTCAGGAAGCTCCCCATAGGTGGTTTCAGATTTCAGCCTGATGAAAGCTCATGACAGATGCTTGACCAAGAATCGCACCCATCGTGTGCTCTTTCTGGCAGGTGGTTGGGTCTGGGAATTCGTGACATGGTGAAAAGCTGATGAACGGAGCACGACAACTTGAATGAGGAGACGGGAACGGAACTGAAAGAATCAAGCTTCCACCACAAGAGGAAACGGAAAGAACTGAAGGCATATAGGGCAGCGAGAGATTGCGGTGAGAGTCCAAAGCTCTTTCCAATACCGCGATATTCATGGCATGTTGGACGCAACTGGGAGCAAACATGAATGAAAAGATGGGAAGGAACAAATGTCGTCGGGACAAAACGCCCCGAAAAGTAAACGATGTTACAGGGTTAGGGCTATAGGCGTAAACAAGTGAGTTACGTACCAGGATGCATGGGCCACATCCCACTTCCGGCCCGAGACCCTGAAGTTCCTTCCTAGATCTCTCCACCTAACCGACGAGTACTTGTACCTGCGCAGTCGCCGTTGATGACCTGAATGATTCGACAACCTCATCGCGCTTGGAGCATTTCTTTCTGTTTCGCTGATCCTCAATCTGTTCCCAATATTAGCAACATTCCCCCGTTCACGCCCTATATGAGCAGAAAGAGTGCGTCTTCTGAAGCCAAGAAACGCATGTGACAAACATGCATGTTGGCTGTTCCTCTGACTGAAGCCAGGCACAATGCTTGCCGCCAGGGGCAATCGTCCTGAAGTTTGGAGCTCGTCATGGAGGTGAAGCGGCTGAATCGATGATTAGTCTTCCTTACATGGCCTGAAATTCGAGCTCTTAGAATTCTCAGAAGATACTTGCGATATTGAACCGCTGGATGCGGTGTACAATATCTGACGTCACGGCATGGATCAAGTCTAGCCCAGCCCGACTTCCCCATGGTCAAACCCGTTACGGCGCTCACGGGGCAACCTTCACTGCCGGACTCAACATCAACCTCGACCGTCCCCAGAATACCATTGATATAGACCGAGACTTCCTACCTCTACATACTCTCTTATCTTCCCTTCCTTCTTTCCTACCTTTTCTCTTTCCTTATCTTTTACTTCCTTCCGGCTAAAGGCACGCCAAGGAAAACACCAGAATACTCGAGATACCCCACGGCGAAACCCGAGCAGCTGATCCTTGCAAAGCCATCCGAACGCCCAAAGTTTGAGGCCCAGACTTTCATTCAACGACGTAACGGGAATTATCATTTGACCTCAACTCGCAATCATTCTGTACCTACGTAATAGGTTTACTCAGGACGAAACGGAAACCCTCCGCTCTTTCCACCATGACCTCCAATAACTCTGGGTCATCTGCCTCGGCCGTCCCAGACACCCTTACCGCGCCTCAACTACATGCCTTGTTCGACATTCTTACACACTATGGGACATATTCCGAAGTGGAATGCTTCAAAAATGCTAGTGCCATTTCCACCTATGGCTATCCCTTTGCCTCGTCGATAGAGGGCGCCTCCAAGCCTGTCATCAAGAAGGAGTCATCAGTCCCGCTTCTGGCAACCTTGTTGCGCGCCATCGTCCTCCCGGTTCCAGGAGTTCGCGATCTGCCAGCTGGTTTCTGGCCGCTCAAATTTCAAGGAATTCTGACCAAATTTGGTGAAGCAGACCTGTCCGAGAGCTACGACAAAGGGTCTTTGGGTAGTAGGAAAACCCTCGCGACTGGCGCCTCGGTTATTCATGAGTCTGTCTCCAGAGGTCTTATCGGCGGTCTTCCCAAAGGGTCACCAAGAGATCTAAACGGTAAATATGACAGGGCCATGGCACAGGACCTTGTGCGCGCCTGGGAGGACGTACTGCATGAACTTGTCTATGGAAATCTGGTTGGAGAATTGTTTGATCGCATAGCTGAGAAACCCGACATTGAAGGCCACTCACTTGGTGTGCAGACCGCCGTGGACTACATCATTATTCAGTATGTGATTCTGGCCTTCTTTCAACGCCTTTTCTCTCACTGACTAACTTCCCTCAGCCTGGCCACGTTCATGCACCATGTTTTCGTTCTCTCCCCCGAAGGATCTTATCTTTTGCAGATGGTGGCGAGCATACACAAGCTGGTACCTTATTCGGCCGTCAAACAGACCCTTCGCATTGGAAACGCAGCCTCAATGATAAGCGGGTTGGTTCGGCTTGTCCTTGCAAAAATGAGCGTTGGAGGCCTAACCAACTGGCTCGGGCTGACACAAAATGCTGACGATGGCATGAACCTCCTGCAGAGGTAAGTGTCGATCGATAGTGTCCACTTCGACAATGGTCCAATACTAACAGGCATAGAATCATCTCCCTGATCTTGTCGTGGGACATGGCAGAGTTCCGGAAGACAGCCGAACGGATAGAAAGGGCCAAGGGTGGTCCATCTAAGGATCACATGGCAGTCATCAAGGAGTACGTCGCCAAGTCGAGGGAAGACCACTTAACGATCAGGAACACCAGCGTAAAACGATCCGAGTCGATCATTTCTACCATCTTCAACGAATCTCGACGCGGCCTTATGAAGTCCTTGTCCAAGGAACAGCACGAGCAGTGTCTGGAATACCTATCAACCTTGCTCGCAATCCGAGACCGAGATGAAATCATCAAGATCCTTTGCAAGCAAAACCCAGATCTCTTCACCCAGGCCGTACGGGACTTTATCGGTAGCTTCGAGCCCATGATACGAGCCGTCCATCAGAACATCGACCTTCGCGAACACGTCTCCGCTGCTGAAAGCTTTCTAACCGACCTTATCGAGACCAGCAAGGCGAAGGATTCCCCGGTGACGATCTCCAGCACATTGACAGCCGACAAAACGTTGGAGACTCGAGCCCCGTCCATAGAGGACTATGTCGGCTTGATTAGGAGACACCGGCAGTCCGCCTACAACTTTGTCCACCAGGTGGCCAAAAACTGCCCCGAGATCAAGGAGGACTTCCTCGAGTACTGCAAGAAGACGCTGGCGCAGTTCCGCCAGAAGCAGCCCGAGAAGCAACCATCAACATCGGCCACTCCCTCAAACAACAGCAACAGTCAAACAATCGAAACCACCAGACTTCGCAAAGGAGCAGCAGGCAGTCTAAGCACCGACATCCAAGCTCTTTTCACAGCCCTCCCTCCTTCGATAAAACCCCAAATCCTCGCAGCAGCAGACGCTCACGCCACCTACCTCTCCTCCCTCGAAGACCTCTCCCTCAAGCGAATGCAACACATCCTCGACGACCTGGACGTAACCAACCCCCCACCTCCTCCCTCACTAACAGCAGAACCTAAAAAGGAAACCAAATTCTCCCTATCCACGACCTCCCCCTTCGCCTCCCGAAATCCCAGCCGGCGAAATAGTGATAATACCAAAAACAAAAAAGCAAGCATGTGCGGCCCCGGCATGTTCCTCTCACGCTGGCAGAGCCTGATGGACGAGACGCTCATCACTCCCCAAGTCCCCACGGGCGGCCAGGTGCGGCGCGGAAGGGACGTGAAGGGAGTGATTGCGCAGGCGAAGACGACGGGCGAAGTGGCCAGCGATGCAGACAAAGCATGGGATTCGGCGGCGCTGATGAGGTTGGTGGAAACGGAGGTGCCGAGCCCGCCTGATGTGCAGGTGGTGGTGAAGATGATGGGGAGCGGGTTTGGGGAGGTGGTGGAGGGGAGGATGTTGGAGAAGATTGAGATACCAGCGGACGTGGATGCTTGAAAGTCGGGTGGTGGGAGGAAGTAGACATGGACATAATCACGAACACAAAGGAGACTCGAGTGATGATCAGATATGGTAATTGAAAGAAGGGAAAAAGACTTGTATTGTTCAATCTAGCCCATTATCTCTCTCTCTCTCAAAAAAAAAAGGGGAAAATACCGATAAAGCAGCTTCGTGGCTAAGTATCATAGGAACAAAACCCCAAAAGGCCAATCAATCCCAAAGCTCCTATGCTTCCTCCTCCTCCAAGGCGATGGCTACCCCTCGTTGTCGATCCGTTCCGTTGCCGAAGAAAAATCCGTCGAGAGGCAAGTGACGACAGTAGAAGTCTTCCAACTTCGCGCTGTCGCTTTCGCTGTCCACTAGCGATTCAGAGGGAATAGATCATGGTTGCTTTGTGCTTGGGGTGGTTGGTCGCATTGAGCTTGAGGAGCGGGCAAATTTACTTGCTGCCGCAGTTGGAGCAAGAGCCTTGAAAGTTTAATGTCAGCGGTATGTTCAATCAGGATAGTAGGTCGGCATGCGCGATGCGTGGACGGATAATTGGAGCAAAGAAACTTACAGCCAGAGCCGCAGTTGCAGGAAGAAGCACCGGAGCAGCCGCAGTCACCCATTTTGATAGTGGTAGTGGTTTGGTCGGTTGGTTTTGGTAGTGGTAAGTTTGGTAGTTGGTTTGCAGGTTGAGTGACGATTGTCTTCTTTGTGAATGTTCGTCGATGATGAGGATGAGGAATGAAACGGATTGGAAAAGACGTGAGGGGTCCCCGTGAGTTTAAATACACAAACAACCGAAGCAGATTCGTTCCTGCCGCTCGTTCGTTTGCCGTTCGTTACGTACCGTTCGGACTGTGACTGTTACCTTCCATGAATGCCCGAATGAATAATTTGCGGCGCGCGGCGGCACGCCTGCCCTCGCTGGCCTCTCGGGTGTTGGCGACGATCCAAGCCTATCGCGGGGATTGCGGCCGGGTGGGGGAGAGGGGGGTTGCGATATTTGTGCCGGCTGCAGCGGCGGGAGTCAGTAACAGATTTATATGTGACTCTACACTGACTTTTGTTAGTAGCCTCCGCTAGATTCCATTTTCGGAGGAAGGCGTTGGCTGTGTCGCCTGGCCGCCAATGCGTCTTTTGTGCGGCGTTCTGGGCCATTTACTTGAAGACTTGGCACAACCGCCCAGCCCACACGGCGAAATACCCTCGTCGTAACGTGCAATGCGATGACGATAGAGATCGTGGACTTTCAATTGTGTGAATGGTTGCAATGGTTCATGTGATGTCTCAGACCCTGCAGATCGGTTTCTAAGGGTCTCCCATCGTCCTTTCAGAATGATGTTTTGCTGGACAGTTTTCCCGATTGATGACGACTGACGAGCAAGGCGAAGTTGGAGTTGTGTATACTATCTAGACTATGTACATCTCCCGCCCGGCGCTTTGTGCTTTAGTGGGAGGTTTCACAAATGTCCAACGCTACTTTGCGATATTTGTGCCGGCTGCATTCTGTACTGTTAAGTTGCTCAAATGTGCGCCACCCATGATTGTTCTTGTTGTTCAGAATTTGGCCAAGGTATCACGAATTAGAAACGCTACCTTATGTACATGTTCTCACAATGGAGGAGCTGAGCTGCTAGGTGAGTGACGATGATGATGCCAACACCTCATCGTTGACAATGACTTCACTTCAGCGGCAGGAGGTACAATCGATCGGGCAATTCCCCCCACCTGCCGATCCTCCAGGGGTCGAGACTTCCTGAACGGAAGCTCGCTTTGTTGTTTTCAGACGGGATGCCTGCCCGCACAAAACTCAATAATTGAGGTAGTTCTGTTAATGTATTAGCAGATCTTCTGGCTTTAAGTCAATGTCATCGTCATAATCTTAACAAAAAGACACACGCGCCAAGTACGCGACTGCCTGCCGCGCACCAACTCGAGGCCAATCCATTTCCCTCTTCAGTTCAGTTTCTAACCTTGCTGTCGTCAATGTTTCATCCCCGATCGATGGAAGCTCACCCGTGTCTTCGTGCTTTCTTCCGAGGATAGTTTTGTATTCTCCGTCATGTCTGTTTGATACACCTACTTATAGACCCGACCAGCATGACTGCCGCCAGCATTAACCCACGATCATTGCGCCGAGTCACGGGTGTCGTGGAGGTACCAATACAAACCACAAACTGCCAACGCCCATCTTTCAATCAGGGCATAAGATATGCAACGCAATGCTGGTTTGTTTATTAGGTACACCTATGATACTAGACACGATCTATCCCAAACTGTCCTAAACCTTATAAGGACAGTATTCAAGGGCCAAGTACAATTTGACAAGGCATTAAGAAGAGTCTAGAGGGTATATGCAATATGAAATTACGCTTTTAATATGGTACGAAACGGATCGATTAAGCATGCCAACGCCTAGGAAGAATGACCGGAGGTCTCGAACTAACAAACAAACGAGTATTGGACTGTACAGTAGAATGAAATCTTCTGGCCGGTAGCGAGGCTCTACAATGGGTAGCACGGGGCCGTTGTGGGCTGGCAGAGCTAGGCCTTTGAGACGGCATCACGACTCACATCAAATGACACTCAGTTGAGAAGCTGTCAAAGCGCCTGGAAACGATACGCTGCTGAAGGATATCACATTGGTAGGTATCCGGGTTGATGGGAAGCTAATCTCTCCCTGTCGTACGTTTCTAGGCCGAGCTCAGCATCTTGAAACACTTCGAGTTCCGCTTTGTCAATATCGACTCATGCGCGTTCTTATGCGGCAACGACGTTACGACTCAGTCCCATTCTGCTTTTACAGATATAAGCTGACCAGATGGCAATAACAACAGCGGGTTGAGTTAGTTCTTGACCAACTTTCATATCCCAAAGCCAGCAAGATATCTTGATCAAAAGAAATTATATACAACCATGTCCTCAGCACCACGCAGGTCCAATTCAACATGTCCACGCCCCGGTAGTAGCAGCGGTGCCCATCCTTTCCCTCGGACACCATCCCGTAATAACGGACGACGGCCTAGCGAAAATCAACAGTCAACGCTGGAGCGCCGGGATGACGGGAGAACGGATCCGCGAGATACCGGACGACGTCCTAGCCAATATCACCAAGCAACACCGGAGCGGCGGCCGGATTGGAGGACAGATCCGCGACCCCAGAAAACACCGGAGCAACGAACACAGCCATCCTCTGCCCAGAGACCAGCTCCAGGTTCTAGGTCAACACCACGTCGGCCCGCGGACCAGCGAACAACTCCAGAAAACAAACCAGCTCCACGCCGACCCTCAAATCAGAGATCGCCCCCAAACAACTCAAGATCAGCTCCTCGACGGCCATCAGCAAACAATCGATCAGCAAATAATCGGTCAAGTCCAAGCAACAATGCGCCACGTCCTGATGAGGAGGCAACCAAGACACAGATAAACCAAACATTCTCCATTGCCTTGATGGCAAGTCCCGCCAACCCATTGCCCTTCCCGCTACCGATACCGCTCGGAATCTCCATGCTCCTTGTTGGTTCCAGCAAGAGCGGCAAGTGATGGGTTTGGATGTTGCAGTGTTCTGGGAATGGTTGCTCCTACACCTCCTGTTTCGATCACAGCATATGGAACCATATGGTCTTTTTGCTCTCGCCATATTCTCCAACTTCGAGCGTGCGCAGCTCTACGTCGAACTTCAATCCAGACACCTGTATCGACCTTTTGTTCGATTCCATGGGCGATCCCACGACTGCACCTTCACCTCCTGATCCGAGACCAGATTCTTTCTCCGCCGCTACTGCCTTCGAGTCGACCTCACGTTTCATCTTCACCCTATCCCCAGCTCTGGAACCGCCCAGTCTAGAAGAGCCACTCCCTCTCCTATCACCCGCAAGCTGCCATCGTCCTAGCGTCGGACTAAGCTCCATCGGCGCTTCCGGAGCCGGTGTTCCTTGCCTGGAAACGAGTCGTAGTTCAAGCCCTTTCTTCCCTCCCTTGTTCACCTCAGGGGGAGCAGAACGTGAAAGCGCCAGCGGTCGCCTGTCTTCGCCCGACACTGCATCACCAGCAGGCACAAACACCTCTTCCTCGTCCTTACTTTCTTCTTCCGCGGTTCGGTTTTTATGGCCAACAACATTAGTATGGCTGGCGATAATGCCAAGTCTCCTCCACCTTGCTCGAATACCGCCTTGATCAATTTCGCTCGGGGAGGATAGAGAAAAGACTCCGTTGCCGAGACGAGCGGCTACCAGCTCGTTGATGGCGACATCAACGGCTTTCTCGACTTCGATCATGAAGTAAGCGACGTCTAGTCCGTCGGCATGTGAGCCACGGTCGGCGTAATCGGGTTGGTACTCCTCAAAGTCATGTTTCGAGAGGGTGTAGTCGCCTTTCGTTTGGTCTTCGGGGCGGGGGCTTTCGCGGTGCTCCGCGTTCGGTTCTGATTTTGGGCGTTCAACGACCGGTGTCATCTTCCGCCGTTTGGGACTTGGGGTCTTAGCCGGGGTCAGTGGTAGTAGCGATGGGGTAGTGTCAACTTTACGCTTGACTGCTCTGCTGGGCTGTACACGCGTGGGTGTCGGCTTTTCGGAGGAGGACGGGGGTGGTGTCTGAAGAGTTTGGTGGGGATTCTTGGTGATGGGAGTGGTGGCCCTCAGAGCACGTATCTTTCGGAAATGACTGTCGTCGAAATCAGAGTACTCGGACTCGGAGGAGGGGTTGTCAACTGAGTCGTCGGATATTAAAGGCTCGTCAGACGATCCACTGCCGTCGGAGTTCATGTTGGAAGCAGCGGCGAGCTTGCGCTTCAGGTTGCTAGTTCCTGGTCGTGTAGTCGCCGCGGCGGGCCTGATCATGACCTTATCGATCTCCTTTTCCTCTTTCTCTTTCTTTGCCTGTTTATATCGAATACGTCAGTAACAGTCATGTCATTCATATTCATCATTACCATCACCTGCAACTGAGTCCCTTCTCCCCAGCATCCATTTCACTCCCCACTAGATTCTCAGCCAGAACTCACCTCACTCTGAACTTGCTTCCGATATATCAAACGATCAACCTCGGCCTTGTACCACGCCTTCACCCGCTTAAAGAACTCTTTGTCGTCCTTGTATATGGCACCCCGCTTTAGAGCATCTAGATCGCGCACGAGCGCCTCCTCACTATAGTAGTACTTGCCGATCGGCAAGATGGACTTGGCTGGGCCACCGTGGCCTTGCTTGCATGGCGGCTTGAAGCGGCAGGCGTGGTGCCTGGTGACTTTCCTTTTGGAGGGCGGTGGTGTCTTCTTCATGGTGATGGCCGTCACCCTGGGAGATGCGGTGGTGGTCTTCGTGATGGTTCTCGTCTTGGTTCTCGTGTTGGTGGTCCTTGGAGTGGTGCGAGGGGTAGGAGTGGGTGTGGTGATGTTGGGTTTAGTCTTGGGGGTAGAGAAACATTTTGGTTTTGGTTTTGGTTTGGGCGCCATGTTGTGAGATGGAGGGTCTGAACGAGAAGTGACTTGGGAGATGGCGAGGACAAGTGGTGGATGGTGTGTGATGGAATGTCGAAGGGGGAAGTGTGCTCGGTCGAGGTATTTACTCCGTGGAATCAGCACTCGATCAAGTTGCAGGTGGCTGCAAGGTCATCGGATCTTGACCAGCCTTTTTTTTGTATCGTCGAAGTATGGGTGCTGCAGATTGGGACTGGGACTCGATCAAATATGCAGGTGACTGCAAAATCAAATCAAGTTCTGCAATGCAGTTGAGCTCGGAGACAACAAGACAACAAGACAAGAAGTTGCAAGCAGGTAGGTATTCCGGAGCTTTTTTGGGAGAAGGGGCACCTCAGGGAAGAAGAAGAACAATGAATGAACCGATCAACACCCGAGACCTCCATTTCATATCATTGTCACCTTGTGCTCTCAAGAAGCCATCGCCCTTCAGTCATCATTAAAGGGTAGATACCAGATGTGCAAGTGCACAGCGAAAAGAAAATGGGCGGCACTCGGTCTGGAACAAAGAAATTCGATTCCACTTCTATAAGCCCCATTGCCATAATTGAAGATACTGCAGTGGCCTCAAATTTTCTGTTGCTTTGTTCTTGTGTTGGTTCTCGTAGCTTTGCCGTATCCGGGCGGGCGGTGGGTGTTCATTCGGCGCGAGCCGGTGATTGAGATTGCAATTTGTGTACGTTCTGTATCGTGTAAACAAGATCTTCACTGGTAGTAATCGATCAAATGGAGAATAATATGGGTCATGAATTAAGAACTCTACTATTAAATCAGTCATCATCGCGAGTTTGCCTTTATGATGCAAGCTACTCCTAGGCTGGGTTCAGTGAGCTTGGGTGCCCCCAGCATTTACATCTCCACAATAAAAGAACAAGGTTTAGCCCTGAATTTCAACAAGCAAGCAATCGGCTCAATGGTCTAGTGGTATGATTCGCGCTTCGGGTTAATCACCCTCATGGGAATCCATGAATGTGCGAGGTCCCGGGTTCAAATCCCGGTTGAGCCCCAAGTTTTTGTTAACTTATTTTTCTCATTCTCACTTTTCAGTTTTTAGTTCCCTTTCGTTTGGTGTTTAGCAAATCATTTTGTTGTCTTCTTTGATCAGTTTCTTGTCCTTTTCGGTTGCTTTCAGTTCATATAAGCTCGCAATTCAGCAGGGGAGAGAAGAAGTGTGCTTTCTCAAACTCAAAGCAACGTCCAACAAGCTAGTAATATTGAAGAGATAAAAGTTTCCAGGTGCTCGAGCAACAACCGAAACAGAAAAAGAATAAAAAAAAAATTTTTTTTTTTTTTGGGTAAAAAAGTTTTTTTTTTTTTTTTTGGGATACACGTCGGCAGATCATGACGACGAGTCTCGGATTCATTCCTCCGTCCGGGCTTCGGGCGAGGCGACCTGCGTGCGAGAAAGGCGTTCATTTCTTTCTGTGTCCTTGTCCTCTGATAGATTTACACTCGACTACATACACTGCGAGCAGAAGACACTGACCGATTGGACAACGATAGACAGACAGACCTATTAAGCTCATAGGATGGATGACGTGTAATACACCGAAGCCGTGGAAGCTTCAGAGCATCTACACATACTTCTGGCTTGAGCCTGTCAGATACACTAACTAGGTGAAGACTTTTGTGGTTACCATATGAACGTGTGATGAGAGTTGACTTTGTCAAATCCGGATGGAAGGCGCCAAGAAATGGAAATGCTAAGCAATTGTGAATTGGTGATAGCTTCAACCATTGGTAACCACTCTCATATTGTTCTATATAGGATGTAGCACTATCAACGGGGTGATGACAGAGGTAGATTCGGCGTAGGGTTTTTCGTACTTGATGCCAAGGGCTTGATTTAGTAAATCACAGTAGGGCTTCGTACTCGATGCCACAAGCTTAATTTACTCAGTAAATCAAGATGTTGTATACGAAAATGCAACAAGGTTGCAATCTTCTTGTATTGTATTCCGATCTGTTCTCGCTTTTCTCAATTCTCAAAGAGACATATACATCCATCCATCCAATCGCCCATCCCTCCCTAGTGTCTTGGGTATCCCATCCGCGTCCAGTCATCCAATATCCATATGTTCTTTCCTGTCCCGTCCTTTAGTCAATCCCGTTCGTGTATATATAGTTGCAGGTATATGCGTCCCGTCATCACTCACTCACTCACTCCAACCCCATCCTAACCTCATCCCCAAACCCCCAGTTACTTTCATTCTTCCCCGCATCCTGCAACGCCAACCTAGTTTGCGTGCCAAACGACGACGCCACCTCATCCTCCTCGTTGGCTTTTGCCGTCATCAGGATGGATTGCGGTGTTGGTGATGATCCTGATCCCTTTGATATTGTTGTCGTATCGCTCAAGGCGTTGCTGTGACTCGACCTCCTACTCCTGCCCGCGTAAGAATTGTTATTACCACTGTTATAATTATTTGATGAAATCGTTTTTCGACTGGTGCTGCTACTACGGTTTTGACTTGAGGATGGAACGGATAAAGAGTGGGAGGAGGAGGAGGAGGAGGAGGAGGAGGGAGGGGATTTGGTCACGACCTGCGTAACTGCTGCTGCCGCCGCCGCCGCCGCCGCCACCACCGCCACCGCCACCGGAGGAACTTGCTGATGGGCTGCCGGTGGTGGCAGCGTCGGTGAAATTTCGTCTCTGCTGTGCTCCGATGGAAGAACCACGACCACCACTACTACCCCGGATGGTGACAGCGCTGGAAGCACCGCTGCTGGTCGGCGACTTACCGAATAAAGCACTAGAGAATCTGTGGGACCTACTAGTACTTGACGTGGAAACCACCGAAGCGGCATCGTCTCCCCCATCTGTTTCTGCGTCTTTGTCTTTTCGAAGTTTATCCTTCATGTCCATTCTGCTTTTCGTCATGTCTTGCGCTTGTATCCTTGCCAGGCTGTCGGCCGCGCTTTCGGGTGTCTTCTTCAGCTTTATCGACGCCTTTCTAGGGACGGTGGTAGAAGGTGAAGCGATCTCGCCCGAAGCCGCTAATTGATCCGAGAGCAATGACCGGGGTTGTGCCCGGGCACCTATCCCTGGTCCGGGTGCCGGTGTCGCGGTTGGTGTAACCGAATCGGTGCTGGAGTTGCCGTTGGCGGATCCGTTCACAGTAAGGTGATTCCCTTGCTGGTCGACCATCGCATCCTCTGACAGCTCCTCAACCAGGGCGTCGTCTGCTTCAACGAGCTCGGCATCGCGGTACCACTTTCTCCTTCTTGTCCAACGGCCCCAACCGTCTTGTCCTCGGCGGCCATTTTGCCACTACGCACGTGTTAGCCTGATGTCCCAGTATCCTATATTCTCGGCGCAATGATATGCAGAAGCGAAAATAACAAACCTTGTTGTCATAATAAACCCAACCCATACGTCCACCAGGGCTGTCATAATCCCACTCCTTTCCATCCGCATCTTCTCCTGGCATCACCGCCTCGTCGGGTACCCCATCGACCCGCCACCTCGATCCCTCAACCCAGCGCCAGCGCATGTTGCTACCGTCCTCGACCTCAGGAAGCTCAAACTGGTCTCGCGGCGGGACCGCATTGTTGTGTTCGTCAGTCCACGCCGGCCTCTCGTATGCAAACAGACTAGTAGTCCATCCCAAACCGACCCACCGACGCTGGTTTTCATAGATGATGAATGTAAAGCGGACGCCTGTATCGTGTCCGCCGCGGGCACGCCTAAGGGCCTTGGTAAGCTCCGACTCCTGCGAATTGTACGCCTTGGAACCCTTGATGTTGGCAAATGCCTTCCCCTTGGCTGAGTTACCGCTAGCAGTGGATGCAGCGGAGGACGCAACCCCATTCTTTTCAGCAACCGTAACCTTGACGGGCTTTTCGAACTGCAGGCCAGTAACCAGCTCCAAAAACCTGCGAATAGAGGCGCTACGCCACAGGATCGCGCGAGATACCCGCATTACACGGGAATGCCAAGTTAGGATGAGAGTCCCAAAGATCATGATAACCCGGCGAGTAGTGATCAGACGGAAGGGTGGCAGGGTCAGAGCAAACCAAAACGGGGTGCAGAGAAGGATCCGGATGAAAAGTGTTGTAAGTGCCGGCTTTGTAGTGGCCGAAGTAGGCGTTCGCTGAGTGCTGAGGAAATCCGTAAGTTCCAGCATGGGTTCCAGGAGAATGTTGCAGCGCGCCGTGAACTCCTTAAGTGTCTCGACAATTTCGTCCAACGTCTTCTGGTGTCGCGTGTTTGTGACTTCGGATACCGACCCTTGGTTCCTCGAGTGCCCGTTTCCTCCAACGCCCACTCCCACGCCGCCACTGAGCCCGCCATTGGCCTTGCCATTCTTGTTGTCCGGAAGCCCGTCGACCGAAAGGTTCTTAGTCTTGGGAGCCTTCTTGCCCCTAACACTCCCCTTTCCATCTGTCCCAGCTAACCCAGCCACGTCTCCAGCCGCCACGCCCGGCTCGGTCCAACCACTGCTGCTCAGCGGGCTATAGCGCCGGCCGTACATGCCTCCGATAAGGAGCAGTACAAGCACGACAGGCCCGGCGACACGCACAATGATGTCACCATACAGAACCGCAGCCCAAAACACAGCGACCATCAGGAAGCTCTCCCACGGATCGCGCGTCGTCCATGTTATCAGACCGGCAAGCTTGTTCAAGGGCAGTAGAAAAGGATGGCTGTAAGCCAAGGCGCGTGTGATCTGGGGTGGTGTCGCGAGGAGGAGCGGCGACTTTTGGTGTACGAGGATGGTGCTCCTCCTCTTCGCGGCCGAGGTTGCGCTGGGCGCGGTCGAGCTTAGGGTGGCGGGCGAAAAGGAGGCATGGGTCGGGTTCGGATTGCTCGCGGCGCTATCGTTCGAGTATATGATGCCTTTCGGCTGGTTCGAAGGGGTAGATGGATGGGAGTTCAGCGCCGCATCGCCGCTGCGCTGGGGTTGAGGGGCGGACATGTGCGACAGCCAGGGAGGATCCTGTATATTTTGTAAAAGGGTCTTGTCAGTTTTCTTCTGTCTAGCTATCCCTAGCTCGAGAAATGGTGATGCAACGATATGGTCATGATTTGATGATCGAGGAGCGCAATAAAGAGGAGCAGCGCAGCATGGTCTCAGTTTGGATGCTGTGCTAGCTTAAGCTGTAGCCTAGATGAAAAGGACAACAACGGCTGTAATAGGTTGTGCGGTGTTGGTGATGACGACGGGCTGGGTTAGGAGCTCTTGGTGCTGATTCGGCGGCAGCGGGAAACGCCGACAGACCTTTCTTATTGAAGGGGATCGCTGGCCAGGGTTACCTGGCAGGCTGACAGCGAGCTTTCCGGGTAATGTTGAGGATGTTGGTTGGTCGATCTTCAAGAGGACAGATGGCGACTGGTGGTCATTTGCACGACGACGGGATGCCGTTCGGGGAGATGTTTGTCTCTGGCGCAACCTAGGCCGTATGGTAGGTGGTGATGGTGGCACAGAGATGGGAGATAGGTAAGGGATAGGGGGACGACGGAAGCAAAAGAGCCCGTAGGAGTATGGAGGTATTATTCAGGTAGTATGTAAGAAAGAAAAGGCAAAACTCACGAATGCAGCCATTAATCAGGAGCAGCCGCAGGTGAAGGTGGAGGTGGTGGAGGAGGAAGAGCGATGACGATGGCTGCTGGAGCTGATAATGGCGATAGTAGTGGGAGTAGTGGCCGTTTCCTGTGTACGGTTCAATGTGTGTCGGCTCTCCGCACGCAAGCCCAACGGTATCGGTAGCACGCGCCCATGAATGGCTCCTTCAAGTCTTACCCCAACGTCATATATGTGTAGATGTATGTGCGCCCCGACCGTAGGTCTTCCCCAGACCCGAGTTCTTTTGGATTGCGGTTCGGTTCGCAGCTGGATTTGCGGTCAGATCAATGGAGTCCAGCAGTCGGCGCTAGAAGTAGCGGAGATGGTGGTTCGCACGTGGTGAGGAAATGGCGGGTGCTAGTGTAGGTAGTCGTTTAACTCGATGGTGCGGTCAAGGACATCATTCAGGTCATGGTGTTGTAGGAATGAAAAAGACATAAAAGAGGCGCAAAAAGAAACCAGGTCAGAGAAAGAACAGACAAATTCTTCCTTCATTGGGCTTGAATCATGGAAGTGGACAGACAGCGTCTTTAGTTGCGTTGGCAAAGCTGCAGTGGTCTTTCTTGTCGCTGTCAGACACGGTCATTCCACGTGAGTTAGCATCTCGAGATGGCAAGCAGTGGGGCCTGGAAGCCGAGCTACGGCGGCTTCAAGCGGGGCGTCGGGGCGGTCTAGCACTGCAAAGAAGCATTTAGCACCCGATCATCTCGTCATGATAATGTACCTTATCGCGCCCACCTTGCTTCCATGGAACAGCGGAGCCAAGATACACTGAAGTTCCCGTCTGTTTGGCGGGCTTCCATTTCAGTTGTTAAGTTTACAGGGGGGCTTTTGGTGACATCTCCCCTTTCTGGGCACAAGAGTTCCTTGACGGGAATCACATGCAAATTGTTCCTGGCAGTCATGCATGCCAATCACCACCCACCCTTCGGCACTTGACGAACGCTGTGGGCCGATCGAAGCCGGCATCATAGGACCCTGCTGTCCTCCGCCGACAATGATGTCACAAGAAAACATCTGGAACGACACTGCACGGCATTTGGTTGATGAAAGAACACACAACCTAAGAAACGATATCTTGTTTCGTTTTTGATCCTAACGCTATGCACGATCTCTGTTTTGAAAACTTTCGAAGGTTCTAAACTTGGGGTCCAAAAGTCTCCGGCCACCCCCCCCCTCCCCCATTTTACACCAAAACAATACCAATACACTCGGACAGAAAGCAGCCTTCCTATCATCCAAACTTCGTGCACTCAATTGCCTTCCATTTATTAGCAGAGCAATTATCCACAGATAATGGTTTTGGTTTTTGTATTGTTGTTTTGGTAGAGAAAGGAGGTTGGGAACTGCATTTTGAAAGGGGGATATTTGCTCAATCGTTGAAGCTCACTATAAATACACTATAATATTTCTAGTCTTGGGGGGCTAACTTTGCAGCGTAGGTGCACTTTCAGAGGTGAAATCCGCTTTATAAAAATAATACTATTTAATAAAATGTTCATTTTTCTATTAGGCTCAAGGTTCTTTATAGTTGCATTTCACGAGGGTTTATGCATTTGGGCTGAATGAAATTCGTGAGAAGACAAGAATTTGGCGGGGAATTTGCAAGTGGCCGGAGACTTTTGAACCCCTACTGTACCGCTACCGATTTTCGAAGGAAGAAAGGGGAGGGGATCCAACGCCCAAGGCACCTAGACGCTGCGGTCTAAACTCGTCGCTCAGCCCACGGCAGTCAATCCCCCGACCCATAGGTAAACCATCTAGAATATATATGCCTTTTTTAGTCCCGTATTCCATAACAAGTACGTTGAGCTACATCTTGACCAGGCCGCTCTTCGCTTTACCCGGAAATAACCTTGGTCTCCTCTGGTCCTATATGCGTAGGAACCTGTACGCAAAGAGCCATGGTGTATTCCGATTCCATGCCACGAGCCCGGAGAAAAATAACTTCCAGCCGTTCCCTCATGCATGACCATCAATCACAGGCCAAGCTTTTTGCGAAAGAATCTTTGCCCTCCCCGACGCTTGCACCGCAGCGAAACTTGCACCACACTATCGACCATTCCTTTCTTTTTAACAGTTCCTTATCACTGCCGTTCTGTCGTCTTGGACACTCCACTCCAGTGTAGGCGCGCCTGACGTTCGCCGGCGACATCGTCGAAGGATCCCTGACAACGAGACCGGGCGGGGTTTCAATCTCTACTTGAAACTGAAGGAAGTTGATCAAAGTTAGCGAATATCACTCAGAAAAAAATATCATATCACTAGACTAACCTCTTGTTTGAGTACGCAATGCTCGTATTAACCCCCCTCAACCACCGACAGAACCGTCTGGCCTGCACCCTTCCGCTCTCCACCGTCCTGGAGTCCGGATTGACGAACCGATCGAACGTCAGCATCACGTTCTTGTCCCCGCTGCCATCGCGCCCCTTCTTGAGCACGATCGTCACCACCGTCTTCGCGTTCGTGGCACAATTCTCCACCACCACGCTGGCAACGTCTTGGGGATCAATATCGAACTTGTACGGGCAGTGCTCATATTCCTTGCCAGGCGCCGTCGAGGCAATCTTGGTTTGGTTGGACGCTATCAACCGGACCGAAAGCTTGTCCTCCATGTGCTCCATCGTCTCCACGTTCCAGCTGCCCTTTCCAATGGTCACTTCAAATTTTTCGTTCTCACCAGCCTGCACCGTCTTCGTCGTCGCCGGAGTGGTGGTGGTGGCGACTCCATTCTCGGCTTTGACAAAGGTTGCCGGCTTGGCTGGCGAATTGCTTGTCGGGATAGAGGCAGAGGTGGAGGCCTCAGCCGGAGAGGTGGTACGTGAGCTAGCCGTACTAGTGTCTGGCGTCGGGCCTGCCGTGACCAAGGGAGACTGGACCGCCGACGACAGGATTGTTGCCTTTGTCAACCGCGGAGTGGGCGGCTTAGATGACTCCGGTGATTTGAGACCTGTGCCGTGGCCCTTCTTGCCCCCGTGTAGGCTCGGAACCTGTAATGAAGGAGGCTGGCTCGCTGGTGCTCCAGAGGCTTCAACTCGCGCCGTCGCTTTCTTGGAGTCTGAAATGACCAACTTGGGTTGTGTAGAGAGAACGGTAGCTTTCACCGCTTCACCAGAGCTGCTGAGCTCCTTGGCAATGCGGTCGACGATGCCCTCTAACCGCTCGTTCTCCTCCGCAGTGCCCTGCTTGGAGCTCACTCTGTCGATCAGGGCCCTAAGCTGAGGGTCGGTCTTAGCCATCTCCGCCAACCGTAACACGGCCGGGGGAATGGCCTTCGGACCTGACTGAATTGGTACACTCACAGTGCTAGGAGCAACGGGCTTCGACGCTGTAGGAGCCGCCGCGGCAGTTGAGGGTGTGACTACTGCTGTCGGAGGTTTAGGGACAGCCGCTGACACAGCCTGAGGTCGCGGTGAAGCTGCTGTTGGGGGCGTTACGGGTTTTGGAGAAGCTGGAGTCTGCGTGGGCTTTGGCACAGCCGCTGCCGCCGTTTGAGGCTGATACGGAGCTGCTGTGGTTGCTGCTGGGACGGCCGCCGCGGGTTTAGAGACAACCGCCGAGGCAGGTTGAGTTCCAGACAGAGTTGGTGTGGGTGGTGTTGCTGCCGCTGCCGGGAGCTTGGAGACAGCCGCCGAAACAGCTTGAGATCGAGGTTGTGCTGTTTCAGGTGGCATTGCTGCTGCTGGACTTGCGGGCTTCTGTGTGACCTCTGGGATCGTCGCCGAAACAGTTTGAGGTCGAGGCGAGGCTGCTGTTGGCTCCGTTGATGCCGTTAACGCCATGGAGGCTGTTGGTGCCGTTGTTGGTTCCGTTGGTGCGGTTGGCGGTGACTGTGCCGCTGCTTCCGGGGTGGCTGAACCCCGTGCGGGCTCTGGGAGATTTGCCGGGATAGGTTCCAAGCGAGGTTCTTGTGCACTAGCGGGTGCCTCGTCTTTCGCATTCGGTTCGACCTTGTTCAGACTTTCCCAGTACTCAACTGCGTTTTGGAAAAATGGGATTTGGCGCCAGTCCGGGTCATCAAAGTTAAATTCCGTGACGTCTTTGATAGAGAGCCAGCCAACCGACCTGAACAGTACAACGTTAGTTCCGACAAGTTTGGCTATAGCAAGGACAGGGAACTTACATGTCTCGGTCAAAATACATGACCGGCACCCGCCTAAACTTAGCCAAAGGACCACCAACCTCATAGCCAGGGGCCCATCCATCAAGCTTGAGCTTTCCCCCTGGTGCTTTAACAACTTTGTAGCAGCTAGGAACATCCTTTAAGAGCTTTGTCTCCTCCAGCGTCTTGCTGAGTCCACATGAACTCAAATCTGGCTCTTGTGTCGGCAACACCATGACAGGATAATGCCGCTTGTCCCCAACCCAATAGCCTTTGTAAAGGCGACCTGGTTTGGGATCAGGGATGGGGACAGCCGAGCGTGTGCTGCGATCCGACGGTGTTCGTACGTGCAAGCTCTTCCGTCGTTCTTTCGCCGGACTAGGGGTCTCTCGCGACGGGGGTGGTGCCATTGCCGGACCAGCAGTCTCTCGCGACGTGGGTGGTGCCATTACCGGAGACTGTGTTTCAACTGCTGGTGAGGCCAAAGAAGGTACCGGAGTGGAAAAGGAATCGGCAAACTCGGGATTCGCCTCTACAAATCGCGCCCGTTTTCCTACGCTCAGTTGAAGTAAGTTGACCGGCTTATATCCGTTCAAGACAGCTTCTTCGACCGCTGCGTTGTTCATCCGTGCCAGCTCTGCATTGCACCCAATGACGCGAAAGCCTAGAGTATCGACAGCGACATTATAGTTCTTCGATTGGTGGTCATGCATCTTGCTCGCCAGGTGTTTTGCAGCTCCCGCGAGAGGATTAGCGCCAAAGTGAACGCCATGGTCATCGCACTTGAGAATGTAATACTCTTGGCTCTCGGAAGGGTATTCGACTATGATGTGCTTGAACTTGGCATTGCCGTTTTGGTATACTTCATCAAAAGTGATGGCTCGTTGCGTGGATGGACGCTTTGCCGGTTGTTGCTCGTTTGCAGTCTCTGCAATAGGACGCTTGGTACTAGATGAAGCGGATACAGCCTTTTGTACCGATGCTGCGGGGACTGCCGTCGCTGGTTTAGGTAACACATTTAATGGCTGAGAGACAGGAGCTTTAGCCTGCGCTGGTTGAGCTTTAGGCGCAAGCTGCGTGGGAGCCGGATGGTTTTGCATGAAAGAGGGCATGGCGAGAGGCGTTCCAGTTGCCCTTGTACCATTCGACAGCTCAGGTGCCGTGGTGCCTAGCGACGGTCTTGATGCTATCAATGACTGCTCGATGAAGGTAGTTGACTAAAACGTGGGATCAGTATATGTCCAAGACATTTGTGTGCTCGGTGAAGGATGAATATACACCTACCGCATACTCCACGTCGAAAGGTAGCGCTCTCCATTTCTTGTTCACGGCCGAAAGCTTTTCGACAAACCGTTTCCGGTCGTTTTCTAGCCTTTCCTCATGGAGTTGAGTAGCTTGGCGCAGATAAAAGTCCCGCTTCTCGTCAATAAACTGCCCAAGGTTCGGAGGTACGGTACCGAGACTTTCCTGGAGCATTGACCTCTCCTGTTGGCTTCTGTTCTCGATCTCATTTCTCGCCCTGCGCAAATCTTGCAATGCATTTTGCTTTGCGGCCTTAAGTTCTTTTTCGAGATCGTCTACTTCCTGGCTAAACCGCAAGTGAAGCTGATGTAACTGATAAACATCCATTTTGCGTCGAGTGTCAACCGCGCCTTGGGGGTCGTCTTTCAATAATTGGAAACGGTATATCAGGGTTAGGATAAACGGATATCCCTCATAATGTGAGAAATAGGTGAGGATGACAATCCGAATATGAAGGACGGAGACCTGATCGCGCGATGTGAGGCAACCGCCGGTTCCCCGTGTCCCGGTGTTCTTCTTGGCTAGCCGTTGGGTCGGCCACGTCGTGAACGCGTGAGAACGGCTCCCTCGGAGTGTTCCTTCCTGGTCGCCTGGTTTGAGTACAAGTCCCCGTTCAGCGCTTGGGTGTCGCGCGGGAAGGTGCGACTCGTAACCTGATGGTGTTGTTGAGTGAAAGCTGAGGCGAGCTAGAAGGATGCTCGAGTGGCCGCAACTTGAATGTTTGGTTCAAAATGTGCGACTTCTCCGCCTCCGCTTGGAGGTAAAAACCGCGTCTAACCGTATCAAGGTTTGAGGGTTGAGAACATGCCGTGGACTGGAAACGAGAAGAGCGCCACTAGTCGGGTTATAAAAGAACGGCGGGTGAGCACCGGGTCGAAATTAAGTAAATCTTATGGTTGATGAGAGGTGGTTTGTGCGATGTAAGGATGAGATTGATTGTGGTTGAACTGGCGCTGACTATTTTCATCTAAGGGATGCTAGACAAGGCGTAATATTGGTAATTTTTCCTAGCCGATACACGTTCCCAGCCACACCTGCTAAGGGCAGCTCGTATGATCCGTACCGTATCTTGCGCGTGCCTTTTTAGGGTTTAAGTGGCTAGTACCTGACCAGTAACATGGCAGGTTTGACCAACTGAGTTGGCGATGGTGGACCTCGGGGTAGCACTGGCCACGATTAATCCTAGCGCGGGTGGAAACTTACGTTGATACCCAACCAGGTATTATGTGCGTAAGGTTGCTGAGCAAGTCAATAGAACTTTTATAAACCTACGAAGCTTCCACTTGTCCTGCTTTCATCAGTCTCTGTGTAAACAATAACAGATAGATAAATAAACACTATGCAAGAGAAGAAGTGACAGATTTTGGCAACCAGCTGGACGGTGTCAAAGATTTGAGACATGATACTATCGTGTGGTAACTTTCCTTGGCGTTACACAGTTAAGACGGAAGCGAACGTGTGACGAGTCTTCTACGTAGGAAATTCTAGTATAACCACTGAAGCGTCGTAAACATGACTCGCACAGACCAAGACACAGCCATCACTAGAACTAAATTACGGACTAGAATTCCGGCACAACTGACTGGCCAACAACCATTGCGATATGCAGTACACGTGTCCAAGCATCGAGTACCATAAGCCGTTAAATTTGCACCAAGCGTAGTCCTCTCCGCACTGTCCCTGCGATTTCTTCTCGACCATTTTTTCTCTCCTCATCATCACTTCCTGTGCACTCGATCTCCGGCCTCTTATTCTGGATCCCGCCCTTCACATTCATTTTAGGTCTCAAGCTGATCTCATTCCAAAATATTCCCAACAGCTTTTACCTCCAGATCGCCGACGTGGGATTCCGTTGTCTAGCAACGACTATTTAAACCCCACGAAAGGTGTTTAGCTATAAGATAGAACAGTTTGACGTTAGGAATCATTTTTATGCGGGCGCGCATGAAAGGTCGTTTGTTCTTGATGTACGCACATGCATATTGCATATAAGCACGTACGTTAGAATTCGACAGAAAAGGTCACATGAACGGAAAGATATCTTCATTGTAACGCCCGAGGATATCCTTGACACTAACGGTCTTTCAAAGTTGATGCGGTCCCAGAAGTGTTTAAAAGCATCGACTGTAGACGAATACCGTATAGTTTCGGGCCATTGGAATTCCAGGTCAGGCTCAATCGTGCGGATTCCGTAGGGTCAAAGGTCTGCCAATTGCATTTCGATGTGTGTAGGTAGGTACCTCGCTGTAGAAGCAAATGGCACATGTATAACCTCTGCATTGCCAGCCTGACCTCGAATCCGACTGACATGAAATTATGCTGTATCATGAGTAGAACAAGAACTGCAGGCCTCACATACCTCTAGAGTCAAGCGACTACCTATCGCACAACCCAAGTTACCCGACTCACGACTATACCTGTGTTGGTATATGAAGACTTGGTCGAGCAACGGCCACTGAAATACACGGTACAAAGCATCGTCTTCGTCGTCTGACGTTGAGAGGACTGGAGTCTCTGACGCTCTCATCGAACAAAAAGAGCAATGGGCTGGAATGTAACAAGATAATGTACGTCTTCGGAAATAAGTGTCAGACGTCTGATATCCTGCACAGACAGCCCCATCAACACTCCTAGCTCATGCTTTGCAGGAGCGGAAGCTACTCAGCTGTGATATGGGTACTGGGAGGAAGAACGCTAAGATTTCCAAGCTCCTAAGGTGAATTTTCCTGAATACCGACTGTACATGCTTCGCTTGTGTGTTGGTAGGTGATTTGCGCTCGCCTCACATCATGCCCTGTTCGGGATTCTATACATCCCATGCATCATCCGGCTCAGTGTTGGTTCCTTGCTTCCCATTCGCCGTACTCCTCAATCTGGTCAGTGATGGCTCTATTTCCACACTCAGGTTTTAGCATTGCACATGCCAACGCACTTTCCATGCCTTCCATGATCCCAAGAGTTCTTGCTAGTGACTGTTCCGAGTCACGCTGTCTCCAAAAACCGAGGATTGTTCTGGGTGGCAGGGGGCTGCGCATGTCCAAGGCATTTGGCTTACGTCTGTTTGATATCACGAAGATTCGTAGCGACGTCCCGAACCCATTGTGGCGCCCCTATTCTCCCACACACCTGAGTAATGGCCTTGGAGACGTCGATAAAATACTGGAAAATACATAAGCATCAAATCAGTTACTATTCGTGCAGTCCGCACACCAAGGCTATCTGAAACAAGTGACGCTAACCTTTCAACGACATCTGAAGGCAGGCTGAGGTTAACTAGCGGGAGTTGCACTTCCCTGAAATGACAAGGCCACGATCGCAACTATTGTTCATGTGCCCATAGGTAGCTCGTCGTCCTCCCAACCCAAATAACCGCTTTCAAACAGCCTTCTCACGAATGCGTAGAAGGTGTCTATAATACTAGTATGTTGCGTATGAGCCTGAAAAACGTCTGACGAGGCACGTGATCGAACAATTGGTACCTTCCATCTGCTACCCCAGGTATCATAGCGGTGGACTCGGAGGAAGGTGTCACAGCGTAAGACGCAGGGTTGGAACAAACGTGCCTCATCACCAGTCCCCAGTTGCGCAAAAGCCTCAATCAATCCATCTATTCTGTTGGATCTGGGGTGATTCGAGAACCATGAGACTCTCGGAATCGTTGTTTGCTCCAGTGAGTGGCGCTGGCGGCAGTATATCGGCCATATCAGCATCTTGGTCACTCTTGTCGTCTGCGTCGTCCCATCAACCGTGCATCTCGTGGTCAGGCTGTGCGGTGGTCAACGAAGAACCATGTCCAACCTTTATTGACAGTATTGTTCAGCCTGAGAAATGATACCCTGGGTGCTGGGTCAAGGACAACTAAAAGTGTGTCGACGTTGTCGGGACATCGTGGCGAGTAGACTCGGAATATTGGAAACGTAAATAGAGGTATGAACCTGTCACACGGACATCGACACCCTGGTCCAGTTTCAGGCTAAGCGAGCCAACCCCAGAACTTCTGACGGCGCCAAACATCATCACAAAGCCATCACAGTCATCACAGGAGCAATCACGCCTAACCGAGCAGAAGCAAGGGCGCCCGGGCAAATGCTGGCGCCAGGAGGAAGAAGGAGAATGGATGGAGGCATTCAGAAAAGACCCACATGTATACAGATCGCTAGATAGAGGCCTTGGGGCCTCAAGCGACAAGGACCGGTACGCACTCAGTACGTACCGTTTCCCTTTGGCATAAGAAGGCCCTGAGGTCCAGCCTTCTCCTGGAGGTTGAGAGGATCAACAAGGCCTTCGGGACCAAAGTAGTTTATTAGCTGAATTGAACTACTGTTCCAAGCCCAGAACACTACCCTTGTCACAGAACCGAAAAAGTATTGGACTGGCCAGGAGATGGCAAGATACTGGTAAGCCAAGGACCAAAAATAGTGAGCAGAAGATACGGAGGAAAAAGGAAGATCAGGATCATTCACCGGATGGGGAATCGGGTCACAACGAGAAGTTTCACATACAGTGGTCGGCTTGATGTGGAAAGAACGGCCCAAGGTGTCAAAGCGATTTCAGACGGTCTCGCTAAGGGGTCGTGAGGAAAGAGAATTAGAGCAAACGCGACTACCAACGCGGCAACCATGACGGAGCAAAATCCCAACCAAAGTTGACAAAGCAAGCTAAATCTGGACAAAAAGAGTCGAAGTGTCCAATGCCTTTGCAAATTTGAAGAGCGAATCGCGAGCGAGAGGTTCCTAAATTTGGTATGAGGACCGCCATGGACACTCTATTGAGGTTTCCTCCGGCCATTCACGATGGCTTCAAGACTCTGATCCACGAATTTTGTATACGTCAGTTCATGAAGTAAGAAGATGGCAAGGCGATCTTCGACAAAGCGGCGAAATTGCATTGATTAAGCAGTTTGAGGAAGGAAGAGAGGGAATGCCCCACAGATCTGAAGTAAATACAGGATTCAGAAGTGTGGTCGGTCACGACGGAACTGCCATAGGAAGGCACCCTCGCAATACGGACCGACTTAAAGATCTGCAACGGACACTACCTTAAGTACAAGCTGTAGCTAAAAGCCATATTTGATAAAATCTCGGGCAACGATGTTACGATTGCCACGACCTTTGGGACCTAGCTGCTCATACCTCCACGTGTATTTGATATGGCGCCAAGTACTTCCAATTCATCCCTTCCCACTTCAACAAAGGTCTACAGTCCATGACTCGACACCCCGTATATCTGGTGAAGATATCTTCTGCCCTAAGACGCCTCTCTTGTTTCCCCGTGTGAAAAGGAGAGACCCAAGTACTGGGAAGATTGCCTTGATTGGATGATTGCAGGAAGAGAAACCCCGTTCACTCGCCCAGTCGAGGGCAATGTGCCCATCAGGTTCAGGACTTCAGATTTATCTATTTCTAGAGATCCTTGTCGACAAAATCTTCCGTAATGAACCCTGGAGGCGGCCTAACCCCAGATGCAGTTACCCATCCAGGCCACAACCCCACCCTAGCAAGGCTCTCAGTCACAGGAGTGCCTCCTGCGCTGGGAGTGGCAGCTGTACTCGGTGTGACAACCATACTTCGCATGGCTGGACTACTGAATGCAGTCTGGGAGAGGTCACCATCCTCGCTCATCACGGCCGTTTCTGGTGTAACGGGAGTGGCACCGTTGAGGGAGGAGTTGCTAGCTGCGGTCGTTTCTGGTGTGAAGGGAGTCGCAGCGCTGGGAAAGGAATTGCTCTCCACACTCGTTCTCGGTGCAGCAGAAGTTGCCGTTAGTCCTGACAGAACTTCGGAGGCCAAATACCTGGCCAGAGGGCTTCTATCATCGGACACATCTGGAGTCGACGCATGAGCGGCTTCCGACGAAGCTGTCAGCGGAAACCAGGTGATGTGCCGCATTCCTGAAAGCGGCTTCTCGACATAAAAGTGTCTAGCCTCGTAGGCTCGCTTGCAAGTACAGCCGGAGGACCCGTAAGCGTCATGAGAGACTGTAGCCCAACAGCAACTGTGTCCATACGGGCATTTCAACCACTTTGGTATGTGGCACCTGCGCGTAACGTGCGAGGGTACTGGGTGCAGAACGGCCTGTCTGGCTGGGCAAGCCTCTCGGCAGTCCCGAGGCTGGCTGGACGGGTCTTGGTCGAGTGTTCCATCTCGAGCGCGTGGGCGCGCATCACAGGCTAGTTGGTGTATGATCGTCACCTCGCACACGGAGTCCATCCGCTCAAGGCCGGCCATCTTTGCCAAAGAAACCGAGATTGTTGCAGCAAGACATGTGGCCAAGCAACCGGTTCGTTAGGGTTCTGCGCCTCAGCTAGGAGTGGTTCGTGGACTAGGTACGCTCGCGCGCGGTGCGACTTTGGGGAAATATCTGCCAGCCAGACGATTAGTGAACGTTGAGTTGGCGGTGCTTTTACCAGAGCCACTTACCAGACCAGAAGACGAGACGGGCAATGGTGACGTGACGGAACCGCGTCGCCGGAAGGCCGCAAGGCAAACTGGCCCCGAAGAAAACGAAAAGAAGGCGTCAATGAGCGACTTTTAATTCAGCATTATGGTCCCACATCACTCCTGGTATATGTAACGGCTTCAGCCTAACCCGATGACTGCTGGGAATCAACAGTCTCGGGGCGAAGACAGAAGCCCTTTATACCCGAGAGCAAAGGGCAAATGCAATTCGAGACCCGACGAGCATTCCTCTCGGTTCCAAGTTGGGCGGGGTGACCAATCGTACTAACTGGAGAGGGATACACAACAGTCGAGTGTGCAGAAGCTCCAGAGTTCGCCCGGAATCGTCTTGCAATGCCATGACGAGGCATGTGTCCTGCACCAGAAGCTGGACAACTCTTGCTTGGTTGTGTCTGAAAAGCATGTGGTGTGGCTTAGGAAGAGATACCGCTCCTGCATGTTAACTGCCTGTGGAAGACGGACATTACCTCGGCCTCCTGCGGGCTTTTCGGGCAACGTGGCATAAAACCTCGCAAACTTGGGATTTGGTTTCGTAAGAAACGAGACCTTCGAAGGTCCACCAAGTGCTTTTGGCAACGATTGAAGAGCATGTACGTGGTTTCGACACCTTCAACTCTGATATCCCAAGTCCCCTTTATATGAGGTTATGCGTCATTTGGGAAGGTGAAGACTGTAATCTAGTTGCCTCAAGTCATGGCCAATACAAACTTCCAGTCCACCAGCAGTCGAGCTCGGTTTTCGACCTGCAAAACCAGGAGCCTTGAAACCGGATTTGGTACTTGTGGCCTCTACCGCAGAGTTTCGGGGCGTTGGGATTTGGAAAGCCTGGGAATCTGTTTTTAAACTCTGCATTTGCGGTAATCGACGAACTTGTTGATGCAAGATGTTCGGCAGCATGGATTTGAGCCTTCGCTCGTCATCTTCCAGACCTCAAAATACATCGGTTAGCAGTGAATCTTGATGCAGGACTGTATGTGCGATGTGGGAAAGTTTGGAATGCTTACTCACCCCAAGCTGGAAAACCTTGAGTCGAATCTTTGTTGTTTCACGCGCACACAATCCCCCAAAAGGAAATGATTTCCGCAAGATTCAAAGTTCAGGACATGGTTAAAGAATAGAATGTCGAGAGACAAGGAGATTCGAAAACAAATTGAACTTGGGCGGATGATGACGTCAAAACAAGAACGAAATGATAAAACAAGAGGAAGAAAACCGTTTTGTGGACGCGGCAATGGTTTCTTATCAGCATTTCGTATTCTCTGTACCGCTTACTAACATGTGCCAGTCAACGATACTGCTGTCACGCTGCTGCCAGGCGGTGACCGACATAAAGCTTAGTGTTCCTACCAATTCTGTGCCACATCGAGGGCAGACTCGCTTCGCTGATGTAAGGAAGCTGTCTAGTCTGCCTGGCTCCATTTCTGCAGTTGTCTTCCAACTGTGCCGGATAAAGTGCAGATTCACGGCAGAAAACGAGGATAAGAAGCATCGGATCGTGGTGCTGCTTTCGCCTCCAATGCTCGACCCATCGACAAGCGTCCTAGACAATGCAGGGACACACGGATGGTGGTCAGAATAAAGAACGAAAAATAGGTACCAAACAGTTTTATATCTGGATTCACCACCGGCAATTCTCTTGTCGTTTGAGTGATGAGGATTGGAGGTTGACAGAACTAATGTCTGGGGAACGGAGCATGGCGGTGGCATCTAGCCGATGATGGCGATAACCACCCATGTAGACAGGAGGTAGGTTTGAGACGGTGGTCCTGTTGCATTCCCTTCTCAATGCATCTCCTGGTACTTGCCTCGGGCTTTTGCAACTGCCCGACTGAGCTGGATTGGAGTGAAGTTGTGATGGACTCCTTCCCAACAGCACGAGCAAGGGAAAGAGGGGAAGTTGCAACCTCTGACGAGCCAAGCTGGAGGCCATCAAGGTTCGCGATTCCAATGCGTCTTGGGAGGCACAAGAAAGCAAAGCAAAAGAAAGTGGAAGGAGTCGCCAACTGTCAAGATGTGGTTCTGACAGGATGGAGCTGCAACTAATATCCACACCTACCGTAGCAAGAAGAGTGCCCGAGTTGCATGTTGCACCTGCCACACTAACAGAATTGTTGTAGCATGTCGCGCAAAATCTTCATGATCGTGATTTCTAGCTTGCTGCTCCTTAACTGGTTTATGTTATTGATGATACCGCACCTGGGAAAGACTCGGCGCTGTGGGAAATCGCATTGCATCAAGTTTCCATCTCGATACTCCAGAAACGTTCCATCACCAGTCGTCCAACTCGAGACAAATGCAAGAATTCCAGCTGTCGCCGGATTTGTATACTCCCAAGCAACAACATATTGGCCTGTACAGTGATATTGTATCATCTGTCCAAAGAGCAGCTCTTCATTCCGCATGCTCATCCCAATTTGGCGGTTGAAGCACGATCAACAAGAAGGTGGAGAGAATCAGCTCTCACCGGTGATCGGCTGCCGGTTTCCAAGGCGCTGCCACAGTGAGTCGGTGACGGCTAGAACGGCCTGCGCTCTTCATCCCACGGAGGCCCGACAACAACCCGGAGATGCCGGATTGATACAGGTTGATGATGGCCGCTTCCTTCCGGTCAGCCGCACCTGGTTCAGCATTGTCGATGAGGTTTCCACTGATCAGCTTGTGGTCAACAGGGTCGAGTCAATCAGTCGCAGGGTGAAGTTGGGTGTGGCGGATCAGTTCAATAGTTGACTGGGCTTGGAGTGGGCTTGGGCGCATCATTAGCGCTGTGGAGCGATCCACAACTTCGTGTCCAACCCTGTACATACGATGGATCTCCGGCCCTTCCCGCTGTCAAAACACCACTGGCCAGGGGGTCCCTAGCTGCCCAACAGCCCTTAGTGCGCCCGGATTCCGGTTGGCCAACCGACATCGACAACGTCCATCACAACCTCAAAGAGCGGAAGCCAAGGAACTATGGAAGTACTAGAGACGAATGGCGAAGCCACTAAAGCGGATGATTGGCATTCCTCCCTTCGTGCGACCTCAACGGCGCCTTGTCTCAGTTGAGCAGCACATCCCCACGATCACGTTATCCGGGCTCTTTCCAGACTAGCTAATTCACTTACAGTGCTACACTCCATGACAAATCGTTGCGAAGTGTCTGGATGGTTGGACCGATAAACGAAGAGAGCGGACTGTTGGCTAACTCAACTGATCAGAGTTTGAAAGACTGCCAATTTTGTCCTTCGAGCGGGCAAGCACCGGCTGCGCGTTTTACGCAACGACAACATGACCCAGAGGTGGCTGGCAACCTGGCCGTCAGGAGGTGTTGAACCGATCCCATTCGCCAACCACAGTCTGCAGGATACCCTCTTCACCGAGCCGCGCTCCGACAACGGCGGGTGCATGTTGCTCCGTGGGCCGAAACTGGTATGTCGTGCTCCGTCCGCTTTCGGGCTCTCGGTGCTATCCAATGTTGCCACCATCCGCTGCCGTTCACTGAGCTTCTCCCCGTCCCTTCTCCCAGCAAGCTAGCACCTTTGGGACCCAGGCCCTGGAATAGCCAAGACAAATTCGGTGGTCAATTTTGCCTCCATGCACCATAATTCGACCTGGCCCTCGAGCTGGCGATCTGAAGGCCAAGATGGGGCGGCCAATGTGCTCAGGATTGTTGTTCCTGTTCTGGGCCTAGTTCGCTGGCAACACAGCTGAAAGGGATTCCTGCGGCTATTACAGGCACCCGCAGCCTCCAGTCTCTCTGCAGTGAAACGCAAATCTCTTTTCAGGTGGATCAACAAGAACAAAAAAGAAAGAAAAAAGCATCAAACAGCTGATATCCCTTCTTGTTTGAGCTCGCTGACGTCAATATCAGGAATGCTTTTCTGGACTTCCCTAGGTTGGCACCTGTGTGGCTAAAGAAACGCGGCCGTTGGAACGCTGAAATCCAATCCTGCGAATAGTAACCCAAGAAACCCTGGTCTTTGAGCCAAAGGCGATCGGAACTCAACGCTGCGATCTCCGTCTCTACAAGATAGCATGACACTGTGCTGCAATGCAGATCCTATACCCTTTGGATTGTCGTTGAAGAAACTACAGTAAGAAATCTCACAGTCTACGGCCTCTGCTCAGATTGGGTGAGCTGTGTTGCTTGATAGGCTAACATTCTTTGGTATCGTCGATCCAAACTGGCAAGTGAAAGATGATATTGTAAGGACCGTCTTAGGATTATCATGAACAGGCATGCATACCGTATCAGACATCTTCGAAACTCAACATGGTAGTGTACGCTTGGCTTAGATCATATTTGGAGCATTATGGAGATCTTGGGACCAAAGTTCTGTCAAAGGACTTCGTTGTTCATTAATTGCTCTGGCTTATGCATTCTCCTGGCGTCGATCATGGCTAATTCTGGGTACAGATACTTTCGCGGATAGTGAAAATGTAACGACAATAACCTTGAATCAATCTCCCCCGCAATTCCCAGAGCTGTCTAACCGTCTTTTCGCAAAGCACAGTGCCGTCCAAAGTTACAGTTGGCAAATTGCAGCGGCTCAGCTGCACTTGGCTTGTTCTTTTTTTGTCATTCGGGTTTGTGGGAGGTGGTACACCCGTCAGTCCGTCACCCCATGGGCCATTCCGCATAGCCCATAGCAGAAGGATGAACAGGGGTTTCTTCCATACAGTGTGACACACAACAGTCATTCGTCTGTTGGCTATACTGTAGCTTTCGCCCTGTTGATCGAACGGCAGGTGTCAAATGTCGTGATTCCCGCACTGCGACATCGAGCAAACGGTCTGACGGTCTGCCTACCAGTATCGCTGACAGGTCTATGTTATTTTCTAGACCACTTCACGACCCGTACAGAGATGAGAAACGATGATCTGCTCCGGTAAAACTGCTCACGTTGACTGTTTCCAGGATCTTCAAGCGGATCAACCGTCTCACTAGGCTATTAGCCTTGCCAGGCCTAGGATGTCAAGACGGACGAGTTATGAGATTGTTCCTTTAGACCGTGCCACGTCCGCTCAGAACCCAAGTTTGGCCCAACTATGCACCCGCAGAGACTAGATGCGGACTCCTCATCAAACAATCCAACGGCTACTACCAAAAAATTCATGATGGCTATGTTGTCTGACATCATCAGGTGGTATCAACGAAGGACTCGGCGGCTTAGGCCTCCTCAACATGCAGAACAATACGGTATTGTGTCCGCTTCTCCATATTGTCAACAAAACCTTGGCAAGTGAGGCTATTGTCCTATGCGTCGCAAATATTGGATGACCAATGGGCTATCATCCTGTCGAACCCCATGCCCCTGGCTCCTGTTTGTCACCAGTTGACCTTGTACAGTAGGATCTAGAGGCTTAGGAAGGGGCTCGTTATGGATGGATCTAGCCCCAGGGGCCCAATTGACACCCTCGCTGGAAACACTGGGCGTCTCCCCTGTTGGAGATGGCTTGAATGTCATCGAGTGACGCCTGACCAGCCCAAGATGCGGCTCACCATATAGGTAGGTACGTCACGACATATATACAAGTGTGAAGGCTGACTTTCTGTAGGATTCTCAATTCACATAATGAGAAGTTCCTTCACTCACCGTCTTTATACAGGAGTCTCTGTTGCCGAAGAACCACACTTCCTGTCAGGGTGGGTAGATCCGGGCGGTTATTCCGCTCTCTCTGCGATGGTTTGTGTGATGCCTGCCTTCAACACAAAAAGGAGTCTTGATCGACAGGGAGCTTTCTACAAAAGAACTCTCTACCAGCCGTCCAATATGGGGCCTAGGACCTTGCTTCCATTTGGTGTTTGCATCAAGATCGTCGTTGGAGCTTCCCTTTTCTGTGATATCACGGAAATCACAGTTTGAGCCTATTCTCAATCCGTGCAGCCTCCCTGGCCGTTCAGCCGCCATATCCGACTCAGGAAACTGGGAATGGCTGCATGTATCCACAGAAGAGGCATGCCACGTGTGGTCATCATGCATTCAGTCACCTAATGGGGGAGAAGAATTGGGATCTTCGCCTCCAATCCACAACCTAGTCCATGAGTTGGTGATCTCCCGTGGTGGGTGGACTTTGTAGATCATGCAAGCTTCACTATAGTCAGGGGATCAAATCAAGAAAATCGCCTCGGGACCATCGGCACCTGGAGATACACTCAACGACAGGCCGACGAAGGTGAGGAGAAGGAGAAGAGTATGCTGGCAGGAGACTATCTCATCAAGAAGCATCGAAGATCAACACCATCTCGACCTCGACGAAAAGACATAAATAGAGACCTTTCCTCTCCTCAAGTCCATTCCCATTCTCATCATCAGCATCCGCATCAGCAGCCTCGGAGTTCTCAGATCTTCTCAACTCTTCACAACCCTCTCAGCCTCTCTTTCACGAAAAGCTTCTTTTCAAAGTTTCTTCCAAGAACTTAATCACCAACCATCAAAATGAAGGCCGGAATCTTCTTCTCTTTCTTCGCTCTCGCCGCCTCGGCTTTCGCGACTCCCATCATTGCGGAGCGCCAGCTTGAGACCCAGGTTGATCAGATCGATCAGCTGACCGCCCTTATTCGCCAGCACACTGCGAACATGAGTATGTCTTCTCCTCTCTCTGTGTAGCTACTCTACACTACCTACTCAACTTGAATACTTACCACTTCAATAGACGCTACTGCCGCTCTCTACCCCGACAACCCCACCCTCTCTCAGCAGAACGATGCTGCTAAGCAGCTGAAGCCTGACTTTGACGCTGTCACCGACGCCCTCAAGGCCGCTACCACCACCATTGCCAAGCGCGAGTTCTGGGCTGAGCTCGTCGCTCGCGGTGGTGGCGGTGAGGATTCTAACCCCCCTTCTCACGGCGGTGGCAGCTCCTGCAACAAGGACTGCTTGACCCTCAAGATCAAGGTCCTCATCTTTGAGATCACCTACACCCTCAAGTTCCTCATCGTCAAGCTCGGTCTCGGTATGTTTCTACACTCACTCTTGCTGAACAAAAGGGGCTTGCTAACAAATCATCATCAAACAGGCTGCCTCATCCCCCTCCTCACCCCTCTCCTCCTCGCTCTCTCTGGTCTGCTCAGGGCTCTCGACAAGGTTGTTGCCGGTGTCCTCATCTTGGTCGGCGGTCTCCTCCACGCCATCCTCGGCGGCCTTGCTGGCGGTCTCCTCGGCCTCATTGGCTTCTAAGCGGTTTCACTTACCTGCCCTTCTTTGTGAGGCCTCATTAGCTTCACATTCGGAATGAACAAAGAACCGAAAGAGATGGTCTGGAGGAGTGAGCTGGGTTGTGAAATGGACTGCACATGATGGATGGATGATCTGAATGGCTCGCTGTTCCTTTTTCAAGTTCTTTTCTGTTTCTTGTTTATAGCATGCTATCCTTCCATTCCTTCGAAACTATGGCCAAGTTTCGTAATCTTCTTCACTTTCATAGGAATCTTCAGAGCGAGGAGTCGAGGCAGTTACTAGCTTACCTAAGTAATTGATCACTTTTTCTTTGAACATTTTGCGCACAGAGTTTGCCCTGGAGTGACTGCAGTGAACCATTAACATTGAGTATTTCCTATTAGATTGGTGAAAGATCGTGAGAATCAGCAATCTGACAAAGGAACGGCGAGTTCAATAATTGACAACACAAAGCAAGAAGAAAACCAAAAAAAATGCCATTGTTTAACACTCGCAGTGTTGTTGGGTCCCTTTGGCAAACTGAACCGCCCTTGTCACAGTGTCCGTGTTTCTCGCCTTGTGACATTGTGGAGGGACGGACACGAGATCCAAACATCATTATCACGACTGGGTTTTGCGAATGACTTGAAGACGATACCGTGAAAAAACAGTCAATGTGCCATTCGTTCACTGCAGTAAAAACCAGATACCGTCAACCACATGGCTGCCCCTTACGATATGGCTGTTGGTGAGTGTCGCGAAAGGGATTGAGAAAAAAAAGCCGGTACAGTTATCAGATGATTTTGCCCAACCCCAGCGCGTGGCTAGTGTAGATCCCGAACTTTCAAAATGTGATCAATGTGTGACGGATCTTGCTTCCAGTTTCGTGCTGATCTTGCATGGAGTCCCCTTTCCCCTCCTCCTTCCGCCCTCCCATGCTTCCCTCTTCTTCTTGGCAAAGAGCATCTTATGGCGATCATTCAAACTGTCCAGTTGCGGCTGAATGATTGGTTAGCTCAAGGTAGCACTTTCCCTCTCGTGCTTTGTATGCAGTTGGGCAATCTTGGCAAAACCTTATCGGGAAACTGCCTTCCTGAGCTCTTCCTGAGCTCTACCATTTTGAGTCTGGAGTGGGTAATTTGATTACACTAGAAATGCCATCGATTGACAGGTTCGTTGAATAATTGGGGCGCTTCGCCGGAAGGAGAAACCTAAACTCACATCAAGGCGAGAAGCCTGACCAGTGGGGTCGAGACTCGCAGACTCGTAGGCTCGCTCCCCAAAGATTAAATGATACACACAAAACGAAGATCCACGCCTTGCACGGCCCGTCTTGGCACCTATCTTTGGAAGTAACTCCCAACCAAGTCTACCCTCTTACACTAGCTCTGTCAATCTTTTTGCTCTTCCATAAACAAATGCTCGTAAAGAGGGGAGTTAGTAAATTCGGATGAATCTGGTTTGGTTCTTTTTGTTTATGTTTTCGTAGAGGGATCGCTGTATGAACAGTGGTGGTGTCGGTTTTGGTGTATCGTTTAATCTTTTTGGGAGCGAGGTAGGCTCGCCCATGACAAAATTCATGAGACTCAGGCCCGTGTTTACCCCTGCAACCGGCCTAAGTAAAACAACTAGCTGAAGAAGACTGGACTTCCCTAAGTCAAGAAACCAACAACAAGTGGATTGATGCAAAACGCCAAAAAATTGCAGCAATGTATGGGTAAGGAGGGGGCCGCTACTGGGTATCAAAAATAAATAAAACCCGTTGATTTTCATGATGTTTTCCGCGATTTTGGTGATGTTGGCTGAGTCTCAACAATTTTGTCAGGGACGAGGTAGGCTAAACTCCGAAGATCTTTGTTCGTACCTTCCCACCAATGAGGGCGGGCCGAACCTAGCGTATATTAGCATTCTTCCTAAAAACTGCACAACGTCATTCACTTTTCCTTCTTGGCGGGCACATCATGCAAAAGTGATTGGCAAGAAGGAGTGAAGGACCCTCTTCTGTTGCTACTTTACTTACAGGAAGGGACACCCTTGTTCATAGAGAATGGATGACCCCCACCGGCGAGAGGGAGTTGACGACGGGACGGTCACGGCTGGACACTCGGTGAATACTTTGGGATTGAGGCGTTCTTGGATGGCAAGAAAGAGAGAGATGTACGCAACACCACAAGGGCTTTACCATGTATTGGTGTGTGTCATGAATAGTAACACTTTTTGAGGTGTCGGAAGTTAGAAAGCTGAAGACTGCAGTCCGACAAGTTTTGTTCCAGTGGAGTGTTCCATACAAAAACATCAAACAGTTACACGATTTAAAGTTCAGAGGTCGTGAAGACGCGGACTTCGGAGTAAGAAAAGCCTTCCTCAGTCGTGAATCTTGATACCAGGCCCATCAATCTTGGTCCTCGCTGCTCGGTAGATAAAAGTGCAGTGGTGCCCGCCCTTGCTCCGTGGCCGAGGATTGCCTCAACTCCAAAGATTCAGGGACATAACGAGGACGCCATTCGTTGGGTAAGGAGAAAATGGAGATGCATGGGCGAGAAAAGTAGCGGAAGTTGGCGGGCCTTGAATGCACTTGCCAGTTTTTGCTCCTTAATCCTCTTGCTCGCTCCATCCTTGGAAGCGAAGGAGATGGGAAAGATCATGAAGAAAGTCGCCATCAGACTCAGGTCAGAGACTTTCACCACCAGAGACAAAGCCCGTTCATTCACTCCCCTTCAGGTTTGCTCCCACTACTTTCGGCCCAACTCCTGGCCCAAACGAGGTCGAGGTATATAGAGCAGGTTCTCGGTACCCTCTCCCATGGTCTGCTGGTGTAATTGGGTGACATGCCTCCTTGGTGATGTGGAATTAGACGCCGGCTCTTCAGGATACCGCCGGTTTGAATCCAGTGCGAATCACCTTTTCTCAGTCACTTCTGCCCCCTCTGACATCTTTACATATTGCACCTTTTTGACCGATGGTATCCGTGTCGCAAGACTCAAAAACCTGAGCATGAGAATGAACTTGTCCTGAGTCAAGCTGTGATCAGTTAGCATCACAACGATAATATTTGCCTTGGGCAGCGGGGTTGGGATTGGCTTCAACCGCATGCAGACTTGTGACCTGTGTCTTCCATTTGGAAGGGAAGTGTGACAAGTCTGTACTTGCCCTACCCTCAAGACTCGAAAAAAAAAAAACCTGCCGCACTTGCCACGATGACTCCTGCGTGCTGCCCTTTGCTTCACATTCCGCGTTCCTTCCAACTTGCGATGGCGTTGGCCGATATCGCGGTTGCCGCCAGCGGGAAATGGATCTCCAAAAAGGCAAGAACGACGGGAACGTGAAGTGTGACTGCTTCATATTGAGCATCGTGGCGCGACGGCAAGATCAGAGGCTTGCAGGCACGGCGAGCACATGCTGCGTGGCTGGTGTGGCATGCCATGATGCATCTTGGGACAAACCCAAAATGACCTTGGATGGGGGTTTATAAGGGACTTTACCTCAACAGGCTATTAACAGACAAGCAGGCAGTGTGGTCAAGCGGTGTGGTGCGCTGAGCTCTCATTGCACACGTACACTTGTGTACAGAGGGTTGTGCACCACATGCTGAGGAGCCCTCCCGGCCCCGAGGGGACGCCTCCGACCCCCACAAACTGCCTATGACCACTAAACCCGCCCCCTAATGTCCCCTAACGGCGGGGGGGACTCCATGGCAGTACTGCTGAGATGGCGTCTTCGGGCTACGCAAATAGGGCTCTTCTACTCCCTCCCATCTCTCGGTACGTCCGCCGTTCGGTCCCCTGCTCTTGTCACCTTTTTGCCTTTTTTTTTTTGCCTTTTTTTACTAGTATACGACAGCGATGTTTCGTTCCTATTCAACGCAGATGGAGAGAGAGCTGATGACGACAATGAAGCTATCACCATATCTTGGCGTCGCTTAGCGTATATTTTCGCGTGGATCACGACCCTGGTCGTCGAAGTGTGGATGCATCGCGGACAACGACCATCCTTGCTCGTCCCCGTCGTTCCTTCTCATGTCACACCTATTACAACGTCCTCCCACCACCACATTCCCGGTTTGGGTGGTTCGGACTTTCGCAGTGAATGATCGCTGGTCAAGCATGGTCAGCCAAATTATCAATCAATGAATGCTCCCGAATGAACATCTGCAGCTCGTCAAAGCTTCCAAACACTCATTCTCTTAGTACCGTGAAAGCCGCGGAAAATGGGGAGTGGCCATACGGCATTTGGAGGACCGCGGCAGCGGCTCGCAGCATAAAATTGGTCATCACAACCACAATCAGCCATTTAGTTCCGCTGCTCGATGTCGTATCTGACACGGTTGCTTCTTGCAATCCATGATCCTCCTACTGTTGGTGTATCCATGACCGAGTGGACTCACAGCCGCGAACTACGGTGCCGGTGTTGGTTGTTGATATTCAACGACAACTTCAATCTCGCGAACCAGCGGACAAAGAATGGCTATCCACATACCTACTCAAAGTCACCGGTGTGCCATTGCACTCATTGGTATCATAACAAGATCATTCAACCTTGACGGGAACAAAGATTCTTGTGACCGCATCCGAAGCCTTCTTCAAACGAACGGAAGGCGCCACATTTGAAGCAAACGCTACCAGGCTTCCCCCCAGGTCGTGGCTCACGATCACCCATCGCACCTGCCATCATCACCGGCAGAAATAGGTCACGCATGAAAAATCTTCACAACAGTGATCTATTTAGGCAAGAGCAACCGTGACCTCTATTGGCCGACCCCCTTCCATTTTGAACAGCGGAGCACCATCGTGATCTCAACTGCAGACATCCATCCACCTACCCAACACCAAAACCGCAAAAGGCATAGCACACAGAAGATCCAACAAGCATCTACTTTCCTGCAATCCCCCGACAGGATTTCCCATCGTACTTCGAACAACTGCCGACACCTTCCCACGTTCGCCCGCGCTCTGCAACACATAGAGATCACGCCCCAAGCCGACCGACTGGTCAAAGATCAGGATGTCGCAGCCCCGAAGAAACACTCCCATCATTCCCATCTTCCTCCCGACCATCACCATCAGCGCCCCAGCGTCAAGTAGTTCCTCTGGGTCTGGGTCAAGCTCGTCTGGCTCTGGCTCTGGGTCGAGTTCGGGTTCTGGTTCGAGTTCAAGTACGAGTTCAAGTTCGAGCGGGAGTAGCAGCAGCAACAACAGCAGTGGGAAGAAATAAGGGAGGGCGGTCATAAATCGGAAGAAAAAGCCACAGAAACGGTCACATACTGGTAAAAAGGTTGCGGGAAAGACTTTAGTGAGGGACCAAAAGGGGTGGATGTTGGTAAGTGGAAGATACAGGATGGTGGCAAGCAGCGTGACGTTAACATGGGATGGTTCGAATATACGGGAGGCAAAAGCAACGAGGGAATAGGAGGTGGGAGATAGGTGTCAGGTGTCAGGTGTTGGCAGCTGAGAGGAAGGGAAAAAGCAAAAAAGAGCGATAATGGCCCGACCAAGTCCGTGACGAAGAAAACAAGCCAATGAGAGCTGCGAGGGGGGAAGGTAACGATGCATAACAAATCCACTAGTCGTCTGGATTGAATTGCCTGTGTCTACTGACGCCCCGTCGCGAGTAGGAGGAAGCTATGGGTTTAGTACTCGAAAAGCAGTGGATGAGAGTTCGAGAAGGAGTAGATGAGAGTTCGTTCAATAGCTGCCCAGAACCTCGTTCTTACGCAAACATCGGAAACAAAAGATCACAAGATGAGAAAATTCTCAATCTAACCCGTTCTCCAATAATCTCACCATATCTTCATACCCTCTATAAAGCCAACAACCCGTCTCCTCTCCCCTTCATTGTATAAAAGAGGAGTGTCTTTGGAGACCAAATACATACGCCTCCAATTCATGACTCGGGCTAGGTACCCTGCCTGCCCACTGTCTGTACCTGACTGTACCTGTCTGTGTCTGGCTGGCGGCCTCTCGTCCGGTCATCCCATCCCTGCCATGCCATGGTCGTGATCACAAGCCTTGAACCTCTTTGAGCCCCTGAGGCTTCCTTATGCCTGGTGCCAGCTTTGGTTCCCCTGGCCCCCTGAATGCTCCCCTCTATCACTATGCATCCCCAAGTCCCAACAGATGCTCAATAATCCACAAACCATGTCACGGTCCACAAATATTAGAAGATGAAGATTATTCTCCCGTTTCCCCCTTTTCTAGAAAGTCGACGATCGTCATCGTGATTCCATCATTGGAGGTTGGACACAGGGGGGCAGACAGTACGTAATCAACCAAGTCAGCCAGCCAACTCCCTTGTTGTGCATTTTGTTGCTTGTGGATTAGGTAGACCCTGCCAGCTGCCACCTTGGAATACCCTTGTTCGCCTGCAAGCTAACTAGCGAAAATCCAGGTACAGGGGTCCAAACCATAACAGCGAACGGTTCAACCGAACAATTGGAACAACGAACAACACTGCACTATGAAAAAGGAAAAAGCCATGTGCCTGCCGCGTTGCCACGTGCTGGGGTGCCATTTACTTTGTAAAGGCATCATTGAGTTTGTGCCGAGTTGCCGGTTTACCTACCGCTTTGTGTCCGGACGTACCTACTGCTAGTGCAAAGTGGGAACGGAGTCTCCGAATGTTCGATTGTTCGGATGAGAAAAGGTTGGACAACAGATTCGTGGCAGTGGTTGTGTTGTTCTATTCCAGGCTGGTGTGTAATCTGTGGAAAAGTGTCACGAAGCTTGTCTGAGGCCAGCTACACGCATCGTGTAGCTCTCCCTGAGTTACGATCAAGAGGATGACAGTTCAGCGCAATGAATCGGGGGAATGTCTGTGTGAGGTAAGTGAAACATGTGGTACTTCGGAGCTCATCGCGCGCAGCGCGCAAGGAAGCAAGCAGGTGTACATCTGCGAGGAACCGTTGGAAAAGATCAACCAGCATGTGTAACAGAAGGGCAGCAGCACAAATGACGACATATGAAGTTATGTGAAAGAAGAAAAGAAGCAAAGAAGAAAAGAAAAGAAGAAAATGAAACGCCAATGTTGAACGGACTGTAAACGAAGTGGTTGCAAACAAGCGAATCCCTTCCAATTTCATTTAGTGATTAGATCATTAAAATCAACAACAAAACATTGTGTCGCTGAATTTCCGTTCGTTGAAGCCAAGACAAGGTTGTTGTTATTTCCACAACAGAGCCTTTGTCCCCTTCAACCCCATTCCTCCAGTGTTGTCCTGTTTTCCAGTGATCCATCCATCTTCAGTAGCGTTGGTGTAGTAGTTTCCTTTGTAAATCCAGCCCAGTAGTACTGCAAGTCAAATCGTCATTCTGATCATTTCTTTGCCCTTTCCCTCCAAAAACAACCCCAAAACAGTTTAAAAACTCCGTGTAACATGATGCAAAAAGTGTACAGATTCTCCATATAGTGTCTGAGACGCCGCAAAGCCAAAAATCGGTCGAGTCCATCTGATTTGTTGTGATGGCCCGTTATGTCGATGAAAATGCTCGAAGGTTATGTTAAGCCAGGTAGTGAAGGGTATAAAACGCCTGTTGGTTGATGATAGTCGCCGAACCGATGCTGAAAAATGCTGCTAATGACGCCCGCTTTAACCGGTAAATGAAAATGCGCCAGTTCTTTCGTGTCTGTGTGTGCTCCATGTCGAGATCTCGACGGTGGGAGAGAGAGGCAGAAAAGTCAACCTTCATCGTCTGTTGAACATGCCAAGCCACCAACTCTTGCGTCTCCGCTCACTTCGATCATCCTTCTCCGTCTTGTCGTCCTCAAGGTCCAAGCGGTACCGCACCACGCTTCCTCGGTCGTCCTCAAATCCAACATGCCGCTTGCTCGGAGGCACTACACACTCCGGCACAATGTGGCGCATGAACCATCCGCGCACACCTCGACTGGCGGCATCGATAGCGGCATATTCCATCCTCCTGGTCGAGTCGCTGGTCCAGTAGTGTGTCGTCTGAGGCGGCAGGGGGTGGACATTGGTCTGTGCGGACTTGTTCTCATGCACTTCTGTCTCGTCGATGGCATACTCAGGATTCGAGGTGGTGAAGACGGGAAACTCAAAGTACGTCACTGGCTGTTGAGTCTGGGCCGGACGACATTGGTAAGACCGACGTTGTGAGACAGCCTTGCTACCCTTCCTGCTCAAGCGAGTGCCACAGCTTGTGTTGGTTGCGGACCGTTGAATGGTTGGCCTTGAACGTCGCTTGGCGGAAGTGGAAGGCGTCGAGTGGGTAGATGATAGGCGGCAGGATGAGCGAGACTCTTTGCGTTGGATAGATGCGTAGCCAGAATCTTGGCGTCGCATTTCTTGGATGGATGGCGGAGGTCGGTCTCTGCTAAGTGATTTTGAGAGAGGAGCGTGGCAGACGATGGTGGTTTGCTGCGAGACAGCTTCAGGTTCATGAGATTCGATATCGTTAAAGCTATGGTATGTCTGATTTGATACCATGCTCACCCGGGAGTGCGGGCGGTCACAGGACAGCTGAGTAGCCATGTTGTGTATAGGTGCTAATGTGTAACCTCTGTTGGGGCATAAAGCGACAGGAAACCCTCGATGAGGTCCGGAGGCCAACCACGATAAATAAACAACGGTTGCTGGAGCCGGACGGGGGTGGATGGGCCTTGTTTTAAAGCTTTGATCGTTGGCAAGGATTCGTAGATTGGTCGGATTTGGGAAAGGGCACTTTCTTGAAATTTGTCGCCAAAAAGTTGCGGTCAGCGCTCGCGTGTTGGTCTAGACCTTGTCTTGGACCCAGAAAGACAAGACGGCGGCGTGGATTTTGGGCAGAATGACCGAAAATCACCAGCAAACCCCCGGAAGAGCAAGACAGCGTTTGAAGCAGGGAAGGCTGGGGATGGGCGAATGAGCTTGTTGAATTGGAGAGGGAGCCACCTGGGACGACGAGTGCAAAAGTCCCATTGGCAGAAAGGGGGTAGCGTGTGAACAGGAGAGTCCGCCGGGGAAGGGCGTTAGCGAAGCGTTAGCGGGCTGCAGGCGGTTCTCGAGTGCAGCAGAAAGCAACCCTTTTTGACGCCTGTTTGAAGCAGCCAAGACGAAAGAAATTGATTCGAGAAGGGGCCGGAAGTTTTTCACTTGGTAAACTGGTCGAGGTCCGGCCCGTCCAAGCGGCTAGTCCTCCGGGACTCCAAATGCTCCGTCGACGTCACGACCTGGCGGTTCGTAGCGGTTCTAGCGGTTAGAGATAAGATTACGAGGAGAGCCGTTGGCGAAGATACGGCTATGTCCACTTTGCGTATCCGCTCTTCGTTTTTAGACTTCGTGTCTCGCAGTGCTGATCGGGAGCAATGGTTGAAAGGTCAGTGACGTCGTGACTTGTGAGCAAATCCGGTGACCCAGCGTCAGCCAGGCGCAAATCGCAGCTTGGACGATTTGGGTATCGCGGATGCATCTGTTGAGCACAAGTTCAACAGAATCCACGATGGGATTGGATCCCAAGAGGCGGTCAGGCCGCAGAAAGACAGGGCCTTTGAACCGTTGCGTCGTCGACAGGGAGTCCGGACAGGGCCTCTCGTGGGCCTGGAAAGTGAGTTGCAATGCACGTCGAGTGCCGGCAGCGGAGAGCGGGGTGGCCGTGGAGCTCGTGAACGGAGCCGGAGGTCCAGCAAAAGGAGGCTTTGGCCACTGTGATTTGTCCACTCTCTTCCGTATCGGCTTGCTTGAATGGATCGTCGACGCACCGCTGCAGTCGTCGATGCTGCAGACTGCAGAGAACTGCAAAGAACTGCAAGGGCGCTGACCTCGCAGGGGAAAAAAGATCGCAAAGATTTTGTGGATGTTCGTAATTAAGGGGCCTCTCAATGCAGGTTATCGAGTCAGAGCGTGGGGTTGAGATGATCCAGTGGGCAACTCTTGCTGCACGTCGCCAGAAAAAGATAACTGTTCCGATTTTAGAGAATGGATGGCTGGGGAAATGGAGAATCCTCAAAAACGTCGATGATCGATGGACTGGGGAAATGGAGAAGGACTGGACGTGAGAGAGAGAGAATCTGGGGGAGTTGCCACGAGCTCGTCAATATCACGTTGTCCAGCAATGTGGATGATGGTGTAATGGGCGCCGTTGGCGGTGAACTCGTGAAGGCGGATGGATGTATGGTGGGCTGTCTTCTGTTCTAGTAATGGCAATTGGCTCTTGGAAAACTTCTCAAAGTCACAGGCCAAGGCGGGTTAGGTAGCAACCGAGATGCATGGAAAATGTCTGATGTTGCGCCATCCGATGTCGCTGGCTCTTATTTGTTTGAATTTTTCGTCGGTGCCAGTGATTGCACCTGCATCGTTTTAGACCAAAATGCAGTGACCACTGTTGGTGTGTGCCAGGGGCGGCCCGGGAATCCGTCTTGTTTAGGTTCTCACCCGGCACGGAGCATCGGGAATCTATTGTTGTGCTTTCAAAGGATTTCCATCCGTCGCGATTGTGAGAATTCTCGGCTTATATTGGGTGAGCTGACGGTGCAAAGTGAGGGCACAATGGCCAATATGTATGTCCTATAGAAAGACCTGGAAGGATGAGGCGTCGTCGGGACGGGTTGGACGGGCTGGTGATGCCATCATCGGGAACACAAACGGGTGCGGTAGTTTCAGCGCTACCATGGTCGTCGCCGGGCATCGCTGTCAGATGCGAACCGAGACATGATAGTATGGATGCCCTGCCATTATCTGGAACTAATGATGGCATTTCATATGATAGACGTTGCACATCTCAAATGCCGACCCGAACGACGTCCATAGTGAGCCCTTCACGTGAAGCGGACCCTGCTGGCATTCCCGTATCTGTCACGGAAACTGGCATGGAAGTTTGTCATGGTGTGACTTGGTGTACCTTGGTGGTGACGACTTTCACATGTCGGACTGTGCCGAATGTCGCACTTCAGCAGCTTGTGTGGGAGTGTGGTTGTCTCGAGGTTGCACAGCCAGGCTGATGGGGAAGCCCCGTGGCTCCAAAAAGTCGAGATTCAAGGGAAAGAAGGAGTGAGTCCAGGAGTCCAGGTCCAGGCGGGGGCTGAAATAGATGGAATGGACTCAACGTCACGAGCTCTCCAAAGTGACACGACCGGGCAAGTGCCCTGCTCTGCAGCTGGAGTCCGTGAGTTGTCAGTGTCTCACAACTCCCCATCACTGATCTGCTGTTCCAATCACGGCAGATCCTCAAAGTCGTTGTGGTCGTAATCCTCAAGAGGTTCGGCAGGAGCCACGAAGTGCTTCTTCCAAAGTCACTGCCGGTGACTATCTGTGAGTGTCCCGTCATGACTGCTGTGCAAGCCTGCTGTGAGCCTGTGCCTGCCGGGTATTGAGCTCCCTTCGGAACTGAACAACCAATTAGAGACGACGCGGCTCGCTTGATCCAATCAGAATCTTGCATAGGGATATCTCATCACTTGCCAAGTCTGCCATCTGTCGGCGGTTGCATGCCATTCGTTGTCAGCTCCGGAACGCTTCCGCCTGTGTGGTCCTTTCGACTCCCGTCTTGCACTTCTTTTCACGGCACAACAACTTCACCTTCGGCTCTCTCAGTCTGTTGTATCCAGGCACTCCTTTGTTTCTCTATCCATTCGACCTTGTAACCGCATGCTACTTTGATCAAGTTTGCATGACCATGTTCGAAGCCACCGGAAGATGATCCGCTCCCGTCCGGTCAAAGAAGGGCCGAGGTCATTGTCCAGTGTTCACATAATGGGATTATTGGACTGTCCTAAGGTCATCACTGACCGAGTCTCTTTATTCACAACTCCCGGGGAAAGAATATATGCTTCCCCACTGAGCTCAGCTCTATAAAGTTATAAAATTGACATTCCCACGATGACTTCGAACGGACGACTCGAACAAGTCATCAACAATCCGACGACTTAACGACAAGAGCTTGCAAGCTGCCAGCCAATACCTACTACTTTCCACCACTTCCCCATACTTCACCCAAGCGTGTCAAGCATCAGCCCGAAACAGTACTACCGACTTCGTCGAAATTCATTCACCATGTCTAACATGCATATCGATTCCCATGTTGCCCTGGAAGGTGCTGTCAAGGAGATCATCAATGACTTGGAAGAGCATCTCAAGGCGCAGCAAGAGAAACTACGAGTTCTATACAAGGAGTGGAACTTCTGGGAAGCTGCCGGCGCTCTCCTTGACTTCGACCAGCTCGATGTTAACGACTTAAAGATCGGTGAGTTACAAAAGCAGGTGATTGAAGGTCAAATCGAGCAGCTAAAGTTGGAAAACGACTTGACCCACATGACCGAGTTTGCCCGCCAAGTAATCAGCAGCCGAAATGGCTCCGGCTTCAAGATACCCTCGTTTCCCATTCCTATCCCGTCTGCTAACCTGTTCCCCTTTTCGGCCAAGTACTCACATCCTACCCCATCACCGAAGTCGTATGGACAGCAGATGAACCATCGCCGGCAGGAGGATTTCCGTTATTACCTTGAACATCCGGAGATGCTGGCGACTATGCCGGGACAAGTATTCCCTGGGGTTCCTAGCATGAACTATGCACCAGCACCAACCATTGCTCCCCAAGAAACCCTCCACCCTTCTCAAATGCCGCTTACTCCCCCTCAAACACCCCCTTTCCCTCAACAAAACCCACTTCCTCCTCCACAAAGCTTCATTCTTCCGCCAGCACAAGCCCAGATCCAACCACCAGTCCAGGCTTCCCCCATCACCTTCCCCAACCAGATCCCTACTCAAGATGATATCTTCTTCATCAGGCGCATTACCGCGTACCGTGAATCTGTGAACGGTCTCCCAAAGAAGGGAATCCACCCAACCGATGGTAAGCGCAACTACAAGCTTGACCCGCATTTCTGGGAGAAGAACTGGGATGGGACAGGATTTCTGGACCAAGCCTTCAACGAGGGAAGAGGGGGAGGAGAATGGACGATGATGAGGACGTTGATGAGGCTCTTTCGTCTTGTTCAGTTCCGAGGAAGAGAGTAAGAGCGGCCGGGGATAGGTGACCGCGAGAGGCAGAAGTAGAAGTGTTGTAGGGGATGATAGATTTGCTGACTGATTATTAGAACTTTGAGACTGGAAATTGTATGAATTTCTTGATAAAATAGAATAACAAATCGTTACAATTAAACCTGAAATCTGATACTGCGCTCATCTTAATGTGACATTACATGAAACACTCCCCGGTGACGTCTCTTCTTCTTGCACAGTATTGTTTGCCATTTCCTATTCCATTCATAAGTACATTATAGAAAACTTCTTTATCAACACCACAAAGCGCCAGTGGTTTAGTGGTAAAATCCATCGTTGCCATCGATGGGCCCCGCGTTCGATTCGCGGCTGGCGCAGTGATTTCTCAATTTTTTTCCTCCTTTTTTTATGGAGTCGCAATTCGGAGAATGATATGGACTGTGGGGCAAATTTTGCCCTTCTAGGCACCATCCATCCATCCACTTGAAAACTGTTTATCGCCAAACAATCTTTTCCAGTTGCCTCATCCCGTTATCGTGGAGCAAAAGGTTGTTTGTTGGGCTGGAAGCGTTGAAGGAGCTGTGACAGCATGTAGGTTTGTTTAGTTCAAAGCTTACGCGCCAAAAAAAATTGCAAAGAGAGAAATAAGAAATGTAAATGAAGAAAGGGAAGCAACTTCTAATTTACATTGGATATAATAAGTTCTGCAAGCGATGAAAGTCCAAATGGGATGAAGAACGAAGGTACGTTCCAAACAATAGCTTGGCATGTGCCATTGCAGGAGAGGAGCCTTGAGACATGTGAAGGGTTAGTTCACAGAACTATTCCCATCAAGTTCTGCTACCAGCGGAGAACTTCCACAGGTGATGATTGCCTTGATGAACAATGTCCTTGTCCTAGGATGTCGAAGAGCACACAATCAAACTGCTCGAGAAGGTTGTGTGTGTTCAATTAACCAATGTCTCGGACTGGAAAAAAAAAATAAGCTTTGTGAAAGATGAACATCACTTCTCTTCCAGTCGTGAGCGGCGTCTTTCTTCTTATTTTTGCGGAAAGAGACAAGCCCCATCTTCGCAATTGACGCAAGCCCGCGCCATTCCTTCGTGCTACCTACCCGGGGAAGTCAACTTCGTTCTCCCCGGAACAATTGCCGCCTG